CGCAGGTCAATTCTGTATCCAGGGCAGCTGTCTACCAACTCCACCTGGTACGCAGGCTGAGACCCTACCTGCCCGCGGACTGTCTCGCCAGAGTGGTGCATGCTCTGGTTATCTCCCGCTTGGACTACTGCAATGCGCTCTACGTGGGGCTACCTTTGAAGGTGACCCGGAAACTACAATTAATCCAGAATGCGGCAGCTAGACTGGTGACTGGGGCAGCCGCCGAGACCACATAACACCGGTCTTGAAAGACCTACATTGGCTCCCAGTACGTTTCCGAGCACAATTCAAACTGTTGGTGTTGACCTTTAAAGCCCTAAACGGCCTCGGCCCAGTATACCTGAAGGAGCGTCTCCACCCCCATCGTTCTGCCCGGACGCTGAGGTCCAGCGCCGAGGGCCTTCTGGCGGTTCCCTCATTGCGAGAAGCAAAGCTACAGGGAACCAGGCAGAGGGCCTTCTCGGTAGTGGCGCCCGCCCTGTGGAACGCCCTCCCATCAGATGTCAAAGCGATAAATAACTACCTGACATTTAGAAGGCATCTTAAGGCAGCCCTGTTCAGGGAAGCTTTTAATCTGTGATATTTTACTGTATTTTTTGTTTCTATGGAAGCCGCCCAGAGTGGCTGGGGAAACCCAGCCAGATGGGCGGGGTACAAATAATAAATTATTATTATTATTATTATAGATGAAATAGGATACTAGAAGGCATTCAATGAATTGGAAAACCAGTCAAAATTAAAAACCATTGTATGTAATCACATGATCTGATGAGAGCTGATCTGGAGAGCTAAATGACTTTGCTTGGTTCAGAATGATGACACGGGGTTGCAACTGCTAAGATTGCTGTTTATCCTTTGATTTGTGAAATGAAATCACATGTGTATTCTGGAGGTGTGTAAGAAACATTGCTTTGGATGTGGTTCTTTGCAGCCTCCTCATTTTTGAGGCTGTCCCTATGTGCATTGGCATTTCAGTAAAGGCCAATCTTTTCAGTTGGAGCCTACATGCTTTTCCGTTGGGTTTCAGGGAGGGATACTTCCAGTCTAGGAACCCCTTTAAATTTCTCCAACAGTTCCATAGCATGGAACTGGCAACACTAAATGTGAGACTTCTAGTTGATGCCAGTTGGGTTCTCTGTGATATGGAGAAAACTAACAACAGTCCTCTGGACGATCTCAGTGTTTGAAATTAAGGTGTCAGGCAATCCTTATGGTATCTTGGATCCAGGTTTTTCAGGGTGTAGTAGACACTTGGACCTGGCCTGGTAGCAGAGATGTGACATACTATTGGCTGCCTGCCCCCATCAGCAGTCTTAACTGCTGTGTTCTGCCCTAGCTGGAGCTTTTGGAGCAGTCCCACATAGAGTACATTGCAACAATCCAGCCTCAAAGTTACCAATGCACTCCCTAGATAGGGAAGCTGGGCACATACTTTGAATGTCCTTTCCTGTTTAGGGTGAATGAAGCATCAAATAAATGGGTCACAGTCCAACTGCACAAGAAGCACCTGATTAGCTGTTAGTGGTATATCCTGCACTCTTGACAAAGCTAGAAACAAAGTGCACTGATGCAACTACAGCTATAGAGGAAAGGAGCCTGGAAAAGAAGAGGAGCCTCCGATGCTAGAGGAAACTCGGCACTTGCTAGAAGTATCTATCAGAGGATGGCAACATCTGAAGCTGTCCATTTGTGCAGACCATTCATCAAAATAGGGGAACACTTGGAAGACTCACTTAGAAAGAACATTCATGGTAAGTGCCCAGTGTTGCCTTAGTTTGGGGTGGAGGCATCCTACAGTAGAATATGTCTAAGCTACTCAGAACCTAGAATGGGAATTTGGATAGTTATTTAGAAGACAGAGGGGCAGAGTGTGCCCGCCAATGGCCAATTCCTCAGATGCACTGGAATCCATCTTAAAACGTTTAGTGAACGTCAAAGATGATTTTCATGCGGCTGCGCTACAGATTTGAAGAAAAGTGTGAGTGGAAAATGCTAGGCTGCTGGAATGAGCAGCAATCACTTGTGGTTTTGGAAAACATTACACCTCATCGGCTTAGCACTCATAGTGCTTGAAGCTTTCTTCAGCACAAAGCTAGGTTGGGAAGAAACAACTCTTAAGGGTCCTGCAAATGTCTAGCTTATGCCACCTTTATGTAGAGTGTGAGAGTGTTTGGGGGCAAAAGGAAGAATCTGTTCTTGCATTTGGTGAAAAGCTAAATTCATTTTTGGAATGAATGGCAGACCCATGTGCATGACTCCTGTCTCTTTGTGGGACTGAGAACCTGCATGTTGTGTACAGTGGTACCTCAGGTTACGAACTTAATCCATTCCAGAGGTCCATTCTTAAACCAAAGTGTTCTTAAACCGAGGTGCACACTTTCCCACCGCTGGTGTTTGGCTTCTGTTCGTCTTCCGGGGCAAAGTTCACTAACCGGAACACTTACTTCCGGTTTTGCGGAGTTCGTTGTCTGAAGCATTCGTTAACAGGGCTGTTCGTAGACTGAGGTACCACTGTACTTGGAAGGCCACCAGGGTTAGTAGGCTCACTGAATACCCTCTTGAACACTGAACAGGATGTGAAGACCTTAAAGACTGCTTGGAGGTTGAATGATAGAAACCTATGAAACTGAGGGTAGCATTTATCTTCCTTTGCTGCTGTTTGTCTGCTGCAATTCTGCCATGACAATAGTAATTAGCACGATTGGGCTCCTGTTGACGTAGTACCTTGGGTGACAGACTAGGCAGGTGATTTGTGGGGAATGGACTTGAGGGCCAAATTGGAACCTGGACTGGGCCTGTTTTACCAAAGGGGAAGTGTTGTTTTCTGTCCCTCATGTGACAAGAAGCTACTGTGCAAATATTAATATAGGACAGTGATGTGACATTACATGTCCAATGAACACTGCACCTGAGAATAAAATCCATGCAATAGATGGAACAGTCCCTTTGTCCTCCTTTCCATTAATCTTGCCAACTGGAATCTCATTTAAAATGTCAGCAGTTTGGTGGATCTAAACATAGCTTCCTTCCTTAGCAATTTCTATTGGGCAGGGCTATAGGTCTTCATGTGTAATCATTCAAATAACAGTCTCTCAGCAACTAGCTATACTATACACAAGACAAAGTCCCATTAGTTAATTTGCTATATAGAAATCATTCAGTTTTATATTTGAATTATTCAAAAACTGATATTACAATATTGTAAACAGAAGAGATAGGTTTTAGCATATAAATTCAAATACATACCAAGTTCAAACCAGCTTTTATGGCAAACTGTCAAATACAATACAGACATTTTGAAGGTGACTGTACCATTTACAACAGAGTTGGTTAACTCACAACAGTTCTATAAACTTAAGAGCAGAATCCTTGGTATCTTTAGAGAGGCTTGATGATGGATATGACAACTGCCCCTGCTTTTTTAATTTCCTAATAGAACCCTGACAGATATTGGATCAAAACTCTGGAAAGTGATGTTATTTTCTTAATTGGAAAACTGATTTTGCTTTTTTCATTTGTGCTTTAATGTTCACAACCATATTCCACTGTCAGGGTTATTAAGATTTAGCTGCAGGAAGCATTCATGCAGATTAAAAGCATCTCATATGGTTAAAAGCATATAGTACCTGTTATTTTAAAAGGATCAGGCTGAAGGGAATTTTCCCAAACCCCTTCATCTAGCAAGTATGCAGTTTTAGCTCCAGTGAACTGGAAAGGGGGCAGAGAGAAGAGAAAGCTTCCTGCCAACTGGCATTAGTATAAAATGCATGTGCATCTGGCAGCCCATTTTACATTACCAAGTTATTTAAGTATACTAATCTCCATTTTCAAATTAACTCTGGCTTGGTGCATTTCAAAATTCACATCCAAGGCTACTAGGTTAGCAAAATAAATTAAAGTGAGAAATCAAAGGGAAGGAGAAATCTAAGCAACGGTGAGTGAAAGCTTCTATTTTTTGCTTGCTAGGTCTAGCTGCTACAGTATATCTAGAACATCAGGGATCTGGTTCCTAGAGATGGATGTAGACATCCTGTCAAAGAGCAAAATGCTAATCAGAACTACTTTGTTGGAATACTGAGACTTTTAAATCCTAATCCTATGTTTGTTTCTGTGGAAAGTAAGCCCCTCCAAGATTAATGGGTCTTACTTTCAACAGTGTGCAAAGTAAGTCTTGCTTTTTAGACAAAAGAGAGCAATAAGTTAGCTTTGTTTATTATATGCATTTTACTTCCTGTGAATTGATTTGCAGCACCTGTCTGCTTGCATGTTTTGGAGTTAGCTTAAATTAGATGCTTGAGGAAAACAGCAGACTGCACTTCAGCTTAGTCTTTAATCATGATTTAAAATTTTGTCAATTTAAATAGTCTTTGAATAATAACCTTACACCTTTTTGTACTATCAGTGTTGCTTAGATCTCTTCCCTGTATTAGCAGGGAGGGGGTAGGTGGGGAGAACAGTAAAGTCTACACAAAATTTTATTGCAATCGTACAAGGGTGGGTACTGCAAAGGTGAATACAACAAATACTATGATGCAATTTTACATTTATTAAACTACAGTTCAAAGCACAAATTTACACGTTCTAAATACACTAAACATAGCTAATGAGTCACACTTGTTTCCCACTGACATTTCAGATATCAGAGGGAAAGACAACTTTACAAGACTAACAGAAATCCTTAGTATAAAAACTGTACTTGTATGTAAACTGTTTAACAGAGAACCCAAGTGATGGGTTTCCATCTCAACTAAGTCATCCATTTTGTTGCATATTTCGTTTAAATGCTGAGGGATTGAGTGATCTGACAAGTTTAAATGTTGTTTTTTAACCGTTACTCCCCCAGTGAATTGTAGTTGTAGCTGGTTTTGCCTGGTCCCAAATGATTTCAAGTTTCAATAATTCATTCAAGATTGTTCCATTTTAATTCCAAACTGGAATGTTGTGACCAGACAAGACTACAGACATGCAACTGCAAGGCTAATTGAAGCATTAGTGCCTGTTTAAGCTGCAATAGAAAAGCGGTCTTCAGGACTCAGCTGAATGCAAGAAGGCACAAAGAAGAAGTTCTTCATCAGTGTGTCAGAGGTGAACCCAGCATCTTGCATCTCACACCTGGAATGGAAAGCACACACAATATTCAGGCAAAATAGGGGAAGAAAGATTTCATTTGGGGGGTTTTCCAAGCACTGTAGCACCGCCCTTTCCTATTTTGCATACTGTTCTAAACACTGCAAGTTTAGCAAATTAAATTGCCTAATTTTAGCTTTCCCCCGCCATTATGTTATCAAATATTCAGAAGAAAGTATAGACGGTACTTTTTGTGCACTTTTGATCATTATGCTTCATCTTACGAGCATGCAGTTGTACAGACGGTGACCCATTTAGGCACGATCACCAATGTGTGGGTCATTTTGGACCTGGAAGAGGGCATAACCAGGTGTGCTTGTGTGTGCTCTGCTGACAAAACCCCCATATGAAATGGCCGCTGCCTGCATATATAAAATCCCATCAATCTGCAAGACTGATAAAAATGAACTTAGCTACCCAGATCAACCTGTTCCTTCTTCCACAAGCTGACTTTCCATTCACTTAATGCCAAATTATGTCCTGGCCAATTAGCAAGATGGACAAAACAAGTAGAAAGGGAAACCTGTGGCCCTCCAGAAGCTGGTAGTCCAACTTCCATCATCCTTGACCACTTTATGTTGGAATCTAACATCTGCAAGGCTACAGTTTGCCCACACTGGTGTGTTACCTATAGACCAGGATAGCAGTGCATGCAAGTGCAGTACTGTATAGTGATTGGTTAGAGGCAGCCAGGCTTCATGTAGCAAGGCTTGGGCTGGCCCAGCAGATACTTTAAGAGTCTACCCCAAGGAAAGAACTGTACCACTGTTGTGGTTGCACTGAAATACTTTTTAGCACCTAAACTACATGTGACCTTAGCATGGGTATGAATGGACATGTAATTTTAAAAAATAAATAAATACGGATCTGCAAAGCTAGTTGGTCAGCCTCTACAAAACAAGAGCTAACACACATGCACTATCTAGATAAAATTATGCTTTATTGCCTTTGTATCTTGTGAGATCAGTTGAACACAAACTTTGCATTGAATTGGAACATGGGTCTCCCCATGTCCAAATCTAGCACTCTAGCTATTGTCCTGACTCTTCAGTTAAAAGTGAGCATGTGTTGCCAAGTGAAAAAGGAAAAGCATCTGGGGGACGGGCTGCAACAATTTTCAAAGGAAGTTTGGGTTTCTCAAAAGGTGTACACACATTGCTGAGATGTCTATGCTCTTAGAAATAGCTCACCTTCCTTCATAAATTATTGAACATAGTGTTTTGTAAAAGTTAGATTGAATCATAAAGTACAACACAATATAAACTTACCAGTTACTGATTGACATTATGTAGTAAACTGGTGGCTTTTGGAAATCATTAAAAGCAGATTGTTCACCCAAAGCACCAGAACCCATATTGTCAAAGAGCAGCCAGTCTCCAATATTCAGCTCAGGGAGAAGACAGTTTTCCACAATTTGATCAAGCTCATCACAGGATGGACCCCAAAGGCTGCTTGCAAATAGAGGCTCATCTTCCTTGTATTTCTGCATGAAAACAGTTCTGACAGTTAGATTTAGGTTTATACATGTATGATTCTATACATACAAAATCAATGATAATTTCATTTAGCAATTCTTGTTGAGGATAGCAGCTTATAGTACATAAAGGAGCTCTCACCTTGTGAACCTCTGGAATAGTAGTCAAATTCTCAGATAATTTGCGTGCAAAAGAACCATAAACACCATCATTCATGTAGTACATGAAGACTGGTTCATCACTTCTTATTTGTTCCACTGTAACGAAAGATGTTACATTTTAATAACAGTTTCACAATAAGTTTCCACTTACAGCCCTTTCTTAAACAGTTGCCTAAGTTTTTCAGGAGCATATGGAACATGCACATGAACAAGAAACATGATGAAGGAATATCAGATATAAGATGTATCCTGAGACAAATATGAATCATGACCTGGAACATTCTTAAGATTGCACATTAAATAAGATAGATTCTTCACTTAATTCAGTCTGAACACAAACATACTGCAGAGGTATACCCTCGGTCTGCCATACAAATTAGCAGTACTATGCACATCAAACCCTGAAGTCTTAAAGCTTAACAAAAATTGAAATGTAACCCTCCAGGCAAAACTCTAAGCCTGAAACAGCATGTTTCTATGGAAACTGAAAATATGTTCTAGTTTACAAATAGTAAAGATTTTTTCCTCCTGAGGGCTGAGCCCTTACTGATTCAAAAAAAAGCCAACTGTCTTTTAAATTGAAACCAGCTCAAATACTGGAAGAGACACGATACCTCAGGAGATGAAAAAGAGAAAACAGCAGCCTGGTGAACTCCCAATGTTCAAGATGAGATAAACCCCCCATTCTCACAGCTGCCACCAGGACTGACCAAAGACCATCTTGTTTCAAGGAGAGAAATTTAATTTTTAGGAGTCTCCCCCACCCCAATAGCTTATTTTTACTGCTTTCTTTGATTGTTTTAAAATATTGGAACAATAAGCATTAACAAACTGCTTTGTGTGGTTTCCCTTAAAGGCTATATATATATATAAATAGTGGTATTTATATATGGCCTTTAAGGGAAACAAATGAAATAAAGAAAAGCTTCTCAGCAACCTAAAAGAGAAAATAAGCTATTAGATTAGAGGCTTAATTTTTGGCTAGCATCCAAAGCACTGCTGTTGTTTCTTCAATCTTTATGCTGATTTACGTGTGGAACAGGTTTTGCCTACCTTTAGAGAGAAGAGGTTTGTCATCTTGAACAGCTTTCTTGGCAATGATATTAACTGCTAGAGTAAATGCAGAAGAAACATAATAGCATCCAGGCTCCGCAATCACGATCACACCAGATTCTTCAGGAAAGTAGGTATCAAGTAATGGACTGACAATATGATTAACCTTGAAGATAGAAGGGGAATATCTATTTAAAAACCTGTATCAATTTATAATTTACAACTTTAGTTCAAATTTTAAGTCTGTTCCTAGATAAACGTTTGTCAAGTTGAAAGCTAAGGGGAGAAACGGTGCCACTCACTATCACAACTTGGGGAGGGAGGAAATCTGAACCAATCAAGTTGCTTAGTTCGTCTGAATTTTACCTCAGAATAAAAAGGATACATGATGTATTATTGCTGATCTATTAAAATCAAGTGAATTGTATAAATTTTAGCACATTACCGATAGAGGACTACAACTGCTCCTATCAGGCTGTTTTTCCCAGTGTTCAATCCTACGAAATATGATCTTGTTTTCAAATAATCTAGGTCTATTCAAAAGCAGCCATCTAAAATCTTGGGTAATTTGAAAATAATGGTTGATTTTGTTGTGATATTTAGACTCTTGCAGTTTTAAATTAGGACAATTGTGGTGTGTTCCTCCTCTCCTCCCTCTCAGTGTGAACCTGTATCCAAAAAACATTTTAGGTCAGTCAGGTAACTCACAGCATGTGGGTTGCACAAACTGGAGAACCAATTCACACACATTGCTTTCTCATTTGTGCAACTAGACCAAAATACACTTGCAGCAGTACTCATATAGCACAATATCTTTTAGAAAGCACTGTAGCAAAAACAGGTCATACAGATGGACATGTTACTATGATAAAATGTGACTGGGACCCAAAGATCTGCTTCCACATATGGAAATCTGCTTTCCAAGTTTAGAGTGGTTGTTTTCCTCATCATTTCCTCAAGCACTGAGAAAGTTATGAAGCTATAAGCAGAGTTAGCTAAACTGTGCAAAATATCACTTGAACAAATCAAAGTGCAACTACACAAGTTGCATCTGATCTTTCATCAACATTTCCTTGGATCCTGGCCTACATGCTATAACTTCTTATCACTGCACAAGTTCTTCCAAAAAAAATTCATTTTTAAAAGCGTCAGAAGCTCTATAATATAAAACTTGCAAAGTCCTTTTTGGATGCAACAAGAAAATGTGTTTTACTATTGTGCAAACAAGCCTCAGGTTACTGTGCTCCCATCTCCAATTTTGGTGTAGCAACAAGTTCACAAACTTTTGTTTTAAAACTAATCAGTGCTCTCTGTTATGTTTGAACTCAGAGGAATGCTGATTATTTTATACTTTGGTTTGGTTAAACAAGCCAGGATCAAACCAGTCTGCCACTCCTATTTTCTAAGTCAGCCTTCCTCAACCTGGTGCTCTCCAAATGTGCTGGCTGTGACTGATGCAACTTGTAGTCCAAATTATCTGAAGGGCGCCAGGTTAAGGAAGGCTGCTCTGTATCCAAATATAATATTGTGAACTCAAGTTTCAATGACTGAATTGGAACTGAAGACTATAAATCCACCCTCCATCTCTGCGTTAATTCTTTAGCTATTTCATACGTATATCCACTGCAAGTGCAAATCTCAACAAAGTGAATAACTAAATAAGCCAGTTTTATAGGAAAAAGCTAAATCAAAATTCATACCTCCTCCAGGTCAGCTTCGTAATCTGTGAAACCACCACCAATGTTCAACAGGTTCATGGTAAAGCCAAATTCTTCCTAAAATAAAAATGCAGAAAGTTTACTATCTACAAGGTATTAGGTGCCCTTTTTGTTTTGTAATATAGACTCTTAAAACACTGAGCTCTTTTAACAAGACAAGGTGATTTATTTGTTACCTTTTAAACGATTATACAGTAAATGGCAACTCAACTAATTTTCACATATGTCAAAAAAAAATGACAAATGTATCTACAATTGTGTGATGGAATTAAGTTGTACCTTGGTTCTCGAACGGAATCTGTTCTGGAAGCCGTTTGACCTCCGAAAACGTTCAAAAACCAAGGCTCGGTTTCTGATTGGCTGCAGGAGCTTCCTGCGCTCAAGTGGAAGCTGCGTCAGACGTTCGGCTTCTGAAAAACGTTCGAAAACTTGAACACTTACTTCCAGGTTTTCGGCGTTCGGGAGTTGATTTGTTTGTCAACTAAGCCGTTTGAGAACCAAGGTTTCACTGTACTGAACATATTCAACATGTAAACTTAAGTGTATACAAGTCCAATAATTCACTTACAGCCATATCAAACACACAGCGAGCATCAGAAATAGCATGTTTGTATACTTGAGTTTCCTTGCAAGAGCTTGACACATGAAATCTGAAACAAACAAAAAACAAAGACTAACTTTAGCTAAAAAATCCCTGCAGATTCTATGCGATTTACTCTGGCTTGACAAACTCACAAAGTTTGCAATAAATTTGCTTCACAATTCTCTCATTCTCTCAATGGCTCTATGCACTTATTGAAGCCTAGACCATAAACATGATGACAATTACCCAGCCAATCAAATCTGTCTGTGTTCCATGCTAAGCTTACTTAGAAAAAGCTTCCACTGAAAGCAACAGGATTTCTTGCTAATAAATATGGGACTTATACAAAGGGTAAACAAGAAGATGGAGTACAGTACAGTATTAGCAAAAGAGATCTCTCTACATTACTGAAATATCATTCAGCATTGAAGTTCTAATCCCAATCCTCACTAGTTACAGTTTTTTGCCCAAAATTATTATTTATTTATTAGTATTTATTGAACTTATATACCACCCTATACCCGGAGGTATATTGACACTTGAGGCAGGAGACCTCTGTTTTCAGTATAACCATCTTCTTGGAATTAGATGCTTTGGGTGTCTAATATTTGCTACTAGGGACGCGGCGTTATATAGTTGAGACTATGGGAAAGCTGTAGCGAATTGCTTTGCTCTGAATATTGCTGTTGCCTTTCATACATGTATTTCTAAACGTTTACCTTTTGTTTGAAATGGGTTTGTCCTATCAAGCCTTACATGTTAAATGACTTTCATCTGCCATATGTATTCAAATTAGGTGGTCCCCTTTAGGAACTAATTTACAGCCTTAAACTGAAAAGGTCAATTTTATCACACAGAAAATGTATGTACTGTACACCATATATAGGACAAACTTTTCTAGAGGTCTGGGAACTAATATCCCTGAAGAGTTCAGTTTCTTTCTCTCTCTGGTATTAATACTTCCCATATTCTCTTTCCAAATATTTGGGTGCACAGAAACAAGACACTGTATTATATAGCATTTTACTAATATGTATGAGATATAATTGGAAGCATAGTTATGAAACACTGTGGCTACTTTTATAGACATTCAGGATACCTCCCTAACATGAACATTTCAAGACCCCATATACCATTCAAGTCCACTGCTTTCCTCTTTCACACTGAAAAGAGCAGCAATGTGAAGGGAAGATGAGGGAGAAAGGACAGGATTACTTACTTAACACCAACTATTTGGACATTCAGCTCCTTAGCACATTCCATGAGGTGCCGACAGTTCTTCAGGGTGGTGCCAAACTTCATGTTCATCTCTTCCTCTCCATTAATGTCTTCTGTGGCAATATGAAGCAAGAGCCTAAGAGAAGGGGAAGATGATTGGGGCACAGTTGGTTTACAGCAGCATCAGCACATGTGAAGCCTGAAGACTGTCAGAAGTATGTTGATTATGTTGCCAATACTCCAGTTCCACCGATGGACGAGTCAAGGGAACCTAATAAAAATAATCCTGTACAGAGAGAAAACTAGCAATTAGGGCCTAAATATGGAGTCAAAAAGGATAAGTGGTTTGGAAATGCAGCAGCTAATAACTGCTATAGCAGAAAACCTGTTGATTGCTGTAATAAAAATACATTACCTTGGATGTAATCATGGCTGTCATAAAGCTGCTCAGTGACAACTTCTTGCAAAATGTGCTGAATATGGTTCAGTTCACATGTAACACTAAGTCAAACCATAGCCCCTGTAGAGGCAGTTACAGCTGCTCCTTCTCCAGTCTTACTGCACTGCTGCAAGCTAAGATGTGGTTTAGTGCAGCATGCCATCCACACTCAGGCTAATGGTTTGGCTGGAAGAGACGAGCTGTAAACCAAGAACAATCCTTGGTTACAGCTTGTGGTTTGTCTGGGACGAGACAAATCATGAAACACTATTCAGACAACATACTAAGCCAAACCATAGCTTAGCTTCATAGCAGGAGCAAAATAGCAAAGCAGCTGCAACTGTCTCTACAGGGGCCCATGCAGTCACAAGCAAGCTATGGTTCAGCTTACCTTTACATGCAAGCCACGTCTATGACTGGGTTTTGAATACTGTACTGTTTGCTTGATAAAATATGGCTGATTTGAAATAGAAGGCATCCCAGATTTTCCCTCCCATTGGGTACTTTTTTGAAGTATTAATTCCAGTTTTATTAGCTTCGCTGCTTGCTTCTTCCTTTAGTAGTAGCCAGAACAGGCTGGTGGGCAGCATTTCATTTGAAGGTAACAGGGCTTACACCCTTAAAGAAACTGGAACTTGATGACTGAGAGTATAATGAGTCCTTGGTTTCTAGAAAGATGGGTCATTTCTTGCAAACCTGAGCATCAATTAGCTGCTAATATTAATCAAAAGAGATACAGCCATTAATTTCACTCTAAATGTCTGTGTAACATCCTTAGGGCCAAGTCTACCAAACCTTACTTTGGGAGCTGGATGCATTAATAGCCTTGCAAACGTCATACTCCACAAATGACTGTGTTAGTCCTCTGCTGATTCAGTTAACAGAAGTGACTACATGGCCAGTGTTGGGTATCGGAATGAGTGGGAAGCTAGCATCTTTATATTTTCCAAGTGTGTATTATATTGCCCCAAAATAAGGTCCACAGCACTCATGCAGATCTGCCCTTAAAAACATGCAACTGAAGCACTATATATTATCCTTTTTCTTAAGGATCAATATACCTGATGATAAAAGTTTGGATCATAATATGCATTAGTAGTGTAGGAGCATATAACATATGTAAGATATTTCTTGAACACATGGCAATCGCTGCCCTATTAGAAGAATAAACTCCAGCAACTTTTTTACACAAAGATTGACAATGAGGAAGGAGGTGCCCAATTGCATGACACATTTACTGGATGAACTCTTCTCTCAAGGCCCAGGAAGTCTGCCAGAATATTAAATTACTGAAACAATCCAGAGATTGACATGCAGCCTTCATATTCTATTATTTCAAAGGGGCATGTACTTACCCACTAACTGCCTTATCTGTTTTAGATAATCCACCGCCATACATTTGTTCCTCCTTCATGCTGATGCTACCCCAAGTAAACTAGAAGAAAACTTGATGTGCACTTCTGGTGCAGCACCACAGTTCTGGCACGCAGCATATAGCAGCCTGTTCCAGATTTGTACTTGATTTCCCCCCCTGAAACATTCTGGAGCAGCTCAAGGGATCTTGAGACAATTCTCTCAGATGGTGATCTGAACAAACATGTGATACATTTCATCATGATGCCAGAGTCCCAAGCAGAGAATGATGTGTGTAAATACATAGAAATATTCATGTTTTAATATCGCCAGCCCACATAACCCTGGCAGGAGGTGCTTCCGAGTCAAAAGAAGTTTTAAGGTATCTTGATAAAGCAATTTCAGGGTAAGTTAGTAGAATCTTCAAAAGCAACAGCTTAAAACTATGTTGTCAAACACACCTAACTAATATTTGGGTCATCAAGGTATACATTCTCAAGTTTTAAAGAGTTGCATGTTAGAACAGCCAAGGGAGACTTCTCTGCAAGTAGTATTTCAGAAGGTTATCCCTTTAGAGATAATTCATTATAAGCATATATTAAATTTAATTCAGTGGGCTCTAGTTCATGAAAGCTTATGCCATAGTACAATTTGTTCGTCTTCTAAGATGCCACAATAATCTTTTAAAATTGTATACTGTAATCCCAACTTCCCACAATGGTAAGTAAAATGAAAACATTTCTGTATACTTACTTTGCATTCGGATGGTTCCTAGCAATTTTCTTTAATTCGAGTTCACTGTCACATGTCAAAATGTTTACTCCAATTTTCGCTGCATATTTTATCTGAGAAGCTTGCTTGCAAGGATTTGTGAATATAATGTTTTCAGGAGAAATGCCCAGGTCTTGAACCAATGCCATTTCAGTCTGAAAAAACAAACAAACATTTGAACAAGGTTAGAGGCAAATAAAGGTTGTGAAGAAGATTTAGAGTATATAAGGTTGGAATTTTTTAAAATCACAATAGTGGTATTAAAAGGGGGGGGGGAGAGAAAGTAATACCTAATGCAAGACTTGTTATCCAAAGTTACTTAGTTTAAGTTTGCAAGCTGCTGTGTCCCAAAGGCTAAGAAAATTCTACCTTAAGTTTCTAGAGTTAAACTCTAAAGCCAGCTTGGGGGGGGGGGGGGCTTACAAAGTTTTGAAAGTTTCTAATGCTTGGAGCTCTGGAGCTGTCCTACATGCACATAATGTCCAAACAAGCTATGCAAGTTACGCTAATAAAACACGTCATTCTTAGTTGTTGTTCTTAAGACATCACAATGGTATTTGGATTCTTTTTATTTACTCCAGTTATCAGAGCATCGAAGTTGGGTACAAAAATCTCAGTATGTGGAAGGTTCATAGGCTGGAGAGGAACCACAATTTAGTGGTGGAGTCCATGCTTTCCACAAAGGTCCCAAGTTTAATCCCTGGCATCTCAAGTTACAAAGAGACCTTGGAGAGCTACTGTCAGTCAAAGCAGACAATGGGCTAACTGGAGAAAGTCTGGCATAGTATATGGTAGCTTTCTATGGTCCTAAGTAATATAATATGCTTGCGGTATCACACGCCTGTGCATAGCAATGATACGGTCAAGAATGCATTCCATATCTCACCCCCCCTCATATTAAGATGTTTAAATTCCAGCTTAAACACATCCAGGGTGGTTTACAAAAGCTTTAGAATATTAAACCCAATACAGCATTAGAATAAAATAAGACACCAAATGAAACAGAATCGGCACAAGCATTAAGAATAAAAAGGCCAGGCCCAGCCACTGAATGTACCAGAGAATACAATTGTCTTCATAAAACTGGGAAGATGAGCTGGCTCCAGCCACTGGCCTGAGAATGAGCTGCAGGGAGTTTGCTCACCCCTTATCTTCTGTAATGAATACTCTGCTCCAAATGCTAGTTGGCCTACAATCACAGCAGTGAGGGAAAGGTCATTCTAACCTTTGCAACCAGCCAGCGGAATGTTCCTGGATTGTTTGTTTTATTGCTCTAATCTGTTGTAAGCCACTTTAAGAATATAAACACACACAGACATATGAACTAGCTTCCATCATGCCTAGGAGGTGGGTACTCCATAAACAGGATCACCACCAGGACTATTTCTAGTCACCAACCTCGAAAGCGCTGGCGGCAGAGGCACATGAAGCGGAACCTCCAAAACTGTTCTTAAGGAGTGAACAAGCTCTTATAGACATCCTCTACTAGAGGTTTAGGGTTCAGAGAACCCTACCCTAATGTGGTCCCCTCCATGTTGTGGACTACAGCTTCCACCAGCATGGCTGTGCTGGCTGAGGGGAGCTGTAGTCTTAAACCTATGCAGGGCACCAGGTTGGAGAAGAGTTGTTTAGGTAAGATGCCAAATACTTACTTTGCTTGAACATGCAAACCCAGTTCCAAGAGCTGCCATTATCTCAAGTACACCTTCAGTGGAGTTACATTTTACATTGTAAAATGGCTTTACTGGTGCCATCACATTCTGCCAGTGGATGTGCTGCTTAATCAACTTTCCCAGATCACCAACAAAAAAAGTATTGTTTCCAGTCTAGGAAGAAAGAGAAAAACAGTGAATCTACAGTTAAAGACTACAGTAACTACAAAGATATACAGTAAGTAGCTGGCAGTCATAGGGGGCATTTTCCATTTTGTTTATTACTGTCCCAGACATCCTCCACTTTCCCTGGGCATACCGTGAAAATGTAACCTTGTTTTTGAACTTTATTTGTGGTTGAAACGCCTCTAAATCTGAAAATCGGCAGTACAATGTCTAAGCCAGGTAAGGCTGTGCAAGTTCTGAACCAGTGTCTAGAGATGCAGCAGTGGCCTGGATAAGGGCCAATAAACTGAGCCTAGAATCCTGGCAGGACTGAAGCTCTATGGCTGTGCCATTTCAATGTCTAGGAGAAAGGCCAGTTTCCTGCTTTGGATGGAGCTGCACTCACCCTAAAGGAGCAGCTATGCAGTGTGAAGGTACTCCTAAGTCCAACTTTGTCATTTGAGGCACAGATAAACCTCAGTGGCTGGGAGTGCATTTACCAGCTGCAACGGTTCCTGCATAAATTAACTGTGATGGTTCAAGCAATGGAAACCTCAAGGATAGACTACTGTAACGCACTCTATGTTGAGCTACCCTTGAGACTGGTGTAAAATTCTGAATGCAATACCTGTGTTAAGGGAGCCTCACAGACTGCCAGTATGCTACCAAGCTTCAAATTCTTGCTATTAATCTATAAAGACAGACATAACCTGGTGTACTTAAAAGGGTGCTTTAATCCCTACACCCCTGCCTGATCTTTGTGAACTGTCACTCAGACAAGTCTGACAATTGTGCATTTCATATGGTGGTAACGGGGCTAAGGAACTCATCTAATGAAATCAAGCTAGTATCATATGTCATAGGTTTTAGGCACCATCTTAACACCACTATTTTAACCTAGCCTTCTCATCAAAATGATTGTTTTTTGTGTGTTTTTTTTCAGATGAACCGTTCTTTACTTCTGTTTCTTTAATTTATTTTACTTCAATGTTACTCTTGTGTTTTTTGCTTTTAACTGAGGTCCTGTATAACTGCATGGATTTATTTTTTGAGTTTGCAATATAAAAAATAAAATAAAAATACTGAAAGCGGAACACTTACAACAGTATGTTCATAAATGCAGTTGTCAATGACATCTCCAACATTTACTCCTTCATCCAGTAAGCCAATGGAGTAGTTTGCATCCTCAAGAAATCCTTTCATCTCAGCCGTATTCCGCAAAGCCGACAGTCATAAACCAAGAAACACAAGGGATGGGCCACAAAGCCTTAGATCCGGGTCCTTAAGCTATGCAACAAACTGTTTGACAGAGAAGACAATAAAAAAAATTACAATCACACGGCAGCCTTTTAGAAAGCTTTCGTTTCTCCTTCCCCACCCATGCTCTCTCACACAGAGATCAGGGGGCTATCAACAGTGTAAATATGCTGCTTATTTAAATTTGAAAGCAAAACAACAAAGCTAGGTATTCAGCAAAATTGGATTATAAATTGGGTGGGCAGCCTGCAGCCCTTCAACTATTTTCATGCAAGGAGCCCACAGGGAAAAGGGGGGAAACACTGAGGGGGTAGGGAGAGGGCAACAAACAGGATGCAGTGATGGAGAAGGAGGAAAAAGCCCTCTGCAAGTAATACTTCCATATCTCTGGCAAACGCAATCTGTTTCTTTCCTGACCTGATGCATAGTGAGAAAGGAGAGGAGGAGTGACAGAAACAGAGAGGTAGGGACAGAAAAGGGATGAACCCCCGCCACCCACTTTTGGCTCTATCCCCACCCATTGCTGTCAACAGATTACCACTGAGGGAATGCTGCCTTCCACAGAAAAGAAGTCTCCTGCCCCTAGCAAATTAGCACCCCATGTGCTAGTTTTCCACTGCAGAAAGCTTTTTGTGATTTAAAAAAATGTATTTATTATCTGTGGGAAGCAGTAGGCATACAGAAAGACATTTTGCCAAATCTTTTACTTTTACATTAACTTTTCTCCTTAATAATCTCAAACATTAAGAGGTCAGAGCCACTTTTAAAATACTAAAGCCATTTAGTGGGGAGGGGGGATCATTTAATTATGGAGTAGGCTAGCATGCAAAATAAATGTACCAATGTAATATTGACATGTTATCCAATAATAATTAAATTAAACAATGAACGTATGTTTACTTAGCATGCAAAATAGTTATTTGAAGTTCTTAAAGTGTTTGATGCGTGCACGCACACAAACCCCTTAAAGCTCTAAAGTTGAAGGAATGGGGGGTGGGAAGTAAGAGAAACATTTCTCCAGACTTTTCTGGTCTGCTGGCTAAAGAACAAACCTCCAATTAGTCTACTCCAGTTCTCTCATTTGGTTATACCTATGTGTCACTTGTCTTCCAAAAGGGTGTTGGGGAAACATGTGCACACCAGGCAGGTTCTCTGAAGAACTGCCTGTCCCAGAGAGCTATGCTGACAAGCTGAAGGTGGAGACCACTTTTAATAAGAATTTAAAATTATACTCAGACAAACCAATTTTAATTAATACCCTGTTCCTAGTAGGGTCCATTATATTTAACGTCTAATTGACTTTTTCCTCAATAAAACATTTTATAGCACAACTTCAAGGTGCCTATTAGTCAGCTCTCTCACACACGAACAATCTGGGTGTGTCAAGGCTCTTCCAAGTTTAGGCACACCCCAAATGTAAGTATATTTGTGGTAAGCATTTCTGTGAAGTTGCATGGTTAAGGTTTAATTCACTAGTTATGATTAATCTAAAATATTTGTACACAGCAGAACAAGTCTTGTTGCAAAATAAAAGCTTAGAGTGCCTAGGCACTACACAATCATTAAGGAAAACAGTATGGAATGCCAGCATGAAAAACTTTTAGGTTGCCTTAAAAATGGGCATCAATTCATCAGGCAAACATTTATCAGCAATACAATTTATTGGCAAGACAAATATGAGAATCTACCCAACTTTAGAAGATTTAAAAATCAATCAATTTAATTTTGACGAGAGGCTACATGTGGTACTAAAGAAACAAATGTCCTGATCCTATGGATCAGCTGTGCAAGTGCAATAACTCCAAGGATCATACAGTTTGATCCCAGCATGTCAGACCTGCCTATAACAAGGAAAATACAAAGAACTGAGGAAAAGCTGTCACAAACACGGAAATACAGTCAATCATGTTTCTTTTGAGTAGGTTATTTCATCCAAGAGATTAAGGTAAATTTGAGCTGTATTGGGTTGTTCTAAGCACTCGTTTCAATGCAACTCTAATAAAGGGAAGGCTGCCGAATCAAAGTATTGTAAGAATTAAACATTCCAAATCCTCAGTGACTGAAATAAGGAAAGTTATTAATCTTCTATGAAGGCAAAGCAAGATTACAATTGCATTCATAAACAGAGAAATTCACAAACTCTCCTTTTCCAGCACAGTGTACCCTGCAGCCAGCTGAGCCCAGGGAAACCCAAAGTACCACATGGTTCAGTAGTTGCACAGCCTGACAAGGCTGCTAGTCTTTGTGACAACAGTTGAAACAGCTTCCAAGCTTCAACTGCTTCAGCCAACCAGTTGCAGCAGTTACAGATGAGACAGCACAAATAGTAAATTTGCCAGGATTTAACTACTAATAAGGATCATGTGGGTGCATTTCAGCATGATTTGAAATATCACACCTTCTGTTCTTTATTTCTCTGCAGATTATCAAAGCATTTCAGAGTATCAAACAATAAGTAATTAATATAGGTCTTCTTCAAATGTAACAGGCAGGTCACAGTTTGGCTGCTGAGAATAGTTTTCAGACTCAGTTCTTCCTTCCAGGTTTCAGCAAAGCATAGTATGCTGTAATGTCCAAATCAGGTACAATATGTTTGTACAACCCATAGTTGGTCTCTCAAAGTTCAAACAGAAATTTCTCATTCCGATTTGGAAGCCAAACTACAGCTTGCATAAACCACAGTTTGCCTGATTTAGACATCAGAGCAAATTATATTTGCTTCAACTAGAAAAAAGATGGTAGGAATATGAACATGCAAAGAAGAGGATGATGATGATGCAAGAAGAAGAAATATACAAGTTTGAAACCCACAATCTCAATATATCTAAGTCAGGTCAGAGCTAGGCTTCCAGCCAGGCTAGTCAAATAGGCTGATTCAAAACACCAACAATTTAGCTAAACAAAACAAAACCTGCAAGCATAACTTTTGTTTCAAGTATATTTGACAGATTAGTCTTTTTAAAATTAAGGTGACATCCTCTAAGTTCTGTCTTCTTTTTCCATAATACAATAGAATTACTGCTTGAAGCAGCTTCTTATATATTAGCACACAAATGCAGCAGCAGGTTGGTATGCAGTACATTCTTTTGCAAGAATGCTGTTTATTATGTAATGGGACATGCTTCAACTAGTCATGTTTTTTTATTTCAGTAGTGTTTAATCTAAATTATTTTAATTCCAACAAAAATGATAACCAGAATATATTATTATTAGATGTCTGATAAGGCACCAAGTTTGCAAAACCAGATTTCCTGCTGCGATGATACAGAACTATAGTAGGGTGCTTCCGTCCATTTCTCTCCTCTGTAATTTAAACTGTAACTAGTACAAATCATTTGTCCAAGACGGAATCCACCAATCTCCTGTAGTTGAAAAACTAACTTATGAAAGCAAGAGGCACTTAACAAGACATACCTTGGAGGCTGTGCTCTACAAGTGAAGTGCTGAAATGATTTAGCAATGGGTATTTTCATGTAACACATCAATAAGACGATTAAAGTTTATTCTAAACAGCCATTATCTCCCCATTAGCATACTGAGGTAGGTTACAAATGAACACAGAGGATTTATAAAAACTATGCCTTTAATTTAAGGGAAGGCATCTTAAGGTATTGATATGTAAACTCATACAAACACAGATTAAGGCCAACAGCTTTTCTTGAATTAAGATCAGGCTTTCACACATTTCCCTATCATTTGGAACAATTCATAAAACAAATTCCAGAAGGGAAAACTTAGTGAATTTACAAGTGCACAGCTGTAAAAATAAAGGAAAAGACTCACATGGACAAGTTAGGAGATGGAACCCTACTATCATCAGCTAGGTTCCCAAGGTGGCTCAGCGTTGAAGTCGAACTGTTCCCGATAAAGCACTTCTCCTAATCCCTCTGGATAGTTGTACACCTGGTCAGAGAGCTTGCCCTGTAAGGGGGGGGGGGAGAGAGAGAATATCCATTATATATTCAACAGTAATGTTGCAAGTCCAGCTTTACAAAACCAATCTTCAAATGATGGGAAATTCTGCCTTTGCACATGAGTCTGGGAATGTTCAAATACACCCATCTCAATACAGCAATTGTGCTTAAGAAAAAACAGGAAGTTTAGCATACAGTACAGGATTTGTGCAGAGGTTACACTCTGGACCCCCACACAAGTTGGTGGGGCCCACATAAGCCCACCCTGCCCTGTCCTGTCCCGTGATGTTTTTGAGTCACTTCCAGGTTTGGCACAGTCATGCACATATGGGACGTGCCTAAAATGGTTGCTGCCTGTATGTTTAGATCATTGATAAACATACATTCAGGTTAGAACACAGACTGAGAAGGCCAATTCAAACTTCACCAGAATTGTACAACATTCAGCTTGCAGTATGAAGGCTCCCAGGCAGTAGCAGTTTCATAGCAACTACAAGCCAGAAGCATAAATGAACATGCTGACTAAGTACTAAAATATTTAGCTTATCAACCATTTGTTGTCAAACCGAGTTCAGGGAGCCTTGGGGATCAGCAGAAGAGCTGTCCTGACCAACTCTGTTGCCACTATCAAACTTCCCTTACAGTATGGAAGCATAAGGAAAGTTTTGCGTGTTCTGCTCACGTGGCACAATAGATCTGACCAGCACTTTGTGTAAACAAGGTAATAAAAAAAAGGAAACCAGAGTTCTATACTGTGGAAACTACTTAAGCTCTGAGAAAAAGGGAAGAATGAAAACAAAGAAGTAAGATAAGTGATGAACACACTTGCACATCATCCAAGTTCAACAAGAAGGAACAAGTTCAGATTAAAAATGGAGACTGAATTATTAAAAATGGAGAACTGCTACTGAGTAATATTCTCCAAGGGAAATGATGTGACAGAAAGGTAAATACTGTACATCCTATAGAAAACATATAGAATGTAGATTAAATTAGCAGAACCTCTATTTCTGTAACATCTGGTTGATGGAAACATTTTTCAAGGAAGCTAGTTACAAATAACAGCTCAACTTTCTTGAGACATAAGTTGGACATTAGATGGCTTTTTGTGTACATATGTTTTATGAACACTTGCTGAAAGAAAAACTACGCCTTAGCAATTAAATTACTTGGTGTAAACAGATCACTTTCATCAGCAGACCGTATGCTATGTTGACAACTGCATCTAGACTACATTTTAGAGGAACAGTGACATTGGTACAAAGTCTATAAAGTGGTACCTCGGGTTACGAACTTTGCCCCAGGATGAGAACGGAAATCGTGTGCCAACCCTATTAGCGAAAGCACGCCTCAGGTTAAGAACGGTTTCAGGTTAAGAACGGACCTCCAGAACTAATTAAGTTCGTAACCCGAGTTAGCACTCTATCAAGGGAAGGGACCCTGAGGATCATCTAGTCCAACCTGCTGAAATGCAGGAATATGCAGCTGTCCCATACAGGGATCAAACCCACAACCTTGGCATTATCACCACACTCTAATTCACGCCTTAATCAAACAAATATTAAAATCTTACAAATGTAAAGTCTTACAAGAATCACAATCACCTAGGTTATAGGCACAACTTCAGGTCCAAAAGAGAGAATCTTCTGGCAAGAGCCGGGGAGAAAAGTGGCAGACTGAAAGATCAACAGCAGCAAACTCCTGCCCACAATGGCTCGGAATAGGAATCCCTCAAGGGCAAGATTATAGAGCAGGGACATAATGGGCTACCGTACTCTGTCAACACCCAAAACCTATATGAAAGTTTGAACAGAGGCAGTAAGGGAGCCTAAAACTAGTACTTGAAGGAAACCCTCACACTACACATTAAATCCACCAACAGGCCAGCTTGTGGGCACATCTTGTTCTAGTTAATCAGGGATAAGGTCCAGAGACAAGCACAACATTGGCGCAAGTAGCCAGCAGCAGGGAAAATAAAGAACCCAGTCCCTGTACCAACAGCTGTATAGCCCACTAAAAACCACAATTCAAGTCTTTCAGGTCCCCAGATAGATGTCCTAGTGGTAGTCCTTTACTTAACAACAATATTGTCCAAGGATGGCAATAGCCTTCTGAGGCAATCGGCAGACAAGTGAAACAATTCTACTTCTCTTCTGTACTCCAGAACAGCTGTGCTGCAGGACAATGAGCAGCCACAGGAAAAAAATGTATCTGCTTTGAATGTGCATCTGGTGGAGGGGCAGTCTGGTGCATCTGTTCAGTCTGAATCCTTGCAGTCATCTTTTATTCCTATCCTTTCTTCACAGTTATTTTTCATGTTTCATCCAAAAGGACCACACTGTGCCCCAGTTAATCCAGACCTGGAAAGGCATAAGTACCTTCACCATTCTTGATACAACATTTGCAGGACTCATCTATTAAAAAATGAGTAATCCAGCAGGCTACCCTAGCTCCACAGAGCAGAAAAAAATTATTCTGTGTTGGTCCAATTTTTTATTTCCTCAGCACTCCTAAGAAGCAGGCATTTATGAGGACAGGACTATATTAGTCGTGCTTGGCATCCAGACATGAAAGCAAGTACTTCACAAAACTATGCAGAAATTCTATGTATTCATCCTGTAAACCTCTTTTCAAAAGGTTTCAACCTAATGTCTCCAAGAAGCCCAACAAGGATCAAAATGGTCCAAGTTGGAACAGCTGATTGTTTAGTGCACTCCATACCCTCTGGCAGAGGTGGAAGTGGAATAAACCTATTCTAATTGAATCAGATCTGGTGTGTATACTTTATCAGATTGGAACACACCTTATGTTCCCTTGCATTCTTTACACCTTTTAAACATACTGTGAAACTCACTCACCTCCATTTCTACCATTTTAACTGCTTCAGGTGAGTAACCATGTTAGTCTTTAAGATTCTACAGAACAGCAACAGACTAACAAGCCTATGCATCTGATGAGGTGGTTCAACAATTTCTTATCCCATAATACATTTATTAATTCTTTAAAGTGCTACAAAACTTTGTTTCACTTGTACAGTACCACATATACCTAAAAAAATCTTTCTACATTACATTTGGAAATAGGAGACTGATTGACTATTTATGTCACAATATATCTATTTCTCATATTTGTGCCCTGTTCTCTCTGCAAAGAGATTTTCATTAGATAACCCCCAAGAAGCAAGTTAACCAGAGTGAAGAGACTAGCACAAGTTCATGTGGTGATGACGTTCCTTACTAAGTGGGTGCTTCACCTGTTCAGCACTACCCACTTAGCTCTTCTAAAATAATCTAAAATAAATATTCCTCCGTGTCCACAGGACTTCGCAAAAGTTCAGTGCTACCATGGCTGTGAATTAGTCCTTTACCTCCTAAAGGATATTCGTTCCTGAAACTCTAAAATCTAACATCCAACACCAGTTATTTTATTCTCCATGCTTATGCACATAACTACCCATTTAACAAAATTTACAGACAACTTAATCAAAACAACACACCTGTAAGCAGTTTACATAAAATAGCATAACATATTTATAATGACGTACCAATAAAATCAACAAGCTTCAAAAACAAGTTCACACAATAAAGGCACGTGTCTGGGAGCCGCTTTCTCAAGCACAGTTGTGTTGCCTTTTTCATTTTAAGGCGTGTGCAAAGCAGCAGTTCCTTCGCCACAGATGAGCTCTTCGCGTTTTCAAGCCATAAAGCAGAACTTCCCCCACTTGGAGCAGGGGCGACCAAAAAGGAGGCCGAGTAGCCGATCATCCGCATGGCTGAACTGCCTTGGTAGTATCAGCAACCCAAAGCAAACTCCCATTGTGCGCCACCAAGAAGCCCTGCAGCTTATTCTAGCCGCCGCCGTAGCTCCCGCCCGCCTTCCCTCCCACGTCTGCCGGAGGCTGCTAGGGAAAGCTCAGCGGCTACGGGCTTCCCCGCGGGCGGGATACACCAGTGCGCCTGATGTGGGCGACAGCACCAGCTCTCTGGCGAGGCTGTAGCTGGGCAGACAAGGGAGGGGAGGGGCTCGCACTCCGAAGAAGCGCATGGGGCGGGGGATGCCGTGTCGCAAACCGCAGCGGCGGCAGCAGCAGCAGCAGCAGCAGCAACAGCATTGTTCACACCATGGCAGGCAGGCAGGAAGCGAAGAACTAGACAGGACCAGTCCAGACTGGAACAGACCCTCCTCCCCCTGCCAGCACGCCATGCTTCGCGGCGCAACTCCGCGAAGACGCCGTCGCCGCAGGGCTGCAGGAGGGCGCTCGCAGCTGGTCGCCAGCGCACATGCAGGGAAGGAGGAAGGGGCCCCGAGGACGATCGCGTCAGCTTGGTCACAGCGGACGGTGACGCTGAAGCAGCAGCGGCTGCTCCAGCTAGCCCGAGCCTCCAATGACAGCGATTCCTCCGAAAGGGGGCTGCAGGCTGGTCTGGCGAGACCTGCGCTCTTTTGAACTGTCCCTTATACTGGCGCCAAATATGTGCAGGATCCTCTGCATTTCAAAAGGCTTGCTTTCCTGCCCCGCGTGCAAAGCCCGACTCCACGCCTTTCCCTGTACTTCTGCCGCATCCCAAACTACGCAGTTGAGATATACTGTAATGCGAACACACTGGACCTGTACCATGCATGTTGGAAAAACACACTGCGATAAGTATATGTTCCCATAACACCTAAATCTTGGTTCTAATGCATTAATTGTGTTAACCAGCATTTGTGCTGTTTTGGTCAGAAAGAAGCAGGGAGATAAGGTATGACAAAAGGTACTTTTCCACTACCAGTTCAAAGAACGTTAGAGGAACTCTGGAGACCAGGGTTCAAACTTCACTCAGTCATTAAGCTTACTGGGTGACCTCCGACAGTCTTTCATTCTAACCATCCTCAAAGGGTTCCTGATGAGGATGAAATGGGGAGAAGGGAGAACTATGTATGCCACCTTGAGCTCCTTAGAAGAAAGATGGGGCATAAATGTAAGCAAATGAACATTGTCGGACAAGTAAGAGGTAGCAGTTATTCCATATTAACAGATGGCCAAAGTTATGATCCTGTACCATTCAACAGCTAAGAGCTTTTCCCACTGTCTTCCCCACAAAGAAAAAGGAGATGTTTTGTCACATTTGTATCCTCTTCAAAGAACTCACAGCAGCATTCATAGGATACTCATCCCCCCCCCCCCAAGTAGGTTGAGCTAGAAAAACAGCAACTTTCCCAACAGATGATCAAGAATGTGGTCTTTCCTAAATTCAAATAACCATTCCAGCCTCTGCTGGAGGCATGGGTGTCAGATATCCAAACAGTTCCACCTGTGTCACTTCTCCGACATACGAAAAAATATGTACAACTCTTTACAAACTTTCTAAAAGCCAATGTCAAGTAGAGTGGTTTGAACCAAGAAGCTGCAACCCTGCCACCTTCAAATCAGGCCAGATTTTCTCAAATCCTTCCACACATGCTTAGGGACAAACTTGCAATGCTGATTGCCTGTACAGACCATGGGGTTTGTGTTTATTCCTGAGTACTTAAAAACAAAAATGTGTGTTCTTGTGCATATTGTGCAAGCATCTGTCGGACCAGTAGGAATATTTAAGAGACATGTGCCCCAGGAGAATTGCAGCAATTGAACAGGACAGGAGGTCTTGCTTCATCCCATTCCTTGGTATACCAGCGTTAAGACATGTCTTAGCACTAAGAAAAAGGGCAGCTCCAACAATTCTCATCCAGCCATGATGGAGATTAATTATTTGATCTTTGAAGAAAGCAGCAGTAATATTAGTGTCAAATTATGTTACCAACAATAAACATGGTATAGCCACAAACAATGGGTGCAAAATCATTTTGAGGCAAACCATGGCAGATGTTCTACATCCTAGGTAAGTGACACCTGTCATGTTCCTCCATTCCTGTGGCCTGCACCACTTCATACACCTTGGCAACTGCTTACAGGCTTTGACAAAAGCAGCTGGTTCCCATTCAGAGACACGTTAGGGCAGACATGGTAAAATCATCAGCCACTCCTTGCTGACACCATCCACCCATGCAGAGAGAGGGCATTAAGGGTGGCCTTCCTTGCTCACCAGGCGCATGAGGAGGAAAAGCCCTTAGGTTAGTGCCAGACAACACCACAACCCGGAAAGCTGGTCTCAATTCTATACACACACACACAGCACACCTACAAATGAAAAAGAAGGTGGGGGGGGAGGTAGAGGACGACCTCTGCCATGTCACCAGCTTCCAATGACTCCCTTCATGGTCGGGAGGCCTAAATGCCCCCAGCCAGATCTCCCAGAGCCACATGAAGGCTTCACTTTTAGGGACCGAGGCAACTCACCATTGCCCCCCCCCCGAGGGCGGCAGGTGACAAGTGACCAGCCGGCGACAATGGCCACTCCGAGGGGATAAGAAGGAGTCCTCCTCCTCCTCTCGCACACGTCAAGCGCTGCTTCTCGCCACCGCGGAGCCTTCGGCCTCCAGAGCAGCCGCCCACCCCTACCTCCACCCCCCCTCCATCTCCAACGGCAGGGCGTTAAACGGCTGCTGCTGCTTCCCGCAGCTTATCACCATGAACTGACCCAGTTCCGAGGCAGCCATACACACACTCACTCACACAGGCGGTGGCAGCCTCCCACTCCCCTCCACAGGAATCCGCCATGTTAGAACAGCCGCCGAGGAGCCCCTCTGCCATGTTGTCCTCTGGGCTCCCCGCGCCTCGGTTCCCGGCCCCGTCCGCCGCCGCCACAAATGCCCGACTCGCGGGGGAACGGGGCCGCCGAAGCCCGTCGGGCGGTAGCCCCCTCCCTGCCTCCCTCCCTCGCACGCGAGCGTCCGCCATGTTAGGAGCTCCTCAGCCCCGCTCCTCCTCTCTCTCGCACACCGCTGACCTGCTCGGGTCGGGGATCCTTGGCCGCCCTGAGCGCTGAGGGAAGAAGCGGGGAAGAGCGCACACTCGCCATCCTGAGCGAGCCGCCGGCGTGAGAGGGGTGTCCGCTCGGGGGAGCTCCCTTCTGGCTCTTCCCCGGCCCGCCCAGGGGCTCGGCTCTCTCCCTCCTCTTCTCCCCGCCTCGAGGGGGAAGAAGTGTCGCCTCGGGGCTTGGGGTAATGGGAACCCCCCAGAGCCCCGAAGCGCGCTAGAATGGGGGTGGGGTGGGGAGGCATCTTCTTTACTGGGCTCCCAACGGATCCAGACCTAGTGACAGCGCGCGCGCGCGCAGAGCGCGACGGACATCGCTCTTTCCTCGCGCCTCCTTTCGGAGCAGCTTTGTGCCGAGGAGTCACCATCTATGGCGCTCGCCGCCTAGCCAGGACCCAGGAGGAAGGAGACTGTCCCCCCCCCACGCCTCTCTGGATCTGGCCGAGGCACCTGCGCCCGGTTCCGCCATCACCCGCCTCCGCTGGGGCTGAAGGTGCATCTGGAAAGGCAGGGAAGGCAAGGCAAGGCAGGGAAGTAGAGCGCTGCATGGGTGGGTGGCGTCCCCCTTTCAATACACGTATTCCCCCAATAAATAATCATAATCATATATAGTAGGTTAAGTACTCACGTGGGACAACGGCCCGAAAGATTTGGTAAATCGTCTTCTCTTTTTAGGCGGAATTTTTAAAGAGGGATGTGGGAACCTACAGCAGAAATACGGGAGGCGGCAGCGGCGCCTTCCAGGGCCATAGGCTGCAGGGCGACCAGAGAAAAGAGCGCAAAGTTGCGCCGAGGCTTAAGAAAAAATAAGAGCGCGCACACAAAAATGCGAGGAGACGCGAGGGAGGCGCGGGGCAGAAGCCCGGGAGGAGAGGAGGAAGGCGGGCGGGCGGGCAAAGAAAAAACACACGGAAGACGGGAGACGGCGCAGCAAGCAAGATCGCCGAAGAAGCAGGCAGGAGGAAATGGTAAAAGAAGAGGAAGAAGGGGCGCCGGCGGAGCTTTTATAGGAGGAGCCGGGTATAGGCGGGGCTCGGAGCCACGCGTCACAAGCGTGCGAGGAAGGAGGCGCCTGCTCGCCGCCCTCCTCGCCGGGGGAGCGAAGGCGCGCGCGCGCGCTCTCTCCTTGCGACTCGTTTCCTTCCTTCCCAACGTGAGTGACAGTTCCTCGGGGCTAGGAAGGCATTGCGCATGAGCGCAGCAGGCCACATACGCAGGGCGCAGAGGGAAGGGGAGGTGGCGGTGGTTCTTCCCGAGGAGGCCGAAGTTCGCCGTTTACTAAAGTCAGTCGCCTCGGAGCCCGCGTTAAAAGCGCACACAGACGCATAAACGCGTGCTGTATTTGGTTGGGGTCTGGCCTACTGTATGAAGTAATACACAACGGAAAGGCGCTGAGAGCGTGTCTAGAATGTGCTTCGTATTTATTTCACAAAATTTATACACCGCTCGATTGTAAACAAAAAACCCTCAAAGCGGTTTGCAAAAGATCAAACAGTAAAATCGGGGGAAATGTACAATCCTACTCCAAAACTTACAAAAGTTAAAAGACTAAAACGGATTTAAATTGTCTCTTGTCCTTCCTAATTAGTATACTTTGCTGTTTTTTTGAGCCCATAATATTTAGAGGCGCTCTGCACTTTAAGAGCTGTATAATAGGCCGAAACCCAGGAGATGATGCATCCTTCCAGGGCAAGGCATTCTTCTGTCAAGAAATGCAGTATTTATGTGCCTGAAACTCTTGTGTGAAAGAGAGCTCTTCTGCCAACAAAACCAACCTTAGGTACTTCTGGAGGGATTAATTAGAAACAATTGTTTTTATGCCACAGTCTGCAATGATGTTTATTTTGCTTGATATCCATATGGGCCGCTTATTTTAGTTCTGTACCCGCTCTCACACTTAGCTCTTTTTCCTTCCGTGTGCCACAATATTTGAAATACACTCATGTTTCTAGCACTGCATTCCTAAGTACTCTGAGTAGTAGGCAGTAAGCCTTAGTGAATACAGTGGAGCTTACCTCTGAGTAAACATTTATGTACTTTGTTAGTACAAATGGAACAAATGGGTACAAGTTAATATTGGTTTAAGTCATTCTGCCAAACACTTACCTTGCCACCATTTTAATCTATGGCAAGGACTGCATAATTTCACCTATCTGTTTGCATTTTACATTCTTCCCAGGCACTGGGGGATAGGAACTCTTTCAGAACAAGTCAAAGGAGAATTCTGGAAAACGCCTCATGACTCTTCTGTACCTTATCAGTATATGGCATGGAAGTAACAGTGTGTCTGTAGGACAGCTCAGCTGTGCTTCTGACTCAGTACACTAAACTGGAAGCATTGAAGGAAAAGGCAGGTATATCTCACAAGGAGTCTGACAGGAACTTATGAAAAACAAACAAGTTCTGTTTCTAAAACTTGGTTATTGAAAAAAATGCAACTTTGTGACTGCTGAAATCCTAACCCCACTAACCTGGGAGTAGGCCACACTGCGTAAACATAGGATTGAAACCGTACCTGCCTTTTGAATTTTTTGTCTAAGGAACCTTACAATTAGCTTTCCAGTGTTTTAAATGTTAATCTTTTTCAGGTTCAGTGATAGACTGATGACCAAACTTGATGTTACATGGGAGCCATGGGCATAGCGGAGTGTTATGTACTGAGTTGAATAGGATCCAAACTGCAGCAGTCTGATTGGTCCTAGAACAATAGGATCCAAAATGCAGCAGTCTGATTGGTCCTAGAACAATAGGATTCAGAATGCAGCAGTCTGATTGGTCCTAGAACAATGCAGCAGTATGATTGGTTGGCAGGAACCACCCAATCCTGCTCCAGATAGAAGTGAATCCACAACCTGATTGGCTTACAGTAGAATTCCGGAATTAGCCAATCATGTGCAGCCCATTGTGTAAATAATGTATATAAAGCAGATACTGTGAGGGGACATTCATTCATTCCTCCTCACCACTATGAGCTGAATAAAGAGCATGAAATCACTTTGCGACTCTGAGTATATTTCACGGAGGAAGAACTGGGAAGGTGGAGAGTTGATTAGCATTTTCCCCTTCTGTCCTTAATTTACTTGAAATCACCCAAGCAGCTTTCCCACTCATGTATCTTTCCCTCTGATGGGACACAAGCAGCTAAGGAAGTGGGATTTTGAGCAGAAAATGTCAGGAAGCGAAAGGGTTAAGTAGATTTTTTTCATTCTCTCCACTACTTTTCATTCTTTAAAAAAAAATGTTAGCAGGCTAATGCATGCAACTCCTATTCTTACACCTAGGTTAGCCCACTATATATTCTGCTACTTAGCATAAGCAACATGGTCTTCTTGACAGATCACATGCTAGACTGTTGCCAGTATTTACAGAACTGACAACAGGAGAGAAAGGGACTTGAGAACAAGCATGTGTTATAACCTCCCAGTGTGGTAGCTTTGGGTCATCTTAGTACAACAGTGAGAAGACATTGGTACACACTGTACCGTATTAAACATCCCACATGGAGCTTGAAACACTTACATAATGAAATAAAAGATCAAAAAGAGAGCAGTGTTTTGAAAGGTTTGATAATTTGTAAAACAGAGTGTATATTTATGTAACACAAGGAATAATAACAGGATTACAAAACGCCTGTCTTGCATTAAAAGTATGAAATTGGGATTGTTTCTTACATTCCAGGACTAATTTGGGATGCAAAATGGGAACTATCCCTCCATTTCTGATGTTCAAGTGTGTGTGCCCTTGCTTTTGTGTCAAAAGAAATGGCATCATCCATGCACAAGAGGGAAATATCAGCTGTCTTGGAGGGAGCCTCAGTGTTAGCAGAAGTACAAAAAAAAAAACCTTAAGGGGAAACCCTGGAGTGGGGTTGAAACCCTGAGAACTGAGTGTGCTCAATGGCAAAAGAATGCTGACTAAATTTTTTTTTGGCGTGGGGAATGGCATGGCCTATTGTGGAGTGCATAGCTGGCTGATCAGAATTCAATAGAAACACTCCACGCTACAGCATTTCAAAGACACAGAGTTAACCTCTTAGAATTATACCTTTGTAGTAAATGAGGACATAGAGTAGCCTGTATGAACTACTGTCTATGCTACAACCTTTTTGTGGAGGGTGGGGAGTGGAATATACTGCTGACAAATCACAACTATTTTAAAATGCTTGTTTTCTGTAGGCAGTTTTCAGTTCATCACAGGGAGGGAAGGGGGGGAGACCTAAAGGAGCCAGGTCATGCAGACTGTAAGCCTACCAATCGTTATTATTCAGAAGTAAGCCCCTTTGAGCTCAATTTTACTTGCCCCAGATCAGTAGGTATAGAAGACTGCAGCCTATGTTTGAGGGTGTTGAGCCATGGACTGCATGGGCTTCAGCTACCCAGTTATCCATCCGCCCCTCCCGACTGCTAGCTCAAGCCCTGCCAAGGGTGCAACTTGAATAAAATATGGGGGGAGCAGGTAAGCCCCACCATGCATAATTGGAAACATGACACAGTGCACACACACCATTTGAATGGCAATGCTCATCAACTGGGGGGGGGAGCTCAAATATTAAATTGGGGGACAGCGGCGAAGGGACTTCAACCCCTAGGAGTTGGCTCCTGAAAACACCCTAACAATGCAAGTTGTCTTGCTGCAACAAATCGTGTTGTAAGGGGGCAGATTCACATTGGTTAAAAGTCCTTAAGAAGAGGCTGGATGGCCACCAATCGGGTGCTGTTGCTGTTTCCAACTCTGGCAGGTGGTTGGACTAGATCCTCTCCAACTCTAGGATTAGAGGATTCTAGTATGAGCAAAATAATATGTGCCAAACAGTTTTAATCCTCTGCAATTATGAACTGGCTATTAATACTCAACCCTGCTTTTGCAGACCACACTCAGACAATGTTTAACAAGAAAAGTTGTGTTACAGGCAAATGCGTTTAAAGCTTCTCTACCTGAAATGGAGGGCCTTTCCATAGAGAATCGGCAGAATGAAGGTTGTTCTTTCCTTTACAAATTGCATTTATACATATATAGGTACGAACCAAAATAATTTGATACAAACTTCAAGGTATAATTAAGGTTACCTATTATAGGTTACACAGATTTTTACCTCTAGGTCATAAATATGAATCTGGGAAGGACACAAGAGGTATAACATCATTATAATTTGATAACCTCTGTGACGTGGAAAATTAACCAATTATCTCATCAGTGCTCAGTAAAAAAAATAAAAATAAATTATTACCTGTCTCTTCAAAACCGTCTGTTGTCAAGCGGGATACTATCTGCCATATATTGTCCTCTCCTCTCTTGGCAGGCAAATCAGTCCCCCCCACTCTCCCAAAAAACTTTAAAGTGGTACCTCGGGTTACATACGCTTCAGGTTACATACGCTTCAGGTTACAGACTCCGCTAACCCAGAAATATTGCTTCAGGTTAAGAACTTTGCTTCAGGAGGAGAACAGAAATTGTGCTCCGGCAGCACGGTGGCAGCAGGAGGCCCCATTAGCTAAAGTGGTGCTTCAGGTTAAAAACAGTTTCAGGTTAAGTATGGACCTCCGGAACGAATTAAGTACTTAACCCGAGGTACCACTGTATATTGAATGTATCAAGTACTAATCCTTTTGGACACAATATTTTCTAATAGTAAGGTCCTATCCTGGAGTTATGCAAAGTGTTTATGCTGGCATTGCACCACATTTACACCAGTTAACACACGTCCTGTTTCGTTTTCAATAATTACCTACTTTTGTTTTATTTATTTATTCTTTCGTTCTTAAATATTTTATCAGCTGCCAATCTTATGTTGTGTCAGTTTGTTTCTTTGAAGTATATAATGTTTTGACAGCTGTGGTATTTTTTCCTTTCTTTTTGTTTTAACATTTAATAAAGATTAATTAAAAAATACACCACCTGCATAACCCCCTACCCTGGTGGCACAATGCAAGTGCAAAGAAAAAAAGCCTGAGCATATGTGCAGATATCACGGGGCTTAGTTTAGATCCTGGGCTTGCTCAGGAGTTGGTCCCACCCTCCGATGATGCTATAAGATTAAACCACAAAAGAGATGCTATAAAAACACTTTCATTAGAGTCAGTAGAGAACCCCTGAGATCTGCCAACTTCCATTCCATCTGATCCCACAGCCATGTCAGATAAACAATTCTGAAGCTGGATACTAAATCCCAGTTTCTTGGTCCCACACAAAAGTTCGAAACACAGTTCAAGCAGAAAACTTTTTTGAGCGAGAGACGAGAGAGAGAGAGAGAGAGAGCGCCAAGGTGTATATGTAAACTTAATTATACTCATATCATATATCTCTATGACTGGAGTGTTGTCTTCTTTGAGATTCACAGTAAGTGTCACTGATCAAAATTGTTTGCACAATGCTCACTTCAGCACCATGTCAGAAGATAATATTCCAGATAACTGATCTGGAATCATAGAACCATAAAATTGTAGCGTTGGAAGGGACCACGAGAGTCATCTAGTCTAACCCCCTGCAATGCAGAAATATTTTGCCCAATGTGGGGCTCATAGCAGAGCCTCTGCAAGGGAAATCAAGCTATCATGGTTACCACTGGAAAGCAAATGATTACTCCTAAACTGCTTTGTGCTGGTGAAGTCCAACACAACGCCAATGGGAAAACTTGTGTCAACATAGTTATATTGCCACATCAGTAGGAGGCTGCTGCAGACAGGTGTGGTCTATTAACATTTTGAGAAATTTTCTTCTGCATGAAACAAAAGCAGCTGTTTTCTACCCTTTAGAGGAACAGAGAAAGCAAATGATGTAGATCTTCCACAGCAACTTGAATCCTACAAGTACAAAGTTATCTCAGGCATTAGTGTCCTGGGGAGTAATACTATCTATAAACACTGTAGATGTTGTTTGGACTCAGAAGGTAGTAAAGATCTCCGTTAGATTACAAGTCTGCTTAGAAGAAGCCAAGGATCAATGGGACAGCATTAGTTCTACTGTTTATTTATTTGGCAGGCATGCTAACTTATTTACTACAAAGGCATCATTCATTCTAAGAAGTTAACTAATTTCTCTGCCTTTAGCAAATCTAATATGCTATAAACCAAGACAAATTTATAATTGTTAAGGGTTGTGTTGAAACAATTTCCCCCCAGGATAATCCCAAACATAAAATTTGAAGAAAGCTGGTCCTTTAAATAAAGAACTTTGAAGACAGTAGCACCACAGTCCTGTGCATAAATTAAGAGTGAGCTCCATTGGACATAGTGGGACTTAGTTCTCAATTACATTGATCCTAACATATTGTCATACACACTACTAGCCTCGCCTGCTGTGCTATATGTTCCATGTTGCTTTTTATTATTCATTATTACTTCTTATTCTTTCTTCTTGTCATGGTATTTGATGCTTGCCTTTCTTACTGCATCGTTAGGAAGTATGAGTTTACTCGCTGATGTTTTGGTTTTTCATTTCCTGGATTTGTTGTATGGCTTGTATCTCCAGCAGAAACAGTGCAAACCCTGCTCTAGTTGGGAAACAGGTCACCGCGCAGGTCAGATCTGTATGGAGATACATCCATTTCCCTATAGACTTGAGGAACCAGGGCTGGGATACTACGGCCGGGTGGCAGGAAGAGGGAAAAATGAACATGCTGGACAAATCTTGAGCAGAGGGAGGAGACTAGTGTTGTAATGGATGGAGGCATTAATACGTTCTTTAACTGCAATAAGGAAATAATATAGTGGCCTACGTACCTCAGATGATTGTTGCAAAAGCAACAAAGAGCATTGTGGTACCTTTAAAAAGAATGCCGTATGTATTGTGGTGCATGTTTTCATGCTCTAGATTCCACTTAATCAGTTCCATCTGATAAAGTGGACTCAGGCCAGGAAAATGCCCTGTAGCAAGTTGCAACTCCCTGCTGCAGCCATACCCAGGCAGCAGACCTCCAGTGCAAGGGACATCTGAGACAGGCACATATGCACTCACTCTAGGATAAGAAAAGCTTTCCTTGAGTAAAAAGGGGCTGTGAAAACGACACATGCTTTTAGGGCAGCTGCATAACTCTTTTTCTGTTTTTTGTTTGTTTTTTGCCAAGGAACAGGAAGAGTCTTTAAATCTCCCAGCCCAGAGTGCCGTAATCAGAAAGCAGCCTGCCATCCATGCTTCACAACCCCCCTTTAAGACATACAAAGACCCCTGGCCTGGATTAAGTGAAGAGGTGGTTCAGGTTGGAGGCAGGCCAGCCGAGTGAGTGGATGTATAGTGGTACCACTGGTTACAAACTTAATTCGTTCTGGCGGTCCGTTCTTAACCTGAAACCGTTCTTAACCTGAGGTACCACTTTAGCTAATGGGGCCTCCTGCTGCCGCCACGCTGCCATTGCGCGATTTCTGTTCTCATCCTGAGGTAAAGTTCTTAACCCGAGGTACTACTTCTGGGTTAGCGGAGTCTGCAACCCAAAGTGTTTGTAACCCAAGGTGTTTGTAACCTGAGGTACCACTGTAATATGCTGGTCTGTGTACTTTCCCTCACCTTCCATGGGCTCTTGGGGAGTACATGAAGCCTTGGAAGCAGGTGATGGGAGAAGGACTGAATCCAAAGGTTCAGAGTCTAGAAGAAAAGGTTGCCACCATAAAAAATTGTAGAATGATGGCACCAGGTAGGAAAGGCTTCATGAACTTGATTAGCCCTGAGGCTACACTATTGGTGTATACTCTAATAAATGTGTTAGTTTTTGCTGCAGAAGACTAACATGGCTACTCTTATGGGAATAGGATTGCTATGACAGTATAACTCACTAAAGATGAGGGGTGGCCAGCGCGGAGTTCTCCAAATGTTTTCCACCATCCCTGGTCGTTGTGCTGGGGGGCTTACGGAAGTTGGAATTGAGCAACATCTGGAGGGCACCAAGTTAGTTGCCCCTGCTATAGATTGTAAACTGATGGAGTTGCAATCTTAGGAGCCAACTCCTAAGGCCTGTGGGGGCTTTGGCCCCCCACAATAAAATATCTGAGGGGGCTGGGCCACCACAAAGTTGATGGGCATTCCCATTCAAATGGTGTGTGTGCACTTCATCATGTGACTGTTTATGCAGGGTGGGACTTACGTGGGTCCCCACAATATTTTATTCAAGATGGCCCCCCTGGTTGCAATGTAGCTTATAACAGTTAACTGAAAGATAGATTTATTCATTTCTTAGTAATGTGATGCCTTCTTGCTTCCTGCCTGATTTGTACTCTAGAAGAGCAAGCCAAGCTCTTGGACATATTTCTGAAGGACACCACCACTACAGATGCCAGCTGAGAATCAGAGATCATGCCTTTCCCTTTAATTTCAAAATATAGTGAATTACAAGACACTACTGTGCTTCCTAATCCACCGGTCCGCCAATCCCCACACTCAAGTGCTGTAGTATGCAGGACCTGAGTTTTGGTTCACTACAGGCAGAAAAGGAAGGTGGGCAAAGGTGGGGTATTGACACAGGTGGTGCAGGGGAAACATCTTCTCTTGCTACTCCATCATTTTAAAGGGACAGGTATGGTCTCTGGAACTGACAGTAGCCCTTAGCTATCAGATAATTATTCTGCACATTTTGCCCATAATGTCACAAGACTAAGGCCAACTGTGCTCATGAGTTTGCTTTGTTGCTTTGCTCATGAGCTCAGATGGAAACGCTTAAAAACAACAACACCCAGTTGTTTATTTTATTTTTTCAATTACTTACTGATGGCTTACTGCGCGGTTGTACAAGTATAAGGCGATTACATAATTCGATCTGCAGAAGGCAAGAATTCAACATGTAATTAGTTTCCAGCTGGAAGCCAGACAAACATATTTTTAAACGGAATAATTTTATGTGTACATTTTATTAAGTGCCAACATGAAACACCCTCTGGTTGCAGTAATTTTTACTGTAATTCTTCATGTTGCTACATGTTAAAGCTAGGTATCATTTGGCTATATTAATGTGACTTTCACATTAAGTCAGACTAGCTTTCACACTAGCTTTTTCCTCTGGAATTGATACCATTTTTTCACCCAATTAATCCAGAGAATGCAGAAAGCCGTGCACCATGGCATTCCTCTGTTTTATCAATTGTCCTCTCCCACTGCTGTTTTTAAGTGCTCAGTTGTAGTAGTGTTTTGTTTTGTTTTTTAGTGTTTTTTTGCAGCTCAATCCTTGCAAGTACAGATTGGCGCAGTGGTTTCCCCCGACCCTGCTTTCCTGTTTTCATTTTTATTGTTACCTGCTTGCACCTTTGTCATTACATTTCCTGCTCATTCATTAGCATTTATTTTTAATTCGTATTTTAAGCAGAAGTGCAGCAGTGCAACATTTCCCTGAGCCCGGCTTCGGCTGGGGAGGGCGGGATATAAATAAAATTTATTATTATTATTATTTCCTCCCTCTAAATGTATTAAAGTGAACATAAACATTAAACTTTGAGAGGTACTTCACTAGAATGATCAGTTACTATATATATATTGAAAGATGAAGTTACCTTTGAAATAGAGCTTGCCCACCTCAGTGGGTTTTCCCCTTCAAGGTGAAACCAGAGAGGCGGGTTGAATCTCTTCTACGTTGCAATTTTACTGCAGCATAACTATGAGACCTAACTATATGAACTGAGAATGTGAAGACTCACAAAGATCCTTGACAATGCTGAAGGACTGTATAGCAAATGCACAGAGGCGCCTTTACAGACAAATCAACAGAGGGATGTGTTCCCTGCAGATATTAAGTTGAAAATTACTGCTTTAATGTTGTTTAAAATGGCTGAGATTTTTTTTTTCCAATAATCACTGCTGATTTATAGTTGATGTACTGGGAAAAGATGAATGCTAGAAAAAGATTGAGTTTGCCTGGTTGGGTAGCTTGGCCTCGGTTCTTAAGACATTTGAAATTAAGGCAGTGTATACACTTATCCATCTTGAGTGCAAAGGAATGGTTTATCAGAATGCAGAATTGTTCATATAGTCAACCTCTAAAGCACATCCATAATACATCCTACACAAACTTTAACTCCTCTATGCAGGGAGGTGGTGCTTTAAAGGTCTGATATATACGCAGCCCTCCCTAATAAGCTGCTTTCAATCTACAGTGGTACCTCGGGTTAAGTACTTAATTCGTTCCGGAGGTCCATACTTAACCTGAACCTGTTCTTAACCTGAAGCACCACTTTAGCTAATGGGGTCTCCTGCTGCTGCCACGCCACAGGAGCACAATTTCTGTTCTCATCCTGAAGCAAAGTTGTTAACCTGAAGCACTATTTCTGGGTTAGCGGAGTATGTAACCTGAAGCGTATGTAACCCAAGGTACCACTGTATATGTATTCTCGATCCTGCCATCAACAAGGGTGAGTGTAGTTACATGGTATCTGTTTGAAAATAATCCTTTTTTTTTTTTTTTAAAGGTTTTCCATGCCTTTCCCATTCCATCCAACACAATAATTGCAGTTGTGGGATATAACTGCAATAATTGCAATAACTATGTAGATCTGGTAGAAAAACCAAGATCTCCATGTGTACGGAATGTAGAATATAATAATGTGTGCACACAGAAAAAAAGTGATCAGCTATGGTAAGCAATGATTTTCCATGCCAGAGGCACCCAATGCAAGATAGCTTTTTCACCAAGAACCATAGAAACAAATACAGGATATGGTGGTACCTTGTAGTGACTTTGCCATGTCAAAATTCAGTGCAATTGTGTGAATCAGCAATTCAGTTACAGTACAAAATGTCATTAGTTGAAAAATTGATCCCAAAGCTGCCCGTGGCAATGAAAAAGTAATGCAATATACAACAATTCTGTTAGGAGAGGGGAAAGGATTAATAATAAATTTATAAGGGACGGTTCAGATATCAGAAAACGGCTGTCATCAAAACAAATGACTCCAAATACAGCCTACCAGATTTCTCCCACAATGTTTTTGTTGGAATCGGGTTTCAGTAGTCGTTTATGTTGCCACTTCCTCGTTACTGATTTGCGTGTCCTTTTTCTCAGGTGCCCAGTCTTGTGCAAAAACAATTTTTGTGGCAGGTAGTAAAGTGGATGAGGTAGTATTAGGTTTATTTGTGAAAATATATGTAAGGAAATATCCTTATGCTAAGAGTCCTGAGCATATTTACTGAAAGGAAAACCCACAGAATCAGAAGGTGTTTACAGTGGTACCTCTGGTTACGAACTTAATTCGTTCCGGAGGTCCATTCTTAACCCGAAACCGTTCTTAACCTGAGGTACCACTTTAGCTAATGGGGCCTCCCATTGCCGTGGTATTGCCACTGCACAATTTCTGTTCTCATTCTGAGGTAAAGTTCTTAACCTGAGGTACTACTTCCGGGTTAGCGGAGTCTGTAACCCAAGGTGTTTGTAACTCGAGGTACAACTGTACTTCTAAGCAAATTGGTCAGAGCAGAGGAAAAGACAGGGACTCCCTCCTAACTATTCCACATACAAAAGCGGACCAAATCAGCAGCTGACTCTTATGTCAACACTGGTGATGGGGCAGCTTCCCCCACTAAACTTGAGACCTGTAGGCTAGCTTAGGGCATGCAAGGAAGACCACTACCAATTCTGCCATTGCAGCCACTTCCCCACCTGACCTGTTCCTGCATCTGCTGCCTGATGCTTGCTGTGCCTAAGGGAAAGGACGACCTTGAAACATATTGTGGAAAGTGTTTTTTCTTTCTGCACAACCCAATATATGTCTGCTCATAAGTAAGTCACACTGAGTTTACAACAAAGCTTACTCCCCAGTGAATGGATATAGGATTGCTGCTCTGTAATCTTGTTGCCTGAGGATTTCTGCATAAACAATGGATCAACTCAAACACACAGCATTCTTGAGAGACTCCATCTGACTAGCCATTCATTGCAGATCATATTTTAGGAATTATCTGGGCAGAATAGAATGTCCTTCCAGGCATGTGCTGCTTTGAAACTTTAGTCTGCTTATGTCATTTGAAACCCTGTTTGGCCCCGGTTGAAAAAGGAGCCGGATCCCACAGCTGCTGTGTCTGTATTGGTATTCTTTAAGAATGGAATTCACCAGGATCGAAAATGGAATCTCTAGGGCTGTACCCTCCTTTGTATGAATTCATTCATCACCATGTATTTAAAAACGTAAATAATGCCAAATGGTCGGTTGCCTACGAGAACCAGGATTATGGGCTACCAAGCTCAGGTTGTTTAAATATCTAAACTTAGGGAGGATTGGTGAAACAGTTCCAAGATATTTGCCTTTGACTGCTACAATTTAAACTATGCACATAGTTCCCATTACTGCCTTGAGCAGAGATGGAAAACAGCAGCAGCAGTGCTTATACAACCACAGGCCAACTTGGAACAAGGAAGGTTTCCACTCTTTGGCAGAGACTTTAATTTCTACAGAGTGTATGGAAATATGTGTCAGGGTCAAATATGAAAGAAAACTGCCCCCCTCCCGGTCTCTGATCTGGAAAGCCTCTCCTGTGGTGCAGCTGCGTGCTTTTTACATCCTGGACTTACCGGTAATGGTCTTTCTTACAGAGATCTCCAGTCGCAAAGCACCTAATTGACACAATTAACATTTCTCCTCTTTCCTCCACCACCACCCATTCCATAATTTACCACTGCCTCTACCTTCATGATATGTTTGAACAAAATGGAGCAGCAACAACAGTCAATCCTGTTTTCTTTTTAAAGAACTTTGCAGTGTGCAGTTTTAAGCAAGGTTAAATCATAGCACCATCATGACCACAAGGAATAAAAATGAGTTTGCTTCCGCTGCCCAAATGCTGAACATATTTACTTGGGAATAAGCAATATTTTGTGAAGGAAAATATTTTAAAAGCAAAATTAATAAAATGAGCATCTGTAACTACAGCATATGCATGCACAGCTAACTGCCCCCTGGCTATAACATGGTTGTGTGTTTTTTTTTCATGGGGTGCTGCAGCAAGCAGTATCAACGCTGGAAGCCTGTGGCATGTTTGTGTCAGCCAGAGTGCGAATACAGAATCTGTTTGCCATTGCCCTCACATTTCACTCTCTGGGTGGTCATTTGAGGGCCTCTTGAGTTGTGGGGCTTGGACTTCAGGTCCCAGGTCCAACGTTAGCTGCCATACTAGGCTGTTCCTCTAACATGTGGGAACTTTCAGTAGCTGCTCAGTGGTGAGAGAAACGTACTCTTTGTCTTTTCAGAGTCACTTCATCTGTCCTTACCTGATACACTTTACAGCAGAATCCTGACAAGGTAAAGTCCCTTGCCTAATTCTCTATGTGTTTCTGCCAGAGTGTGGAAGCAGGGGACCAGGGGACTGACCCAGGAGAGGGGGGACAGTGATATATGGGGGTTGGCACCACCCACAAGGCAGGAGGCAGGATGGTCAGAGCAGTCCAAGACAGAGGGAGGCATGCAGGGTGTGAGGGATGGGCCAGTTAGAGCAGCTATGGCTTCCATGTAGGAGACACTGATTATCTAGAGCCATTTTGATCTTGTTTTAGGCTTAGCTATGGGACAGAGATAGCTTTGATCCCCTTGGTGGTTGACCTATGCTGAGAACTAGACATCACTAGCTCTCTTTGAGAATGGAGAAGGGAATTTTTCCACTTGAGGTGAGAGCACAGGTTCATTAATATTTTTATCTACTGGCTTAAAGCCTGTTGGTTCAGGTTCCTTAAACTGTGTCTGGAAAAGCAAGTTTCTGGTGATGTGTGTAAAGAGGTTGTTGGCGGCAAGAAACAGTTTTGCACAATCCAATCTTTTATTTTTTTGGAATGCTATTTCTGTAGAAAAACTTGCCAACTGTGAAAACAGAAATGAAGGGCCCTACACATTTTATGTTCAATGTGATTTGGCAATAGTAGCTAATCTTAAACTGACTTATTTGGTTCTATAAGATGAAAGTCTAATCACAGTAATAAAAATAATCTCTCAGAAACAGATAAGATTCCCTTTTAGAAACATGTTTACACTATTTGGAAACCCATGACAGCTATCACAAGTATTAGATGGTTTACTTCTTGTGGAACTAAGCTGTTGTATTTGTGGAAGTTATAATTATCTTATATAATTCTGTTAATTTTCTTAAAAAATACAAAACAATAAAGTTTTAGGATAACCCTCCCTCCCCGTTCCATCCTAAGAAAAGTAGTGTGTTTATAAATTTATTATACAAAGCATGGGCATTGCAAGTGAAGGCACCTAAACCTAACATCTATGCCATGTAAGCATGCAGTGAACACATTCTATGGTCTCACATATCATGCTCCCTCACAACTCGGACTCCATGAGGCCACGCTTTTCCTTAGACTTTTAGTCCCCATCCTCCTCAGGATTCTCCTGATGCATTGTGAACAGGTGAGTTAGATGCATGGGTGTAGCCGGGGTGGCCAAGACCAATAAAAAATAATTAACTGAGGGTCTTCCCGCCCCCATTTAAAGCCTGCCCCCACCAACATAAATCCTGGATATGCCCATGATTAGATGTTTATTATCTTGTTTGTATGCTTGTTTTATATGGTTGCTTTCAGATGTATTGACACTGTTTATTATGTTTCAAAGTCCATTAGAGCAAGACCTTTATTCAGAAAACTGAAATGTCACAAAACAGGACGCAAGCATTCAAGTTCTCCAACCCGTTTATCAAGCTATATCATAGGTCACCAGTCTGGGGAGGGCCATGGGCACATTTGCAAATAATAAAAACTGTTGCAGGCACCTTGTACTCATGGCAACCACACACACACACACAGAGAGAGAGAGAGAGAGAGAGAGAGAGAGAGAACACAGTGCAACCCTTCCAAATTGTCTCTCCTCCATTCTAATTAGGTTTCAAAGAAGTCTCCTATTGTAGTCAAGGAAGCCTTCTACATAACTAACCAGGGAACATTTTGTTCTGCTGCTTGATACTAGAAGTCTTGATCCTGCAACGGAAGTGCTGGATCTCTCCAAGGCCTGAGACTGTCCCCTAAAAGGAAAAAAAAAAGCCATTACTTGTCAATGGCATTTTGAAAGCCTGGTCCAGGTTGTCTAACCTGAGCAAGGCTTTTCCCTCTGGATCTATGATGATTTATTATTATGCTTGCAGCTAACAACAGTATAGAGATGGGCAGAATGTGCAGATCATATCTTGATTGGATGCTGACAAGCCAGGCTTCGAACTAAACTAAGAAAGGTCATGTAGCATTTACAGAATTTGGAAGAAACCTAAGAGGAAGTACTTTGTATATGGAGGAAAGGTCAAGGGAACAATGGCGAGTATATTCAAGCCGGACAACTTGTGGTATTAGTAAAATAGGTTAAAGTTTATGGCTTTGTTCCACATTCACCCAGAAACTTATAAGGCCATTTTAAGCAGGTACCACACCATTCATGTAGCAGCTATACAGTGGTAAGGTAAAGGTAAAGGGACCCCTGACCGTTAGGTCCAGTCGTGGCCGACTCTGGGGTTGTGGCCGAGGGAGCCGGCATACAGCTTCTGGGTCCTGTAGCCAGCATGACTAAGCCACTTCTGGTGAACCAGAGCAGCACACAGAAACACCATTTACCTTCCCGCCGGAGCAGTACCTATTTATCTACTTGCACTTTGATGTGCTTTCGAACTGCTAGGTTGGCAGGAGCAGGGACTGAGCAACGGGAGCTCACCCTGTTGCGGGGATTTGAACCGCCGGCCTTCTGATCGGCAAGCCCTAGGCTCAGTGGTTTAGACCACAGCACCACCCGCGTCCCTATACAGTGGTACCTCGGGTTAAGTACTTAATTCGTTCCGGAGTTCCATTCTTAACCTGAAACTGTTCTTAACCTGAAGCACCACTTTAGCTAATGGGGCCTCCAGCTGGCACCGCACCGCTGGAGCACGATTTCAGTTCTCATCCTGAAGCAAAGTTCTTAACCCGAGGTACTATTTATGGGTTAGCGGAGTCTGTAACCTGAAGCTTCTGTAACCTGAAGTGTATGTAACCCGAGGTACCACTGTAGTATGTAGTCAAGGAAATAATGAAAGAGTACCATGAGGTCATTTATCAATTTTTGCAAGCACAGGAGGTGGAAAAATTCTTGCATAAGGATAAAGGGGAAAGCAAAATGTAAGTAAGTGAGAACAATGTGACATTAGTTCCAGTTGTGTCAAATGAAGATAAGGCTTTGAAGAAGACCTCCCTGGACAACAGACAGCAGGACAGTCTCCTTTTTTCCATTGGTGAAACTTGCATTGGAGAGACTAGAAAAGGTGGACTTGCTTCCACTTGAAGACTGGAAAACTGGCCACCTTCCCTTACTGAAATTGTAAAGTTATGTTGCTACCTGTGTAAACTACCTGTGATCAATAATTACGTCCCCTGTGGTGATTAAAGCCATGTGGGTGTTTGTTTTGAATTGTCTGCTATCCTTGTGGACAATTGCACTGCCCTTGTAATCAATAAAACTGATTTATACCTTTCCCTTTTGTGGTCTGGATTTCTTTTCCTGATCACAGTCTGTATAGCACTGGAATCATTAGGACTTACTTTTGAGTAGACATAGTGGGGACTGCAGCCTAAGTCCGCTTCCAGTGCACTATTTGCTGTTTTCAAGATTTTTTTGGCAAATAAAATAAATACTGTTTGTGAAGTCAATATATGGCTATGTTAGGTGTGAATGATGCAATTATTAGCTGCACAAGATACAATGAAAACTGGAAATATCATTGTGAAATAAACAGCAGTTCACCCTTCCAAAACTCAAAAGTCTAGAACTGCTTATTATGAAGTCACCATCTGTCTTAAGCCTGCCATCATTCTATCAAACCTTGTGTCATCATCAACAGAATCCCTCAAAGTAAGCAACTTTTTAAGAGCTAAAGTTTTAGATAGTAACTGAATTTGTCAATAGAGCAGCTTGCAAAAGGTACGAAATAATATTTTCAAAGATAATGAAAGAACCCCCATTTATGACTGCAACAGCCCCCTTTTCTAATTATATATACAATTTAAAATATATAAATTTTAACAAATGTGTGGCTTTCAAAAAGAGAAATTTAAACAAGTGTCTACAACTAACAGGATCATCCCCTTTCGAGTGCAAATATGGGTGAAGGAAGTTAATCAGAAGCTGATAAATACCAAAGTATAATGAAGGAAAATTGACTTACATATATAACACTGTTGCTTGATCTATATGTAATATTTATTTTACCCTTGACCATTCTATAACACATACAAAATCACTTAGGTCTCCCACACAAAGACACACACAGCTGGTGCAATTGGACACAAATACAGAACCTAGGCATTCCAGATGTTGTTAGACTCCTGGTCCCACCAGCCTCAGCCACGCTGCCATTAAAGGCACTGGGCAGAACCAGGAAAAGGTGGAAGCCCCCTTTTTCTTTTTCTTTTACAGGAAGACACCTATAGAGAATGGATAGAATCCTTTTGACTTGATTAGGCACGCATTGTTGCAAGGCAATACTCATAATCACCACTACTTTAGGGTTGCTGTATTTTGAAGAGCGAAAAGGACACATTTGCTGGTGCCTGGGGAAGGGAGGGGTGTGTGAGCAGGAGTTGGCGTGTACCAGGGCATGCTGTGGGTGGGGCACACGCTGGAGCAACATTGGAGGGTGCCAGGGAGGGATGCAGCAAAATTTGTGCATGCAAAATGGGTGGGGGGGGAGAGAGAGGGAGACATGTAAATAAAAAGAAAGCTGCCTCCTCCTCTTTGGGGTGTCCGTGGGGTGGTGGGAAGGCATACAAAATAATTAATTAAAGCCCAGGAAAAGCAATGAAGCAAAATGGTGACTTTTTATGTAGAAGGAAGAGAAAGGGAGGGAGGGAGAGAGGGGGGGATAGGAGAAAATGAAAAGGAGAGAGAGAGAAGAAGAAGAGAGTGGTTTGGTACCAAAGGAAAAAAACTCGGACATTTTAGCAAAATCAAAAAATCTGCCAGGACAGAAATCTTTCCCCTGAAAAAGAGGGCATGTCCTGGAAAAAGAGGACTTATAGCAACCCTATGTGGCCAATGCTTCTGAAGTGAGTGATAATGATCTAACCTCCGCTTGACCCCTGTAGGATAGTCATAATCACGGATGTTCAGGATTATTTGTAAAGATAATGATGGTGTGGTTTACTTTTTATATCTCTGCTGTGGTAGCCCATTGGGTTCAGGAAACGACTCCTTCCCTTGTATATAAGCTAAGGTTACCAGATTTTTTTCAATGAATCCGGGGACACTTTTCAACTTTAATGGATTTTGTATGGGGACTGGTTTGTAAATCCAGGGACTGTCCCCGGGAAACGGGGACGTCTGGTAACCTTAATATAAGCTATTCATTAAATCCACTTGCTTCAAAACTGCTACATGCAGAAATTAGATGCTGGGTGACATTGGATGTTGGGCACCAAATAAAATTCTGCTTACTTAACAGGTGCCACACTGACTACCTTATTTGGGGCCAGGAAGGAATTTTCAATAGACTCAGACTGGCAAGTGCTTTCTTCAGCATTATCAAGCATGGTGTGCCTGCAGGTATGGAGCCCCTAGATGAAATTGGACGCAAACCCCTGTTTTCCTTAACCATTGGCCATGCTGGCTGGAATTAATGAGAACTGGATTCCAAGAACATCTGGTTTCCCTTCCCAGCTGTACAGTACTTATTCTTTTTGTGGCACCGTGCACTCGGGATTGCATCAATTGATCTGTAAGGTAGTAAGATGCAAAAGGGGACAAGACTTTACCGCTTTAATTGTTGTGTGGAAGAGCAAATTTCAATAGGTGTAGCTTGTAGCAGTGTTAGACTGCATAGACACAATGCATTTAAAGTACACCCCCCAGAAAACCTGGGAATTGTAGTTTGTTAAGGGTGCTGGGAACTGTAGCTCTGTGAGGGGTAAGCTACAGTTCCCAGGATTCTTTGGGGGGAGCTTTAGATGCAAGATGTGTACATATCCCCATACTAGAACTGAAGAGATTTGAATTAAAATTGACACTAAGCCATAAAAAAATGGCCAATTACTTTCACTCAGCCTAACTAACCTGCAAGGATTGTGGTGAGATTAAAACAGGTAGGGGAGAGCCATGTATTCTACCTGTGCTCCTTGGAAGAAGGATAGGATAAAAAGGAAAGGGAAATAAGTAGATGGTCTTTGCTACCTTCCCAATCTAGACTCCGTGAGAAAGGAGCTGCTGCTGTTATTGTAATAGAGGACTTTTCCTGAAAATCGGAATGCAGTAATGGATTATTACTAGTCTTAAGCATCTGCAGACTTTTAGGACCTAATTTAAATAATAAGGCTTGATGATACTTCTCTGAGTAAGCACGCATTGTGCTGCACACTGTAACATATGATTCGAACCTCTGTGGACTGAGTAATGTTTGCTTTTTGTGAAGCACAAAATTATAACTAGGGTGGTAATCCTATACACATGTATGAACAGTAAATCCTATGCTAACTGGAGTGTTCGACTTGAACTGGGGAGACATGACTTCAAAACCCCAGTAAGCCATGGGACTTACTTCTGAGTATAAATGTATTTGAGCAGACAATAAAAGCAGACTTCGATTGACCCATAACAATTTCTCTTATAACCTTTATCGATGCAGGTCTAAAAATTAAACCAAGTTTTAATCTGCATTAAAATGTATCATTTTCTGTAAGAGCGAACAAACCACAAGATACTGCAGCTCTGATAAATATGCATGTAAGTATTCCAAAGAAAGTTAGTGGCTGAGTGCCGTTGCAGTACTATTCAAAGAAGGATCTTCCTCAATTAGGATATTACTCCACCAATTATCACAATGTATCTTGGTGCCTTCCTGGTATTGAGTCCCATTCCCCAACAGCAATTACTTACCAGTATACAAGTACTGTACTAGAAATGTGGCAGACCCCACAGAATATGAGTGTACAGTAGAACTCTTAATTCTCCTGCCACACTTTCCAGAGTTATCACCAACCATGAAGACTGATTGGCCTGCAATTTAATTGTCATGCCACGCTACATTGCAGGCAACTGAATGTGCTGTGCTCCACATATGTAGCGACCACAATGTGCTACACATTTAAGTATTTTCCTGTCATTTACCCCTCACAGAGCTACTAATGCCTGGATTCTTTGGAATGAAGCCATGTGTTTTAAATGTGTTTTAACCATATGGTGTGGATGTGACTTTAGTTTTGTCAAGTTTTGTGCACCCAGAACAATACACAAGAAGAAACTGTATGTTAATTGGAACTTCAAGGATTAATGTCTAAGTATCAAGGTGCAAGATTAGATTACAAGGTACTTTCAGGCAGTGTTTAGCTGGTGGTTGTTCACCCACAATCCATGTAGGGATCATGCAAATCACAGCTGGTGCGGCTGAACTCGTATCCCCATTTATTGCAAACTCAAATTTGTTTACCTTTTCTGTACTCACAGCACTATGTATTTCTTGCATGTCTTATATTTTTCACTACATTTGCCTTCTTTTGAGAGTTGGATAATATCTGCCTTGTTATTCTGCTTGTTCATCCTGGTGTTTATTGATGTGTTCTTGCAGTTAATCACCACAATCTAGAAATGGACGTTGGACCTGTATTGGCAAACACATTGTTATGGCTGTTAGATTCCCTCTCTTTCTGTTTGTGAAAAACACTGCATTTATTTGTTCCCTATCTGGCAACTGGCAAAACAACTTGAAACCATGGCTAGGCAGTAGCTGAGTGTGACAGAGCAGTGTAGCTAGTAGTCCATCCACAACCCTGTCATTCATGCTGGTTGGGGCAGGACAGGAGACAGACAAAAGCCTGCTTCAGGCTCCACCAGCCTGCAACTTGTGTACTGATTGGGCCCAATACTGTCAAGTCCTGGCTGTAGGGCCAGTTCAGGCCCTCCCCATTCTCATCCCCACTCCCAAAGAAGCCTAGGTCATAAATGTGTGACCAACCTCCTTAGTTTTCCTGAACTCCTGGATAACGTTGGAGGCGAGGCACTTTGCAGATTTACAGTGCAATTGTATCCAAGTTTATTCAGAGAAGTATCTCATACTATGTTCAACGGGGCTTATATCCCTGCAAGTTTGCATAGGAGCACAGACTTCGTTAGCTTAAGTTCTGCAGGCCACAAAACAGATTCCAGGTTTCACCAGGGCTACCGGGACAAAGTTATGAAATAAATGGTGTTGGGAGAGGAGCAACCATGATGTTTCTTTGTCCCAGCAACCCCTGGTGAAACCTGTTTTTCATCCAAGATGATCAAACTGGGGCAACAGTCCTATGCACATTTACTGGGAAGTAAGCTTCATCCTACATAGTGAAAGCGGGACTTGCTTCTAGAGGAAACATGCATAGAGTTGTGCTTTAAACCTACACAACTCCTTTTCCACGTGCTCTTAATATGGTGGCATTGTTTACTTAATAACGTTACAACCTGCGTTGCTTGGAATTTCCACGAGGCTCAACTCCTTCCTGCTCCCCTTCTTCATAACATGCAGAAAACTCCACATTCGAAGAAGAAAAATATTAGTTTATCAGAAAATCGCCTCATACCGAGTGAAACTAGCAGTCAGAGTACTAGCTCAGTACTCTACACTGGTTGTTATGGGAGTAGCAGCTCTCCAGGGATTTTTAGATAAGAGTCTTCCCCTGTCCTAATTGCAGATATCAGAGGTTGAATGTAAATAATACGCTTTACTCTTTCCCAAATACCTGGATGTTCCTAATTAAAAGTACTGCCCTCTAACGTTACTGCTGCATTTGTTCATTTAACAGAATGAACCTGCCATTTTTCATGCCTTCTCTCTGACTTCATCATATCGTCCTGGCTTTCAGAACGAATGCCGAAGCTTAGCCCTAGTTCCCAAGAAACGAATATTATTATATGTAAATTCTGATTTATTTTTTTCTTCCTCCCCATCATAATTTAGGCTGCCAACCTAATCCCATTTACCTGGGAATCAACCCTGCTGAATTTGACAGGACCTACTTCCGAGTAGACCGGGCTGGGACTGCACCGTTAATTAAATCATACTTGCGGGACAACCTTTCTCGCCGTCCCCACATAAATCTGAGCTTCACAGTGGGAGAGCGCGGGCTCTTCCCTTGACACTGGCGCCCCTAGCGGCTGTCCGCTGTTGTTCCCAAGCTATTTCCACCAATCACCAACCGAGCTCCGGCTCCAAGGCAACCCTTAGCCCCGCCCGCCGCCCCTCGCTCTCCGGCTTCCCCCTCGGAGCTCCGCCCCTCTCCATCCGGGGTAGCTGCGGCTGACTTTGGGCTCCCAAACGGGAAGCGCCTGGTCAGCTGATCCGTTCCCCGCCGGTCGTCACGTGATGGTGCTGACAGGCGCCGCTGCTCCCGCGAAGGCCATGGAGTGACGGGAAGGGCCCCTTTCGGCGTCCGCCGGTTCCCCCCGCGCCTGAGCTCCGCCGCTCCGCTCGTGCCCCGCTCTGCAGACGCCGGTGAGTGAGAGGCCCCGGCGGCAGCCCCCTTAGGGCAGGCTGGACCACTAGGCCCCTGGTGCCTCGTCCGGAAAGGAGGCAGGTTCCCCGCTTCCCTTCGCCCTGACCTCTGGCTCTCCTTACCGAGAGGGTGGCCGGAGGGCGGATTTCTCTCCTGGGGACCGCTGGGTTTTTTAATGGGTGCTCTCAAGCTTGCTTCCCCGCGCCCCACTCAGGTCTTCCCATTGGTGGTGTCTTAATATTATTATTATTATTATTATTATTATTATTATGGATTAGCGGCGTCAGTGGGGCACGGCGGTCATTTGCGGGCTAGATCCCACTTCCTGAAATAGTGCAGTGCGTGTAAAGGCTGGCGCCACGGCGAAGCTGCCGACCTAAGCTTTCGCATGTGGGGGTAGTAACAAGCGAAATCCTGCAAATCTGTTCCTCGCACGTTGACAGGAGAAAGGCAGAAGCAAAGGACGAGCCCTTCACAAACAAACGTGTCTTTATTTTTTCCGTGTGGAGGGTCTCTTCAAAGAGCTGGATATCCAGTCACATTGCAGTTTAGTTAAGTGTACTGATTCTCCCTCCCCCCTTCCAATTATTTAAATCATGCTGACATACCAAACTCATCTTGCAGATTTGTGTGTTCTTTTACGACTTTGTTCATTCAACTCCTGCCACCCAGAATAAATCAGATCTCTATAAAAAAATACTTTGCTGGCAGGCTGTCTATTGTTGAGTCTTGTGACAGCAATGTGAAAAGATGTCCTCTAGATCAAGGGTGGGCCCTCCAGATGTTGCAGCCCAACTCCCATGACACTTATTGGTCACGCTGGCTGGGGACTCTGACAGCATCTGGAGGGCCACAGACTCCTCACCCCTGGGCTGGGAGTCTTTGGTTTGAAATATTTTTATATTGTTCCTTAAACAGATTGCTCTCTCCTTAAAAAAGAACTGCTTTCTGTAAGTTCCCCTCAGCATTGTTCTGCAACACAAGGGAAAGCAGTTTGTCTTTAAAAATTCAGTATAGGTAGATTAATTTGAGTTGGTTTATCAGAACTTAACCCTTAGATTTATCTAGTGGTTAGCCAAATATAGGGTTCCACTGCCTCCAGGCTGTCACTATTTGGAGGGATGGATTCAGGCACATACCAGGAACTTAGTTTTGCACAGTTAAAGTGCTATGTCACTCTAGCACAAGAAATCCATTTTCTGTGGTTAGGGAAATGGAAGGGAAATGCACTGAAAAGTGAGATAAACAACTGATTAACAGGAAGACAAGCACCCCATAAGTGAATTAGGATGAATTCTCCTTGTCATGTAACCGTCCTGTAAACAAATGCTCAATAAAGAACAGACATAGCTGAACCACCTTGTAAGCTTAGTGTAAGCAAATGGAAGAATGCTGAATTAATGGGTTTATTCAGTTTAACATACTACTGCTGCTTTTATGGTATTCCTTAATACTAGCGATTCCTCTAAAGATAAGCACTCTTTAAAAAAACATTACTTTTCTCTTCATTTCAAAAATACCAATTCTTATACATAGATTACTCATTCCTATTTCTATTTAGTTTTAATCCACTTGCATTTTTAAATGTGTGGATATCTTATTCTGGTTTATTTAAATGCAAGGCTGCTTTTGCTAGGACTAAGGAAATTGAGATAGGAAGATCTAATATGTTATTGAATTGTTAAATAGTATTTTCTGTAAAGAGCAATGGAAAAAAAGTTTAGTGATAATGGATACATAGACTATACTTTCCCCTACGTTCAAGGATTGTGAGTGGGGAGAAGTGACTAGAAGATCCAGAGACCCTTTTTCACACAGCTCTGGTGCTAGGTGACCTATGTTAATCAGCACAGGAGAGTGCAAGTTGACAATTGAAATTGACACCTTTAACACAAGTTCCCTATTTAAAAGTTCTAGGCTATGGTATGTGAATTTTCTTCTCTTCCTTTTTTCATTCTCCTGTGTAAACTGTATAAGTAATGTCTGAAATCAATCTCAGTACTTCCTTATTCTGAATAGAGTTCATTGTGCAAACTCTAAGAACAGTTGAAGTAGTTTCTTCCCCTCCCCCCCCAAAAAACCCTCCATCCAATGAATTGTCAATGACACATCTTTGCAGAGAATGCACTTGAAGTTACCCTGAGAGTTCATTCAAGAAAAAACAGCCATAATTTTGTGTGCTCCATTTTGGCTAGACATGAATCAATTATACTTCTTAAGAGATGTAGTTTCAGTCCTGTGAGGAATAACAAAAGGGGATTTTGATTTGGGTGCACATTTTCAGTTCACATTTTTAGCATTTTATTAAACTGTTTGAGTAGAACTTTACTATTGTTGTTGTTTAAGCAGTTGTGGAAGTGTTGTACAATGTGCTAATAGTTCTCATGAAGCCTAATTAGCCCTAAAAGCAAAGTGTAGCACTTCAGCTTCGCAATTCAGTAATATAGCAAGTAATAGCCTAAAATATTCCACAGTCTCATACACTCATTTTGTTATAGGAGCTGATAGGAAGTTACAAGTCCTACGCTTTCTAGTGTATTAGTCATATGAATATCAGGGAGGTTGCGTAAGTTTGGCCTGCTGGGCTCCTACAACATCTTTAGAAGTTACATGGCTTGCTGCTATTCAAAACTATGTGAATAGATGTTAGGAAGGTTACAGTTGAGTTTATTGTGCTTTGTGTTGATGCAAGGTTCTGTTGCCTAGCAAGATAGGTGTCCTGAGAAATATCACCACATTTTTGGAAGGGCCCCTTAAAGGCAAGTTATTATACACTAGAGGGAAAAACAAATAAACTTCCATAGCTAGGGGTTCATCAAGAAACAAAACTTTGAGGAGAGGGGGATGAGTGACTGTCATAAACTGTATTCTTCCTAGTATAAGTATAGTAACAGTATTTCCTTTTTAAAATGGTTATATTACCTAAATGAACTGAAACAATAGAAAATATATTTTGTAAAAAATAATAATCTGAACATCATATAGTGTACAGTGTCTTTTTGCTCACAATCGCCATACAACATGCAGCAATATTACTGGTAACTGTGGAACCAATTACCCTGCCCTCAGATTATACAGATTAAAGATTTCTTGTAGCTGGGCAGAGCAGCCTCAGAACCCCCTTGCCTATTTATGGTAAGAATGGCAACATGGCACTATGTTGGACCGGGGTATTGTTTAGGAAGGTGGTTATTTTGCGCGGGGTGTGTGTTGTTGCTACTGTTAATGTTATTTTTTGTATTTTTATTTTGGTTCTTACGTGGAAAATGTTCAGTTTTGTGTACTTTTTGATGTTTTGTTTATTGTCTGATATGTTGTAAGATGCCTTAAGCATGGTTTTAACTTTGGAAAGGTGGCATACAAATAAAATGATTGATTGATGTTTAACATTCCATGTGCACAAGCATATCAGCTTGCCAGATGGAACAATCCTGCCCCACTGCCTCATTCTGGATTATGGGCAGGAGGAGGGGGAGGAGCCCCATTGCACAAGTGAAATATTTTGTACAGTGCTTCCTATACAAACCACTTGATATTAGTAAAGAAGGGGGGGGGGGAATTGCTGCAAAACAATTGACCATTCAGCATCACAAAAATTCTAATCTCAAAATAGAAGTCTACATAATTCTATATGTAATAAAGAGATCTTTTTCACAGGCTTTCCCTGACCAGGTTAGGCCCTGGTTTATGTGTATTAATGCATTGAATCTGTTTTAAATGCTTTTTGTTTTCATGCAGTTTTATTGATTTTAGGCTGTATTTTTGTTTTAATGGATATTGTTTCACTATTGTATGTAAGGCACACTGCTTAGAGACTTTTAAAATATGCAGTGGTTTAGAAATGCTTTTAAGTAAGTGTTAAAACGTATGCCGGGAGGGCAGTATAGAACAGTGTGCCACACCGGTGGCCCAGAGGTGGAACAGAAATTAAGTTATATATTCTGAAAGGACCTTGTTCTCTATTGTTATTTAAATGTTTTTTCCTGTCTTTCGCTTCCCCAGTGTTTTACCTCTATCTTTCAAAATCATCAGCGTCGCAATAAAGTGGCAAAAATGACGGAGTTCTGGCTGATTTCTGCTCCTGGGGAAAAAACATGTCAGCAGACATGGGAGAAGCTGTGTGCTGCAACCATAAAAAATAACAACCTTTCTACCAATGCAAAGTTTAACATTCCAGATTTAAAGGTATACCCATTCAAAAGCGCATGGTTTTGTATTCAAACTGTTTGCACCTTAAGTTTAGGGGAAATGAGACATGATGGTACAAACACAGCACACTCCTATTGCCAAATAATATTTGCCTGCTAATGTTACTTTGCTTACTAAATGAAGTACCGTAATTGTAAATCACTTACCTAACTTGTGAATTTGTGGAGTGCATGCTCCTATCTTCCACTGGAACTATATAGTAAAGGGGCTGTTAGGCTTTTTGAAAATTCCAAATTATATTTTATTTAATTTGCCTCCCTGAATGCAGTATCACAAGCTAATGCTGAATGTACTTGTGATATAGAACAAATGGTCAGACCAACTTAGAAAACCATTTTCTATTCCCTACTAAGATTCATGGACTCCTGTTCCAATGTACTGGCATGGATAATCTCTAACACTGTAGTTGCAGGCAGATGATAAATAAAATTATTATCTTTAAATTTCAATGCAATGTTGTTTTAAAAAAGGAAGACAATTTTTAGACTGAAATCATATGCATGCAAACTTGGAAATAAATCCCATTGTATTTAATGTGGGACTTCTTTATGATTAAAAATGCATAGGATTGCACTGTTAGTCTAATAGTTCCTTCTTACAGTTACCTTGTTATATATGTTCCATCTAAAATAATTCTCATTCTTTCCTTTATAGGTTGGTACCCTTGATGTGTTAGTTGGCTTGTCTGATGAGCTGGCTAAACTGGATACATTTGTGGAAAGGTAACTACTTTTTAATATCCACCTAATATCACTGCTCACGTTTCTTCCATTTTGTTGCAATATAGAAGCCTATGTATCATCTGCTAATTGTCTGGTTTTTAGGTCAACCAGCTTAATGACTGTCAGTGTTAGCACATAATGGAAAGCGAAGAACCTTTGTGGAATAAACCATACTGTGCATGCAGCCTATTGCTCCCACGTACCTCCTCTGGTGTGAGCAGATAAACTAAACAAGGAAGGAGTCATTTAGTATTGTGACCAACCCCAGGGATATGCTTTGCTTTTTCCTAACACGCCAGGATAGCTAGCCAGCTTTAAGCTGCAGTTTGCTTTTGGCATTCCAATCCTTGCTTGTTATTGCCAAACTGTGGTTTCAGTCCTGAGTTTGTGTAATGATAAAGCTATCCCTGTCTTATTTTCTTTACTTTGTCAGTTGCCAGCAATCAGGTTACGTGCACAGTATGGTTTATTATGCCATATTTCTGAGTCTCCAACAATATTTTGGGTTAATTAGCTACTTCTTGGTTTGGACAACCATAACAAGTCACAACAACCAAACTGGCAAGCAGTGGTTTGAGTTTGCCCTCCAAACTAGGTATGGAATTCCAATCCTGCTTTGCTAGGGAGGGTAACAGGTGAAAACAAGGATCACCTGGAGGCTCTGGAATGCTACCTGTGAACCAACCCAATGTGTTAGTCTTAAGTACTTGCAGTTTCGCCATGTTTTGGAACGTGTGATTGTGCTTTGACTGTCTGCATTGCTAAAATGATCTCTGAGAACATAAGAGCCCTGCTGGATCAGATGAAAGGCCCATCCAGTTCAGCATTCTGTTCTCATGGTAGCCAAACAGGTACAAACAGAAGAAGCAAGAGTGCAACAGCACTCCTCCTATTTTCTGAACCGCCCTGAGACCCCTGGGTATAGGGCAGTATATAAATTCTTTTTTTAAAATTTTTTTTTAATTTTTAAAAAAGTAAAGGGACCCCCGACCATTAGGTCGAGTCGTGGCCGACTCTGGGGTTGTGGCGCTCATCTCGCTTTATTGGCCGAGGGAGCCGGTGTACAGCTTCTGGGTCATGTGGCCAGCATGACTAAGCCACTTCTGGAGAACCAGAGCAGCGCATGGAAACGCCGTTTACCTTCCCGCTGGAGCGGTACCTATTTATCTACTTGCACTTTGACGTGCTTTCAAACTGCTTGGTTGGCAGGAGCAGGGACTGAGCAACTGGAGCTCACCCCGTCACGGGGATTAGAAACACCGACCTTCTGATCGGCAAGCCCTAGGCGCTGTGGTTTAACCCACAGCGCCACCCGCATCCCATATAAATTCAGTTTTTTAAAAAAGATCCCTAGCATCTAATCTTCAGAGACATACCGCCTCTGATACTAGAGTTAACTAGTGCACTTTATCGCCTGACACGGGAGCGATTTTTAGATATTGGCCTAACAGAAAACAATGAAAAATTCTTTGAATTGAGTAAAACTGACAAAAATCAGAGAAAGTGCCCAGTCTTAAATGACACATAGCTTTTGAAGAGCAAAGAACAGATCTTAAACCATAACAAATTTCATGAGCAGCATTTTGGAGTGTATCATGGGGGACAATTTGTTGTCAGTTTGAAACAGTTCTGTGAAATCAATTGTGACATAATTGTGAGTCTCATTTGATACAGCCCCCAAGTTGCTGAAACGTTTAGTCCACAGACAGAAAGACGAATAGGATCTTAATTTTATTTTAATTTTTCTCTTCTCTTCAGTGTTGTCAAGAAGGTGGCACAGTATATGTCTGATGTGCTGGAAGACAGTAAAGATAAAGTTCAGGAAAACCTTCTGGCCAATGGAGGTAAATGTTAGCTTTCTGAGAAGGGTGACATTGAAAGTTGATGGTTTGAGCATAAATTCAGAAGTGATGCATATGAGTCATAGGAAAGCATTTTCTGCAACACAAGTGATCGCAAAAATTCAAAGCAAGCAGAAAACCTAGAAACCAACCTATAAATGTAATATCTAAAAGGAAGCGTGCTCTTCAGCTGCAGTTCTGCTTTCCCTACCTTGTTTATAATTCTAGATTTTTATGTGATCAGTGTCTTCTCCTTAGTTACGTTAAGCACAAGCTTTTCATGTATGCTAATTTAAACATCCTTGAAATAGATAGATATGTTCATTGCATTAAAAAGACATACAAATAATTATGATGATACTGATGTTGTCCATTAAATCTTTGAGTGTGATATCTAATAATAGGCATATTCAAAGTAGCCCCAACTGAGAACAAGGGCAAGATACTTAGGTCTGTTGTTTTCAATAGGTTTGATCTCAGTGCAACTTAGTTGGCTATCACCCTGAGTCTATAGTATCAGAAAGAAATGAAAAATACTGTCATACCCAAAGAATAGTGTGAAAGATGCCCTGTTGGAATGCTGATCCATTTTTCCCCTTGCAGTCCTATTAAAAAGTGACACCACAGATGCTTTTGTAAGAGTAGGGGTGCCATTTCTGAATACCAGTGAAAAAATTGATGTGATGTGTGTAATATGCCTTCAGAGTTTACTAAAGTAACTTCTGAAAGAGGGTTGGGGAATCTGTGGCCCTCCAGATGTTGGAATCAAGCTCCCAGCAAGTCCCAGCTAGCTTGGCCAATGATTGAGGCTGACGTCCAACAATCTCTGGAAGGCTGCAAGTTCGTCAACCCCGTTCTAACAAGCGTTTCATCGCCCCTAAACCAGTGTATCATGGCTGGCTAAAATAAGTGTTAAGCTGTCCCAGAGTAGATTTTTATAATTGGTTACCACCTGTAAATCTAGGTTATCATTAGGTGACCTGAATAAATAGAACACAGCAATCCAGTATTTTTAATTATGTCGAAAGAAATTGTCTGGTGGGGGCCACTTCTGCTCCTGTAGTACTGTCACAACAATGCCCTGTCAAAATGCCCCCCTCTCAGCAACTAAAGGTAATGGGGGTCCATCCTGTTATTGCTTCTGATCCACTCTAATGATGTATGTGCACAAAATTCATATATGAAAAGAAACATCCCAAACAGCATACCTTTTAATATGGCCTTGCTGCAATGGCTTCTAAACTTTCTTACACTACATATAATCTTTCCTGTGTTTTAAAAGGCAAACATCTATATAAAGTCTCCAGGAGCATTGCTTGGTAGGTGTATTTATTCATTCATACAGGTTGTGCGCCATCCCATAACGTAAAGTTCTCTGGCTGGCTTAAAATAGTTGTGTAAAAAAGCAACTGAAATTCCAAGTAAACATAGCCATTTTTAAAAGATGGGAACCCTAGATAAATAAACCAAACGGAACTCCACCCACCTAAAGTTAAAAACAGATTTTAGAAAAATGGGCCAGATAACTTAAATGATTTAAAAGTGAGCAGAAAGGTCTTCTTAAGGATAAGAAATATGAAGCCAGGCTGTTCCATAACCGAGATGCCACTCTCCCAGCAGTGACTCACCACACTTCATTCAATGGGGGCAGCCAGAGCTGGGTCTCTGAAGAGGAACTTGAGGTCTGAGTAGGTACATAGAGGAGAAGATGGTCTTTCAGATAGCCTTGGCCAAGTTCAGAGCTTTTGAGGTTAAACCTGAATTTTAAATTGTGCCCATAAATCAGCCGGGAGCCAGAACACCTCACAAAGCACAAGTTTGTGCTCAGTTTGCCAATACCAATATTCAATCATTGTGTTCACAGTTGATTTGGTCACCTACATAACAAGGTTCCAGTGGGACATGGCAAAGTATCCAATCAAGCAGTCTCTGAAGAATATTTCAGAAATAATTGCCAAGGTAGGTTTATATTATCCAAAGAGGTATGAAACTTGTGTTATAATCTCTGTGGTACATGCACCAGGGTGTGGTAAAAATTGCTTCTGCTTTTTAGTCTCTTTGATGTTCTTTTTTTAAAAAAGAAGAAACCATCAAAAATCCCCAAAGTGACGAACAAGTGCAGAAAGCTTCTGTGGTGCAAAAGCTCCCCCCCCCCCCCCCAAAAAGCATACAGTGATTTATCAGGCAGATCAATGAAAACATTGACCTGAGGTTTTAGGAAATGGAAAATTGCCTCCTATTAACATTAAGAAAGGGGGGAACCTGGAAAAGGTCAGGTAGTAGACTAACCTCTCATCAGGGTCTTGCATTCTCTGGAAATATAAATACGGTTAATAAAATATAGCTATGCAACCCAGTTGGGCATCTTACAGTACTGAATACTTGTAAGTGACAAAATTGGTATTGATCAGACATTTCAGAGGAAGGAATACAGAATGGAAACAAAGCTATAAAATAGGCACAGTTGCACATGGTTAAAATAACAAAATCCAAGTAAAGACATCATCGTTAGCAGATTATCAAGTATAGTTCCAGATTTGCCATGTTTGTCTTGTTCAGTGCAAACCTACAACACCATAAATTTGTATTCGTTTATAGTTTGCCCATTTATGAAGGCTTAGTCCTACACTGGCAAATGTGGATTATCTTGTCCAAAAGATTATTGATCTAATTTTCTTGTCTGTCTGTGCAGCCTTGCACCACAGTCCTAACTCAAAGGCTTGTTCTCTCCTACAACTTATGCCTTCTCTCCAAACTGGCAGGATGTAGCAATCCTGTTTCCTAACCGCACTAATTGTGACTAAGACTCCTCTATACGGCATTTGCCTTTGACAAAAACCCAAGCCTTTTCTTTTTCTTCCCATCCCCACTGCCCTGCTTGTTTCTCCTATAGATATTTGGGAATGGATGGGAATAGCTTCTAATTAGGGAATAGCTCAAAGAAGGGAAGCTCTTTTTCCAGCTGCAGGGCGGCTGGCGACTGCTCTCTAGGAAGAGATTCATCTTGCTTAGTGAAATAGCTGGTAGATTAACTGTCTAAATAAATCATCACCAATGATGAATGGTGCCATTGTGCTAAAGAGGAAAGGGAAGATAAAGCCAACTAAAGTGCCATTTGTGGATAGTGAGGCGTGCAGTTGTAGCCTTCCCTGGGTGGTCACCACAGCCAAATCATTGCTTTTCTTCTAGTTGGCCTCTTGGCAATTCCCTGCAGTAATTCCCCAAATATTTCATAGCTTCACATAAGTATGGGAACAATAACTATTCTGTATTGTAAAAGGAAGTAAATAGTCCCTCCCTGCCAGCTCTGTGATCAGTTTTGTTTCCAGTCCTTCAGAAAACTCTTGGGTGATGCCTTTCCCTTTCACCGTGAGCGCTGTTTACTTGAGCAGCAATTCATTAACTACCAGCTCTTTCAGTAGATGCTCCTAAATACCACTTTTATCTGCTAGATTTCAAATCAGGCATACTTCCTTGAACAAGCTTCTGTAGTCCTTCTGTGTTAAGGTTGAAGCAGGAACTGCCACCCAAGTTCACAGTAAACCATTAATTGTTTGCTGTGATGTGCTAAATGGACCACAGTGGGTGGTATCCCCCTATTTTACAGAGAGTAGGACCAATTAAGACTGGAGTTAGCCATGGCTATTATTTTAACTGGGACTACTCTGAGTAGGATGAGCATTGGATATAGCCCTGTGATTTTGAAACTATTCTATTGGAACAACTTAGGAAAAAAGTTGTTTCAAGGCTGAAAATCCACATGGGTTTTCCAGAAAGGATCCAAGACCAGACCTAGTTAGAATTTAAAAAATAAATTAAAAATAAATTTAAAAAAATAATCTTTGATGGAAAACTCTATGGTTGAGACCCACAGGCTGCCAGAAAAAAAAACTGGGAGTCTAGGGCAACAGTACCTCTTAAGGTGCACTTAAAACAGAGAGGAGTTTCAAGAGTGATTTGATAGTGTATGGAGGTTAAATGTCCAAAGGGAAAGGAATCTGAATTCCATTGGGTGTGTGGAGGCCCTGGGGTAAGCCTCAAGTATGTTTCTGGATCCCACCCCCACATCATTAGCAACTTCAGTGACTGTTTTAGCCAAGTGCAAGCTCCATTGAAATGGGTCATATATGCTACAAAATAATGCTATTTCATTACTTCTGAGAATAATTTTCTGTCTTTAAAAAAAGTTCATAAAAAGGGGATTCCAAGTCGTAATCCTTTTTAAGGCAATTACAGATTTTTCGAACTCAGTTTACTAATATAGTAAACTTCTTTAAGAAACTGTGTGTAAGTGATAATCTGTGGCCTTCTTCATCCTGGTGTCCTCCAAGGGCATATGGAAAATCTAGTCCAAAACATCTGGAGGATAATAACTGGAATGCTGGCCAGTGAATGTTGTCTCGTTTTCCTAGCCTGATATTCATTTGCACATAATTGTCATTTTTATAGGAAAGTCTAATGCAGTATTTAAATCCTTCTTAGAAAACACTGATATAGTTTTGCTTCTGAATTTTGTCCTTTAAAGGGAGTGACTCAGATTGATAATGACCTGAAGGCAAGGGCGTCTGCATACAACAACCTGAAAGGCAACCTTCAGAACTTGGAAAGGAAGAATGCGTGAGTTGTCTTCTTCTGTAAGGTGATCTGAAAGCAGGCTGATGAATTTGATATGTTCAGTATGACTTTTGATTTCTGAATTCATACATTTCTCAGTAAGGGCCTAAGTTAGCAGACTGCCCTACCTCTGGGTTTGAACATACTGTACAAGGTAATGGTGGAGTTAAAGCCACATTTGAAACAATCTAAGAAAAAAATCTGAAAAAAGAGGGAAGAAACATATTTGCCATCATGTTGAAGTCATACAGAGAATTGTACAACAACCAGCCATATAGTTACTTGTCAGTCTTGAGTATCACAGCACATGATCTTTGTTTTCAGATAACATTATCACATCACAGCTATAATAGAAAATTTAAGTGGCGGGCTCTGCATATCATGCAAGTTTATCTGAAAACTTGGGATTTCATACTTTACCAAGCTTGTTATCCACTCACTTGGATTGAGATTTTGGCTATTTGTCAGTAAAATAATTGATTGATTTTGAGGCATGTCTAATTGATTATAGCACATTAGGAGCACTATAAAAATTGTAGCTATTCGCTGCCAAAAGTCTTATTATTCAGATCAAATTAAATATAAGAATTATACACTCATTTCTTGATCTTCTTGTTCTTTAACAGGGGAAGTTTGCTAACCAGAAGTCTGGCTGAAATTGTAAAGAAAGATGACTTTGTACTTGATTCTGAATATTTGATTACGTTGTTAGTGGTTGTACCAAAGTAAGTCTGTCTCCTGGTCCCTAAAAGAATCCTTGCTGAAACGTAAAGACAAGCATACAGAATGTATTAAGAGGAAGGGATATTTCACAGAATGATTTGTTTGCTGAAACTGGTATGTTACCATGGAACAATTAAAGGCACATGTGGAAATGTGCAATCCACTTCTAAGGGACAGAGGAACAGACATTGTCTTTACATCGTCTCAACATCAGCAAAAGCATTCAATGTTTGCATTGTAAGTTGAAGCCCTTTCACAAGCACTGCAAAATCTGTTCATTTATGAAGTCAGTTGAGAAATCTAGCAAAGCTGCGAAAACTGACCTCCAGGTTTCAGAAATTCTCATTGATTTGCTCTAACCTATTGAAGTGTTTAGCTTGTAAATTGGATTTACTCAAGTCAGTCAACATTTTGCTTCTTATCACTGCATTTATCTTCCCTGCCCTAACTCTCTCTACATTAGCCTGCAATCTTAGTAAAGTATTAGCAGGCCAGGCAAACGAGGCTATTATTTGTAATAATATTTTAGTCAAAGTAAATTGTGTTGAGGATGTATCTGAGTTGGTCGAAGGATGCCGATAGCTCATGGAAATTTATTAGCTTAAAAAAAAAGTAAAACTGGGAATACTAAATAAAAAGGTATTGTCTTGGGAAAAGAAGACATTTTTAGGCCAATAAAGAGTTGAAACTAAAGAATAAGGTGTTGAGTTTAGCTTCTTGCTTAATTATGTAGAACATTCTGTACATCTAAAATTATATACACAACAAAAACTTAGTTTCATATTTCTATATTTAATTTTACCCCATGCCTGCTTTATTCTGGGTGTTGAATGGGGCTTGCAGTGCAAGCCTATGCATATTTGCTTTTAAAGTAAGTGTCCATAAAAATGCAATGAAAAATATGCACTTTGAGTTGTTGTTGTTGTTGTTGTTACTGTTGTTTTTATTGTTATTATATCCCATTCATCTGGCTGGGTTTCCCCAGCCACTCTGAGTGGCTTGCAGCATAATAAAAACATCAAGTATTAAAAGTTTGATCTCTGCTCTAATGCAGTGTTCTACCCTGTGAAAACCAGGAGTGCTTTTTTCCTATGCAATAAAAACAAGAGTTTGCAATAGGTATTGTTCATTACAATAACTTCCTTGCAAGTCCTGGGTCAACAGTATGATCTTAAAGCTGTACTGGAGAACTTAACTCTGTCTAAGTCTTAAGCTGTACGCACCACTGGGAATGAATCCGTGGAGTTCAGAATAAATTGAGTAAAGATACATACAATAGTGCTATAAAACTATTTCCTGACTTAGCACCTGACAGAGCAACATCTGATGCAGTGCAAAGTTCTTCTGTAGATGGAAAGGAAACTAGGCAGCCCCTCTTTGTATTCATGGAGAAAGCTGGAGGACACATGAGACGGCTCCTTGGATCCTGGGTGTATCCTGTGTGTACACCCAGTGTATCCTGAAAACACTCGTGGTGCTGATAGTGGCAAAAAGAACTTTGTGCTCCCTTCCCCAGGGATTTTGGTTAAGACAACTAATGCTTAACTTTTCCATCTTTAGGATAAATTATAATGACTGGATGAAGCAGTATGAAACTTTAACGGATATGATAGTTCCACGATCCAGCAAGTAAGTTTGATTCCACTTACTTAGGAACACAGTTGAAAATAGGCTGATGTACTCCAAAAAAAGGAGAAACAGCTTTTGGAGACTTGGTTTGCCCAGTACTATAACACCCCCCCCCAAAAAAAAAGTTAGTTCTCTTTTAGAATTCTTTCATCACCTTGTGATTTGAGTCTTTGAATCCATTTCCCCAGAAACTGCATTCCTGAACAATGAATACAAGTGCCACCTTATACTGAGTCTGGTTCCAGTAACGCCCAGTAATGTGTGCAGCCAGCTGTACTGTTGGCCACAGCCCAACCACATGGTACAATTGTTAGGAGAGGTGATGTTCAAAAAAGCATATTTTTGTCATTTGGACTTGAAGGTTGAAAGTCCAGTAATCTTCTACTGGGCCAACTGCATTAGAGGAACCTTTGGTTTGCTCAGAATTTGTTTTATGGGGCAAGGGCGGGTGCAACTCTCATTCTCGCCCCTCCTCTGAAGCAGGATCTGTTCTTCAGTTCGAATGCTCCATTCACTTTACTAAGCAGGCAAGATTGGGAAAGCTACTGAAAGCTGTTAAGTAGTGTTGCAAATTTGAGGTCATTTTCTGAGAGAACACTTAAATTGCACTCAGCGGGTTTAATGCAGCTAGCTTTGCTCAGAAAGGACAACGCTTTGAATGTGAAATGCGACTCGAGCACTTCTCCTGTGAAGCGTGGCAAAGGTGAGCTGCAATTACTCCTCTAATAGAGGTACACCATCTGTAAGCCTAGCTCTGTAATCGGAAGCAGTACAACTGTGCAGCAGCAGCACATAAGCTGTTTTTGCTGGTCTTGCGTTACAGGTTTACAGTTTTTATTGCCGTATGTCTGTTCCTTTATTTTTTGACCTGTACTCCCCGGTGTCTTTCATTCTTTGCAGTGTTCTTTCGGAGGACCAGGATAGTTATCTCTGTAATGTCACCTTGTTCAGGAAGGCCGTGGATGAGTTCAGGCACAAAGCCAGGGAAAACAAGTAAGTGGTCCTCCTCCCAGGTTGTTTTTCTGCAAAAAAGCAATCGTAAAGCAACCTAAAATGGTCTGCTGGTCTCCCGATGCAGGTTTATGGTCCGCGACTTTCAGTATAATGAAGAAGAGATGAAGGCAGACAAGGAAGAAATGAACAGGCTGTCTACTGATAAGAAGAAACAGTTTGTAAGTTCAATGTGTGTTAAATACATTTGAAGATAATTCTTCAACACCCCCCAAATAGTTTTTCCTTCCCTACATCTGCCTTTAGGGACTATTGAGACTAATTCATTGATATAAGAAACATTGCAGTAAATACAGAGCGAGCAAAGCAGCCTTTGACAGTATGAAAGCTGTTATTAGTAATTGTAGGTTACAGTTTGGGCTACGCTTTCCACTGTTTGGCTATTTAGTTTTCTAGATGGCATTGGGATATGTCAGGGCCCTAGAACCGTCCGCAAAGGCTGTGAGACAACTCAGCTCCCACCCAGTGCCCATTACCTCCACAGAAGGAGAATTTGTTGTGTGGGTCCCTTCCTGCAAGTAAGCTCTCAGATGTTTCTGTGCAGTGCCCAGTGTATTGCAGATTGCTACCATTTCTGTGGTTCTGAATGCATTACATACATCTCCTACTGGAGGTGCCCTATGTAATTTCTGAAAGATAAAGATCCATGCCAGTGGATAAGCTTGTTCCGTTTTCTTTCTGTCTACATTTTCCTGAATAATTTCATGACTTTTTAAAAGCTGATTCCCTCCATATGAACCCGCCTATCCAGTAAGATCATCATTGGAAGCTCTCCAGATCTGCCCCAGAGTTTCCCCCAACCCTCCAGAGCTGGTTTTGAGAGGGGGGTGCTGATGAGGACAGGAGAGGAAGCACCACTGAGTCCATGGAAATGCATTGTTCCAAGTCCAACTGCAGCCTTGGATACTGTCCTATGCAGTAAAAGGGACGCGGGAGGCGCTGTGGTCTAAACCACTGAGCCTAGGGTTTGCCAGTCAGAAGGTCGAATCCCCGCAACAGGGTGAGCTCCCGTTGCTCGGTCCCTGCTCCTGCTAACCTAGCAATTCAAAAGCATGTCAAAGTGCAAGTAGATAAATAGGTACCGCTCCAGCGGGAAGGTAAACGGCGTTTCCGTGTGCTGCTCTGGTTCACCAGAAACAGCTTAGTCATGCTGGCCACATGACCCGGAAGCTGTACGCCGGCTGCCTCGGCTAGTAAAGCGAGATGAGCGCTGCAACCCCAGAGTCGGCCACGACTGGACCTAACAGTCAGGGGTCCCTTTACCTTTACCTTTACCTACGCAGTGCTTTTTTTCTTTTAAAAAAATGTTTAGGGCTACTCTCATTTTCCGACTCATATTGAAAAACTGCCTCTCAATGAGGCCAAACTTAGATTCACAAAATGTTTAGGGGTATGTGTACCCCCTTGTCCCCCCAGAAAAAAACACTGGTCCTATGTATTTTTGATGCCAGGTGAAGATGGTCCCCCCCCGTCATTTTAATCTGTGACTAGGTGAACCCTTGACTTGGTCTTTTATGTAATTGCTGTGTGTATTCTTGTTTCTGCTGTTTTTATATTACTGCTGATAGTTTATAGTTTTAGGTAAGCTTCCTCTGTCTTCATATAGAAAGGCAGGAAATAAATGCTTAAAATGACAAGATGTTGATGTTTAGAATCTCAGTTTTCCCAGCCAAAGGATGCTTCCATTATCTCCTCTTGGCATGCTTTGGCCTGTTCATTCTACAGAGCAGCTGCAGTAACGTTGCCATACACAAAACAGATTTGAATACAGTGCAAAGTCTCCTGATGCTTAAAATGACTTCTTGCTTTTCCCTTCCAAATACAGGGGCCTCTAGTACGGTGGCTGAAAGTAAATTTCAGTGAAGCTTTCATTGCGTGGATTCATGTGAAAGCGCTGAGAGTCTTCGTTGAATCAGTTTTGAGGTATTTTTCTCTATAGATGAGCTATTGCTCCATTCCTTCAAGAATCACTAGCATTCCACATGTTTGGTCTGGTGAATCTTGGTAGCTGCGCTCTCTTGCACAGACACCAGGATTATCTGAATCAAATTACTATTTACGCATTAACTAGGAACAAGGCCAATTTACTAAAGCAATCAGACAAGCAGTGAGATTATTTTAATATTAAACTTTCGTGATATTCCAGATACTTGCATGATCCACAAGGCAGAGAGGTGGTCTTCAAATCTCCCCCTTTTCCTGCAGTCTGATGTGCTACTTTGTTTCTGCTGTTATTCTGGATGTCTGATGTTCTAAAGGGCATCCCTGGAACATATTTGGGGAGGCAGACAGTAGCACAATGGGCTGCAGAAGGGATGAAAATTCCGCTCCCTCGCCTTTTCACTAATGGGAGCCTCCACTGGAGCAAAGTGCCTTCTTTCAGCAGAGGGACATGACATATATCAAATTGGTTGCTGCTGCTCGCAAGAGCTAGAGGCAATGTAGTGCAGTAAGGAGATTTGCAGTAAAACACTATAACAGTTTTATGACAGCTGATTCTTAAACTGAGATAGCAAATGCAGGAAATATGATTACATACATACATAAATTTTATTTGTATGCTGCTTTTCCACATTTCCAATCATTCTCAAGGTGGCTTACAACATGAAAAAATATCCTAAGTATTCATAAAAAATAAAGAAAAAGTTAAAAAATACACAACCAAACTGCACAATTTCCACATTAATCACAAGAAGATCTGAAATACAGATACCAGACAACAACAGCAACCCTCCCCAGCAAAAAACCCCAAACAACACCCCAGCCCAAAAGTCTGTTCAGCAGCCTCAGCTTCTGTAGCCAGAGTCAGGGCCCTGCCATCCCAGGCCAGGTGGAGAAGCCTTCAAGGCAAGGAGCAGACCTTCCAGGACTCACAGCCAGTATGGTCCAAAGATGATTCCAAAACCTTTGAATAAGACAAGTGTTCCAAAATAAGAGAGTTATCCCTTTCAGATACCTGTTTTTCCCTCTTTTCTTATCCTCCTGCCTGTTAATTTGGCTTTGAGCACAAAGAGTGAACAGGTGCTTATTCAAAAACTTTTGAAATGTTTGATTTTTATTGACAGTTTTTTTAAACAATACAGCAAACGACAACTGGTACAGAGACTCTTGAGTTTCATTAATGGCAGAGCTCAACATATTTGGGAATTTTGCTGCCCCTTCGTAATAGTATATTTCCAGAATAACTGGCAGGAGTGGTGATTTTGGCCCCTCTCCATACTTCCTCCTCCACCCATATTCCCCCTCCACCCAAGCTAATTTTACATTGTCAGGTTCATTGCTCATCTAAGGCTTATTGTCATACTCCATGAAACCATCATGTGACAAAAATAATAATCGGATGCTTATGAAGCACATGCATATTCCATCACCATATCCCCACCTCCATGATGGGGAGAGCAGCAATAACAATTGATCGAGCTGAACTGGCTGCCTCACTGTATCACTAATGGTGACAACAATTGCATTCCAGAAGTCTCAGAACTGAAGCACATCCCCAACAGCTCTTAAAATTACTTTGCTCCTCTAGGTATGGTTTGCCAGTGAACTTCCAGGCTATGCTCCTTCAGCCCAACAAGAAAACAATGAAGAAATTGAGAGAGGTTTTGTATGACTTGTACAAGCACCTTGACAGCAGCGCAGCAGCAATCATTGATGTAAGTAACTCGCATTTTTACGACGTCCACCTACAATCCAAATTGTTGAAGCTGCGTTGCCTGAGAATTTTCTTACACCAACGAGACACTATCTGGCTCAGCCACATCTACCAGCATGGGAGCTGGTGCTGATTGGACAGTTTATAAGTTTGCCCGGATGTTGGTAAAGTAGAAACATGGTTGATTCGTAGTCTTAGGTCCTGCTAGAAGGGATGGCCCTGTGCAAACTACTAAAACAGCAATTAATGCCACAATGGCAGATTTGGAACAATCACCTCCCGTTCAGCATCACTTGGTGCCATGGAGACTCTGTTGATAGAGGCAGATGGTGTCATTTATCAATCTCAGTGGAGCTAGTGGGACTGGTTGAGAGTCTCATTAAATTCTGAAGTTTCCCAGCTATCACTTTTTTTAAAAGTGAAATGTTTGTGTTGTGTGGAAGTGGAGAAAATCTTGAAATTTTGCTTGTCAAGCATATGTTCTGTCACAAAGCTATGACCCTTCCGCAGTGGGAAGGAAATTTTAAAATGTACCAAAAAGATAAAATGCAGGTGGTTTTTGTCTGAGTCTAAGCAACAGTACTTGTACGTGTTTAAAGAAAATATGTGGCCATTAACTCTCCTGCTAAACTCTTAGTTATTGAGTTTAAAAAAATAAACTTGTCTTTTATAGGCAACTATGGATATTCCAGGTTTGAACCTCAGTCAGCAAGAATACTACCCCTATGTGTACTACAAGATAGACTGCAACTTGCTCGAATTTAAGTAGATGACTTCTGACCCTGACCATCCTCCCATAATATTGGTGTCCAAGAAGAAAAGGTTGAAGAATGGTGATGCTCCTAACTCTCTCCTGTAAACCTGTTGTTTGCTTGCTTCCTCCCTCGCGTAGGAGAATAATCCCCATAGTGGTCCATCTCTTTGACATTTTCTTTTAAAAGAGAAATGTAAGTATCGCTTTTAAATTGATCAGGTCTGTAAATGTATATTGAGAGAATCAGAGTGTATTTATAAATAGTCCTTATTTAAAAAAAGTTTTTAAAGGGTCATTCCTCTTTCGTACCGTGGTCTGCATCAATTCCATTGACTATCCTCCGGGAAGAACTTGTTTACAAAGGAAGATTGTGGGGAGAAAACTTAATGCCATTTTGTTCACTGTGTTTCATAGATATAAAACTTGTAAACATTGTTATTGAATTGTGATGTAAAATATGTGGAGATTGATATTCAGTCTGTGCTTTCTGAATGTTTTAAACTTATGCACAGGAAACATTCACAGGAGAAAAATAAAAGCACCTGTACTACTGTATTGACTGCTTTGTCTCACTCTGGTATAACTTTGTCAAAAGCTGGTAGGAACCATTTTGAGAGGTGAGATTCATACGCTGGGTGCTAAAGCAAGCAAATAGATTTGTGGTGGTCATAAATGAAGCCAATCAATAATGAGCAATCGCTGGAAGGAATTGGTGGGGCTGGCAGGGGAAGAATAGATGAAGACCTACAGGACAATAATCAATAAGAGTATCTTCATTGCTGGGCCCAAGTAAATAGTGAAACATGATGGGTCTTTTTAAAGAGCTAGCTGATTCTAACATGCATTTTGGTATTACAAAGAATAATTTTATAATATTTATTGCTCAGATCCAATTCTTTATTTCTGTCGCTTGAATATTTTAAAACTTTTTGGAGCTTCTGCACTACCACCACACTTTTGTTTCTGGAACACCAGAGGGCACCCTTGTGCCACTTTCAAACAAACAATATTACAGTAAATGCAACATCAGGTATTGGCAAAATATTAAAATGAGAACTTGAAAGGGAGCTTCAGTAATAAGCTGGTTTCTTCTAACAGAAGTCTGTTAGGAGAACAGCATGATATTTTTTAAGTGCCAGGAATAAGCCAGATTTCCATTACCTTGTTCTGCAGAGTCTACACACCTTTCTTTTCTACCTTGAGCTATAGTAGAAGATTGCAGGTCAAACGCTACAGTGAACCCACTATATCCAGTTGTGTCCCTCCACTCGCTGAATGCTGTTTGATCCTGCAGAGCCTTCACCAGAACAGAGACCAAAGCTATCCAGCAAGTTCCTCTGTGCCGCCCCAAATTTGCTCATAGGGTGTGGAACACTCCGGAATAATGTGGGCCTTGTCACAGCAGTTGCAGGAGGGAGGGAGGACCACCCAAGATCACCTCCATCCCTTTTCCACTGACAGAAGGCTCCACTGGATCAAATAACTTTCCAGCAGCTTCTGGGGTGCCAGTTGGATGCAGCTTGAGGTCAACATGTAGCCTAGCTGAAAACTGTTCTTTTGAAAATAATGCAGCCTGTCAGTGCTGCTCAAATTGTGCTGCAAAATGCCAGGACCCAGCTTCCAGAAAGTCCAACCTGTTGCCAGAACTGCTGCTTACATAATCTGATGGATACAGAACACAACCTACAGTTACTCCTCTTTGTTTTAGAGAACACAATCCATTAAAACAACAAAGCACCACTAAACAACAGTTGATAGCAGCATCAACCGAGTCTCTTCCAAACACCTAACACCTGTCTTTACATTTTTTATTTTTTTTAAAAAAAGATTGTTATAAAAACAATAAACAGCAGCATGAACATTTTACTAGGGAATATGTGAGAGGGATACAGGAAACAGGAGAATCGGAAAAATATTAAGAAGTATGTTGAAAATCACATTAAAAAATACAATTAAATGCAGTTCTTATAATTATTATTGGAATGGGTCCTTTAAGAGGATCTGACCAGTTTCTTTAATATAACATCTGAAGAAGAAGTGCTGATTGACTATTATTTCATTATCATCTCTCAGCAAGCCTGGAGGTAGTGGGTATGACATATTTCATGGAGTCAAATGCTACTTGATTCACGTCTGCCACAAATTGTGTATAGGTGGAGCCAGAATATGTTCTGGTATATTTGTGAAAACAATAAAATCACACCATGTGTCTATACATGCATCTCACCTATGTTGTCTATTTATACATCTTAGCTTATGGGCAAGTTTTTCCAATAATGCAATAAGCTGCGCTTGGTGCCATGCCTCTTGATAATTATTTTCATGCCCTAGCTATGGTTATCCTGGCTGCACTGAGCAAATGGCTAATCAAGTCCTTTTTCATTAAATGCAAGTTTTGGCATGTGAACAAATTTAGAAAGGCAAACGGAGGTGTCATTTGAACATCTTGTTTAGCATCTACAGTTACCTTACAGGTATTAATTTACTCAAAACACAAAGCCTTTCTATCTGCTGCAATACATTCAAAAACCTTTTGCATGTTATAGATATAAGAGGCTTCTGTAATGAAGATTGTGAACTTTTTTTTTTTTTTGTATTAACAGCGTTGTTAGACCTACACAGCATGTGAATTGATCGCATTACTAGAACTAATGGACTCTTGAAAATGCTAAAAGCAACCTTTGAACTGGCACAGACTACATCCTTAGGAGTAGATTGTTGCAAAGAAAAAATAGATTTTGCTCATGCAAGCTGATAATTGCACAATTAAGCAAAGCAAGAAGGTTGAAGTGTGACTTGTCTGGTGCTCTTGGAGGGATTGGGTTATGATAGACAAATCTCCCCCAGCGGAAGTGAAATACCGTATTTTCCCATGTATAACACGACCCCAATTTTGGGGGACACAGATTTACGAAGATGTGGAAAGATGACCCCTGTGTATAAGACGACTCCCGTTTTTTAACATTATTTTAGAGTAAAAAAAAACAGTCATACACAGAAAAGTACGGTAATTCAAACAAGATGTAGAGTACAACCCCAATACAAACCACATCCGGGGGGTGGAAATGTACAGAGACTATAAAAGTATCTTTCATTTCCCATTACATTTGGGCAACACAGGCACTTAAAGAGGTTTTCACTGCTTAAGCATCTCTCCTATTGGTTGAAATATGTTGATGGTAGTTAAACATGTTTCCTGCATTACTGTGCTTTTTCATGCAGGTGACCTGACATTTCTTTGTTGCCAGCACAAAGGTTCAGGAAGCATGCTTTTCTACCGTCCATGTTGCTCAGCTTAAAATGTGTTCCAAAAAATGTCTATAAAAACTAAATCTGAAGTACCACATAGTAGTCTCTTTGCTATAACTTGATTTTTTGAGAGTCTACAATGGGCCTCAGGATTTGGGGATGTGCAGGGTCCACTTCAAGGGACATGACTTGAAAATTGCCTATGGTCTTGGACCAGTTAATTCTTTTTCTGCTTGTTGTAGCAATAGCTGTGCTAGATGGTTATGATTTTTTTTAATTGAAAAAAGATTGAACTTCTGGATTCTAGCCTTCCAGTAACTTATCTGCTAATCCTCTCTGCTTCTTTCGAATGCCCCCTCCCTCTGTCACTTTCGGACTGTCCCACTCACTCTCCAGGTGAGCTGCCAAGATCTAAGAACGACGAATGTTCTTCACAGACATGGACCACCAGAATGAGGCTTGCAAACCACTGGTGGTCTATGGTCCACAGTTTGGGAACCCCTGGGTTGGACAACAAAAATTTGCTGGGGCAACTCCCATTGAAGACTGAGAAGTCTCATTAAAGCAGAGATCATCCTGCTGGCAGATACTTCCATCTGTTCCTATGTCTTGTAAGTGATTAAATAGACATATGGGTTTTATATATATATTGAAGTCTTCTCACTTAGAAGGAAGCAGGTTTGCTCCTGTGCTTTCTTTCCATTTTTTAACAAATCCCAATCTCTTCCACACCACATGCCTCTCAACAAACAACACCTATCACTTTCACAGAGGTTACTGTTTAGAATTTTTGCCTGTTGCTAAGCAACACTTTCTTCCACACAGACCGGTTTCCATGTGCTAATAGATGTGAATGCTCTCTTATCAAATAATGAAGTCTCCTCAGAGTCTGCAGTGCCCAACCTGGCTATACTGTTCTGAACTGAAGTAGCAGGCTTATTTTTTTTACCAGCTGCAGGCAGTTTCTGTTTTTGATATTTATTTTAAAAATTTATATGCCCACCTTCTTGCTAGTCCCTCAAAGCCACTACTAATAGCAACAGTAAAACACACAAAATAGTAGAATAATAAAAAACCAAAAGCAGCAAATAAAATCAGCTGACACACCTTATTTCCAGTTCAAAGGTGGGGGGGGGGGAGCTAGATAATGTATGTCCCATTAATATGCCACCTTTCAAATTACAACAGTTCTATGGACCTCACTGCAATGGATGAATCATTCATTTTGGCCTGTGTAAAATGTGACTGATGTAACTTGGGACTGATGTAACCTGTGGCCCTTTAGATGATTATGCTACACATTACCAAGAAGAAATATATTAATCGCCTTCTAAACCATCAACTCAGAAGTGATTTACACATTAGGTAATTAAAGAGTTAAATACATAAAAACAACAAATGCATTTAAAACAAGACTAAAACCCTAACAAGTGGGTAATCGTGGTAGTGACCCATTTATCCAACTGGGAAAGCCCATCAGAGCAAAAATGTCTTCAACTTTTCAGAAAGTGGAGATAGCGGGCACCTATGGTATCTCAACAGAAATGCTGTTCCCCAGAACAGGAGGCAGCCATACTAAAAGCCCTGCTCTGAGTTTCTGCAGAGCAGGCTTCTGAGATCTATGAAACCTGCAGGAGAAACTCCTACAGAACGCAGCAGTCTGCTGGGTGTGCAAGGGATAAGGCGCCCAATCAGCTCAGTTCAGCCCAATATTGCTGAACTACAACCCCCATTATCTTCTTGGCTATTCTAGCTGAAGATGAGAGGAACTGGAGTCCAACAACATATGGAGGGCCACAGGTTCCTCACCTTGGATGTATAATACAGGATTGCCACGGGGGATGATATGGTTTAATTAAAGTGGTGATAAAAAATCCCATCTATTCAAATATTGCTACATGCTGCCATGGATAATTAAGCATTTTCCCTTTCTTCTAGTTACACTGGTTCTCTTCCTCTGAAAATTTCCAGTTAACACCCAAACAGATGCATAAAGCTGTTTCACTTAATTACTTTTCCGTACTGGAAAGGATGATAAAGGTACTTGTCAAGTATGCAGGATGTAGGAGAATAATGTTTGCTCTCCATAAGATAGTATACCACACTCACCACAGTAAAATCTCTGCATGCGTTCAGGTGAGAGAGTTTCCAGTTAATGTGCTTTACATTAGTTATGCTATACAAACTCAAGGCAGAAGGAAGCTCAGTTAAATTATTCTGCCCTCACAGCTTATAAGGCATTTTTGGGTTGGAGTCAAGCTTTTCTATTCACAAAGCATTCCCTGGACTGCAGAGCAAGGTTCAATTGTCCCTCTGTATCAGAGAAAACCTGCCTGCATTGGCATTGTTCCTGAAATTTTCCTGCCTCACCTAAAAATAAATTATATCACTGGCTTTACAAAGCTCTTCCTGCTTGTATCCCACACTTTGCTCAGCTTTTTAAATGCCTGCCTGGTACTTTGCCAAGCACTGGCATATTCCTCCTCAAGAAAACTTACATTTAAACAACCTCTCAAAGCAGTTTGCAAAAAAAACCACACCACCCCCACACCAATAAAACAATAAAAAATATCAGAAAAAAAAGTTAAACAGCTATGTGAAACACTACTTTTTTCTTAAATGAACAATAAGCTAAAAAATAAGGTTGAAGCACATGTCAACATTCTATACATCTGGGAAGGCTTCTCTAAATCAAATAGGTTTTAGCCCGCATTGAAAAGGGTGCAGTGAAGGTGCCTGCCTAGTGTCAAAAGGCAGGGAGTTCCAAAGGGTAGGTGCTGCCACACTGAAAGACTGATTTCTTACAAATGCAGAACGAGTATTATGTGGCAACAGATCAAAGCAGAAAAATGGCCATATATGGGGTAAGGTAATCTCACAAATAAACTCTCTTTTGAACTATGACCTCTCCCTAAAGAGCAATAAAGGACTGTTCCTGATGCTTCCTCAGCTACTCTGGTAAAGCCTCAAAGTTGTTGTTTAGTCATTTGGCGTGTCCGACTCTTCGTGACCCCGTGGACCAGAACACACCAGGCACTCCCGTCTTCCACTACCTCCCGCAGTTTGGTCAAACTCATGTTCGTAGCTTCGAGAACACTGTCCAGCCATCTCGTCCTCTGTCGTCCCCTTCTCCTTGTGCCCTCCATCTTTCCCAACATCAGGGTCTTTTTCAGGGAGTCTTCTCTTCTCATGAGGTGACCAAAGTATTGGAGCCTCAGCTTCACGATCTGTCCTTCCAGTGAGCACTCAGGGCTGATTTCCTTAAGAATGGATGCATTTGATCTTCTTGCAGTCCATGGGACTCTCAAGAGTCTCCTCCAGCACCATAATTCAAAAGCATACGATTTGGAGGCTTTCCTCTCTTTTTGCTACCTGTGTTTACTGCTGCACCCTTTTCTTCTTCATCCCCTAGTTCCTCCTCTCTTGGCCAGGACTGCAAGATTCAAACCCACATTCCAGATGAATGGCTTGTGTTGCCTCTCGGTGAGGTTAAAAAGTCCACCCCACTTCTTCCACCCCTTGACATGCTGACAGTATTTTATTACAGGAAATAAAATTATAATCATTATCCCACACTGAATTAAGGCGTAATGCTATATCATGTTATGGGGAAAAGGAAAGAACGGATTACTGTGTCATGTTTTGATACGGATGCAAAAACCTACTCAGTGACGCTCTGATGAGTCAGTTCAGTGGGTGGGAGATGATTTTATGTAATAACAGTATCGTTCATTTTCTCTGCTCGCACTGTTACCCGGCAGCACACTTCCACTGCTCAGCAACCAGTGAGTCAGGGATGTGTACACAACCGAAATGGGTTATATCTCAAAACGTTGACACGTAATCCAAATCTGCAGCTGGAGTAACCTTTGTATCTGAGGATTTCGAACTTCTTTCTGAACAGCTGATCACGAGAGAGATTTTCAAAAGGCAAGCGAGAATATGTTTGTTCATGGTTCTCTTCCCATTTTTTTCTAAGAAGATCAAAACGCAAAAACAACATCAAGTGAGATTTTCAGCAGAACATTGCCGCATGGAGTTTGGTTCAGGATTCCGGACACCCCATTCTATTCCACCCCTCCACCACCACTTCCCCAGTCCTTCAGTCCTGCCCCACCCTCTCCTAGCAATCAGTCAGCATTCCATAGTCACTGGACATGCTCAGTCCTGGGCTGTTCTCTGATGCCCTACTCTCCTCCTCAGTCCCCCCCCCCCCGCCGCAGTCCTGCAAACCTTGCAGTTCCTCTCTAAGCCATGGGTAGGCAAGCTAAGGCCTGGGGGCCGGATCTGGCCCAATCGCCTTTTAAATCCAGTCCGCGGACGGTCCAGGAATCAGTGTGTTTTTACATGAATAGAATGTGTCCTTTTATTTAAAATGCATCTCTGGATTATTTGTGGGGCATAGGAATTTGTTATTTTCTTTTCTTTTCCAAAACATAGTCTGGTCCCCCACAAGGTCTGAGGGACAGTGGACCGGCCCCCAGCTGAAAAAGTTTGCTGACCCCTGCTCTAAGTCTTCTGATGCCCTCTCTCCCCCCGCTCTCTCTCTCTGTTTGTGTGTGTAGCACCATTCTAGCTACATTGCCACTAAACTAAACATCAGCATTTGGGTCTCTGAGACGAAACCTTGTACTGTACTGCAGAATGCTTCTTTTCAGAATTCTAGACATTTTGTTCCTCTCCCTCTCCACTTCTCTGTTTTCCCCTCACAACAGCCAGTCAGCACCCTGTGCTCACTAAACATACTCAATCATCACAGAATCAGATAATTGTTGGAAGGAACCCCAAAAATCATCTAGTCCAACCCCCTGCAATGCAGGAATCACTAAAGAATCACTGGTGGAGAACCATCCATTCTCTGTTTAAAAACCTCCAATAAAGGAGAGTCCATCAGCTTCTGAAACAGCCCATTCCACTCACAAGCTGCTCTCATTTGCTTGCTTGGGGAAGGGTTGGCTGGCGATGAAGTCGGAGCATTCCTGCCCAGTCCCAACTACATTAAAATATTTTTATATCTTCATTTGTGGCTAAGGGCAGCTCTCACTGCGCACGTTTGGAAATAGCTCAGTGTGAGCTAGGGAATGACCTATCCAGCAAATGAGGCTGTGTATACATTAGTGGCTTAAAACACAGCAAGGTCATTTTTACCCACGTTTTTATATTTTATATTGTATACACCAGAGAAGGGGGCAGAGATTTCTCCACTCAGTGCACACTACCTGGCTTGATTTCCTGCACCAAATTCCTATTCAGTGAAGCTGTCATCAGCCCATCTTCCTTTTATGTGTTTTCAGACAGATCATAAGGAAGGGTAAACAATTTTCATCTTCTTTCATTCTCCAACTTCTTCTCTCTGCCTTTCTAACCTTTACAGCTTCTATTAGTTTGACCCCCCTCCCCAGAAACTAATAATAATAATAATAATAATAATAATAATAATAATAATAATAATTTATTTATATCCCACCCTCCCCAGCCAAAGCCAGGCTCAGAGTGGCTAACAATAGTAAAAATAGCACAATTTATGTAAAATCAGTGTCAATTAATTGAAATACATTCTAAAATCAGTTCAAAATCAAATTAATGGCAACCATTGGGCTAGAGTTCTGTGAAGATTACCAAAGGGTCAGACTGTGCCTTGGCCAAAGGCCTGGTGGAACAGCTTTGTTTTGCAGGTCCTGCGAAAAGATGTCAAGTCCCACAGGGCCCTAGTCTCTTGTGACAGAGCTTTCCAACAGATCGGGGCCACGGCCAAAAAAGCCCTGGCTCTGGTTGAGGCCAGCCTAACCTCCCTGTGGCCCAGGATCTCCAAGACATTTTTATTTGAAGACCATAAGGTCCTCCGTGTGGCATACCAGGAGAGGTGGTCCCGTACGTACAAAGGTCCTAGGCTGTATAGGGCTTTAAAGGTTAAAATCTTTAAAATTTAAGCTTCCCAGAACATGGCTACTCTTGACTCACTGCTACCTCCTTACCATTTCTTCATTTATTTTACCCCCCCTCTCCCTTCTAGGGCAACCCTTCAATAATCTACCTTGTAACTCTCAATAAAGCTTATTTTTTTCCTGGAAAATTTTCCAGTGAAATCTCTGTTATTCCCTCCTGGTTACTTTGTGATGGGATTCTGTACCCAAACATAGTTCTTAAATTTATGCTATGTTCCTGTATAGTTTGAGATATATTAGTTTCTGGAACAGCTCTACGCAGCAACAGCTTGTCCTCAAGCAAAATACATCCAAGGCTATCAGAGGGAAAATATTCTGCTGGTACTAGTAACTTGTATTCCAAAAGGGTTTAGTCCAAGAACATTGAAAAGAACTTTCAGACGTGTGCCCTGACCAAGCATGGCAATACACTGAAATCAATTTTTTACGTTTTAACTGATTGCTACATGATTAAGTAAGCCCCATCAGTTAATTGTTCAGGCTCTCAGTCTTATCCAGCAAGCTTGCCCTTCCCTCTCCAAATACATCAGGGCGCTGCAGTTTCACAGGCATACCTCAGCCTCCTTCTCTGCTGATTAAGTGTAGTTATTATTTGGAGAGGTGCTTTAAATTGCTTGCAAAGGCCTCCACTAATTAATCAATTAAAAACTGAATCCCTAATAAACAGGCACCAGAGCACCAATTGTTACGCACATATTATACAATGCAAATGAATTTTAGTGAACTGACGGGCTCTCATGTAAAGGCCATTCTTCTTGAACCAGTTATCTAGGTCTTCTATTTTAGAGCTGTATTCCTCATATTTAAAGACTGTGCTTACACAATCAAGATACTGGACACCTATAGTGGACCTACACTGGGGGGGGTGTCCCTGAAGTTTGAACTGTTATAGGGGGCCCCTTCACAACCAGCAACGAGGTCTGGGAAACCACTGTTATCTTCTCCAACTGGGCTGTTCCACAACAGATCACCACAAATTGTGTTTTTGGGTATCTGCTTAAGTACTTTTGTGAACTCATCGTTATTCCTAGGGTCTAGATCTCTGTTAAAAACGAGGGGAAATACATCAGCCACAACAGAGCAGTCAGTTTACCGCAACATTCCACCTTTACATCTGTGCTACTGACTCTCAGTTTTTTAAAGCAATGTGGATGAAAGTCTCTCTGGGAACAGGGGCTCTGAAGATTGCATCATTCATTTCATAGTAGATCCACCTCTGTCTGTGCTTCACAACTGCATATGGCTGTCCACAAATAGAACCATTTTGGAAGGAAGTTTTTAATGAGCTATCTCAGATTACAGCTCAGTCAATCCCAATAACTCCAGCATTAGCCTTACTTAATATATATACTTCATATATGAACCAATTAAGAAGTAAAGAATTAATAACACAGCAGCTAGAACGGTAATAGAACTTGGAAAACTTTGCAACTAATGAATATTGATCACAGGAATAATAGTTTGGTAAACTGCCATAATGGAAAGCCTGTGGCAAAAAATTGTTAAAAAAAAAAAAAAATTATTGATAATTTCAGGATTACAAGAAAAATAAAAAATAAAAAACAACACTACAATACAAAAAAATAAAAAAGAGAAAAGCACAAAATATAAAAACCAATACGACAATACAGCAAAAGAAAGTAAAAAAGAAGAAGAAAAAAACCCACAAATCCCAAATTGCATATCCATAATTTCCATTTGCTTGTTTCATTGACCTCCTCACACCTCCCTTTTTGTATTCTAGTTTAGTAATTATTTCAGCAAATTCTTTCCATCTTTCTCAATTTTTGTTATAAAAATTTATCTTAACAATTTAACCTAATAATTAACTCAACAAATCCTTTCCATCTTTCCCCATATTCTGTTATTCAAATTACCTTAATTTATTTAACCTTATCTTACCCCTAAGTACCTTAAAACTTAAATCTTAGTTTTCAAATATACATAGCTCCTAATATCATTTCTGCTAGAGTCGTATAGTTTCATTCCCACATTTTCCCTAATATTCATTAAGCTGATTCTAAAATAAAAAATTTCCATTATAAATTCTCTTCCAATCATCATCCAGCATCTCTTCTTCCTGGTCTCGGGTCGTGTCAGTCCTTACTGTCCGTTCCATCTAGTCCATCAACCTGGAAGCCTTATGTCCGAGGCCCTTAAATCTCTTCCATGTCCCTTCTGCAATTCTTCTTCATCTTGTTTGTGCTTGCCCTTTTCCTTGTCTTTTTTTGGTCTCTGTCTTAATTTCTTTCCTTTCTCATTGAGGAGTAGGTCTCTGGGGGATTCCAACCCAAAATTGTCTCCATCACCCTTCATCCAGCTCGCCCATTCCCCACAGTCCCACTCCCCACAGTCCTCGATATAATCCAAAATGTATTTAAAATCAAATTTCAAGGTCTCTCCAAAGCTAGAAACCTCCTCATCTCCAGCAGACTCCCCTTGGCCCACTCCAACTTCAATCTTCAATAACAGCGGCTTATGCTCCTGTAGGGCCTCGGGTCTCTCCATTTGTGCTATTTGAGGTGCAGCCGCATCCTCCTCCATTGTCACCTACACTTGCCCAGTCAGTACAAATTCATAGGTTGGTTCCTGACTGATTTCTGTATCAATGTTCCCTGTTTGTCCACAGTTATCAACCACAACAGTCAAATCCATTTTCTCATTCATCAAGTCCATCTTCTCATGCATCTGTTTCCAGCAAAGGAAAGTTACTTTCATTTTTCAGGTATTTCAGATGTTTTTCAGGTATTTTGTTTCTTTAAAATGCAAAAGGCAACATTAGAATCAACTTGTTTCTCTTCATTAGCTATCTGTCAAAGTGTTACGTTCACAGTCAATGAACCTCTCCAACAGTTTCTGTCTCTGACACCCCGTTCCCAGGTTAGAGACGGTGGAAACTTATCCTTCTTCACTCCTTCTCCTGCTAGGATTTCAGCGTTTCCCCCCCCCTTTTCTCCTGCTTCCAAGGGGGGTTTCAGTGATTCTGAATGAAGGAAGTTTAGTCCTTTTTTGACAGCTTCCCGGCTTTAGCTTGCAAAATTTTTGCTTTAGTCTATATACCAAAAAGCGGAAGGCGGACTTCCTGTTTGCACCTTCCCGCTTCGATACCAAATTAAACAATTTCTTGATCCAATTTCCGTTTCTACTCACGGGTACTTGTTTTAAGTCCAATTGTCCACAGGAAAAAGTCAGCGCTCTCTGGCAATGGCTGTGCGGCTTCACTCCGTGAAAGTAGCAGTCAGTTCGTAGCACCGCGCTTCTCACCCCACTTCACTCCAGAGCCCCTAGATGGGATTCCCCGCGAGTAGGGGAGCGCTTCTGGTGCCCTGCCGAACCCCACGTTCCCAGGCTTCCTCCGCCTGGGATTTCTAGCGGGTCCAATGGCGCTGACCCGGAAGTCCCCTGTGGCAAAAAATTGAAGGTGGCAAGGAAGAGAGAAAACAAGATAATTGTTGCCCTGTAGGGTGTGATTCTACTAAATATACAAATGAAACAACACATGGACGAGAAATACCTACAACATATATTGCAATATGGTGCAAATAAGCCGACACTATTCATTAGGTTCACTCCTAGTGGTTAGTATTTTACCCCCTAGTGACCCATTTTTTTGTTAGTCGTGTTATTTTATGATTTATGTGTGTGCAGTTTTTTAACAAAAACTAATCATCATCGTCGTCATAATAATAACAACTGCTTATGGCCATCTAAAGCATTCGCCACCATCCAGCGCTCAATGAACTCCAGTCCCTTTAGGCTTTGAAGTCACTGCAGAGAGGGTTGGCAATTAGCCAAAATCTCGTGTACTTACAGAATCGTTCCTTTTACATTGCAATGGATTAGCACTAACTAATGTATTTAATTAACCAATTCAGTATTAATTAGACAAGGAGACTTCCCTGGGTCTGGGAGGAGAATGTGTTCCAGCCTTAGCACCAAACTGTTCAGTATCATGCCTCTACTTTCAACCGACGTGCCGAAGAGATGTCTTGTTAGAGGAAAAAGAAACAGCCAGTCCCGCTTCTGTATTAATATTAAAGGCAGTATCAGTTCAGGCTCTTTGCACAGCCTTCAGCCCACAGCCTGGCGAGGAGGATTCTAAATTCCCAGGAAATTTGAGGAGAAGAAAGGGATGGGAACAGAGAAGGGGGAAGAAGAAGAAGAAGAAGAAAAACCCTGAAGGGAAAGGAAAGAAGAGGACACGTAATTCTTATGGAAGAAGGCAACAGGAGGAGAAGAGGCAAGGGAACGTGAGATAGGATAGAGCAGAAGCTCCGGCCGGGACTGACAGGGGGCCGCCCTGAGGAGGCGGGCGAAACGGAGGAGGCGGGAAGCGATGGCGCCGCCCCCCGCCGCTCTCCCGCGCCTGGCCGGAGGCTGGGCGAGGAAGGCGGGAGGGCGATGCTGCTCTGGCCGGGCCGCTGACCGCGGTGCTGGCGCGGAGGGGGACGGAGGAGGCCCCGCAGGATGGGCTGCGGCGGGAGCCGAGCCGATGCCATCGAGCCGCGCTACTACGAGAGCTGGACGAGGGAGACCGAGTCCACTTGGCTGACCAACACAGACGCCGAGCCCCAGCAGCCGCTTCCCGCCGCCGCCGCCACCGGCCCGGAGGGCGGCCACGCCGAGGCTGGCCCGAGGGAACCCGGTGAGTAGAGCTCGGGGCTGTGGTGGCGGGAAACGCGAGCCAGGCAGCCCGGGCCCTTCCCGCCTCCTCGCTCTGTCCTCCGCCTCGCTACCTTCTGGGCTCTTCTCCACAGCCCAAGGTTTGGCCGGAGGAAGCCGAGAGGTGGGCCAGCGAACAGGTGGCGAACACCTCACCTCCCTGTTGGGACATATTTCAGAGAAGTGGCTTTGCATTTCAAGTTCTGTCGTCTGAGCTGCGCTCATGGGTTTATTCCTGCAGCCCTTGCTCCTCGTTCAGTGCGGTGGCTTGCAATGCAACCCTATAGGTCCTGCATATTCAGAAGAGAAGTGAAGACACAGTCACGGGTGGGGTTCTTTTTGGACCATTATGGTTCTTGCGACTTTCTATTTTTAAGCAGGGAGAAGGGTTAAAACTTTTCCTCCCTGCAACGTAAAGAGGATGCATAGCAATATGCAGCTCTGCTTAACTTACATCTTCGTGTAACTTAACCTTATGCCAGTGTCGTGATGCGTTTTTTGTTTTGTTTTATTTGTTTTGTTTTTTTGGTCCAAGACTTGTCCGTATTATATAGGATGCTGCTGGTGTGACACTACAGAAAGATCAGGGAGGGACCTTTTGTTGCTGTTGTAAGGAAAGGCTCTTCAATAGTCAGCAAAAGGGAGTCGCTGCTGAAAAGAAACCTGGTACCAGTGCGCAACGAAGATGGATTGTAGCCTCAGTTCTATAGATCCTGTGCTTTACCAGTTTGTGCCATGTAGTAAGTGGCACAAGGATTGTGAGGCTTGTTGTGAACAAGGCTTCACATATTTGGATGATCAGGCTGTCGGAGCAACCTGTCTGATCTATGAATATTCGGATTTAGGGTTGTGCTTTAGTCAAGCTAGCAGTTCATAGTGTTGGAATCATGACTGAATGTTATATATTTCAATTACATGTTGCACATTTTCAGTTGCAAACATAGCATCTTTGGTCTCTGTCCATTTAAGATGGATGCTGCTGTGCTTGTGCTTACAAGGATACAAGACAGTCCTAATGCTTAGCCAGCAGCACCATATCAACTTAGCAACGTACAAGAACATGAAATACTGTAATTAGAACACACTCGCCACAATGCAGACGGTAGGACTTCTCCACCAGTTATGGCACTGTGCCAAGTCAACTCTCCTAGCAGCTGCTTACTAAAAGCATCAGCAGGAACGCCTTAGCATCTCTGCAGGGTAGGTAGAACTCTTCTTGACCATAACCAGTGAGAGCCTCACAAGTGGGGAATAGAAGATTTGCTCTGTTTTCAGAACTAATGCTGCAGATAAGAGGTTTGCAGTATTAAGAGTTCAAATGTTGTTCACTGAAAACAGCACCACTCGTTTCCTGTCAGCTAACACCAGGCAACATTTTTAATACAATTCAAAAGAGATAGGTGGCTGTCTGAATCATGAAAACATTTGGGTATTTAAGGGGACTGGACATCTAGGGGCTTGCCCCCCTCCCCTTTGTCCCATGTTTTGAAAGCATGGATCCGAGAGGCTTGCCACTTGTTCCGAAAGCACGAGTCTGAGCAGCTATGCTTTTGTCCCACTGTTTCCCCCTGGAAACACACTCAGTAGCTCTAAATTGGAACAAACGGTAATCCATGGAAAACGTGATTGCTATTTGTTCCAATTCAGTGCTAAATTATGGGCTTCTCTGGGGGTGGGGGGAGCAGCTGGTGAAACAGAAGTGTAGATGAGCCCTAAGATGTCTTCTTTTTTACATTGGCTTTGGAGAATTGCCACTGAGATGCTGCTGTGAGATGGTTTGCTGTAGTTTTAAAGAATGTTTTGTTTTATTGCACCAGTATATTACTTTATGAAGTTGATGTTACCCTGGCTAATATATTTGATTAAGGGTTGGACATATATTTTTTTAAATAAATATATGATTAATAAGAGAGCAAGAGTAAGGTTGGCAGAGTTGCATTAGAGACTGGGATGTGTGCATTAAAGCCCTGTTGAATTCCTCATCATTTCATTACATAGTATTTAGTGAAATGGGCTATGTATCCAAGGGGTATTACTGTTATTTATTAATTAACATAGATTTTGCTATGTATAATGTTATACATGCTATAATATTTGTCTTTAGAAGTATGCCTTGTTGGTTTCAGAGCAACCCAGCAGCAAGCTCTCTGCCTATCTTAGGGGTGTATACACGGGTTTTAAAGTAGTTGATTTTTCCCACCCCAGTCAAATCACTGTGAATGTGCACATGATAACTGGTCAGCCATATGACCAGTTTAGAGGTGTGCTTGTAATAGATTATGTGGATTTTTATGCACAATCCATCATGAACATCCTGGTAGAATTGCTTACCATGCAGATTTAAAACAGGGAGGAAAGCCCTCAAAGGAGTTTTGTGAATTGACTCTTTGAAATAACATGCACTTATGGTCACATTCTGCTTAATTTTGGCATGGTGGCTGAGGGGGAGGGTAATACCCAAATGCTATTACATTCCTCCATAAACTGAGAAAATATCATTTGCTGTTGCTATCTAGGACTAAGCTACAATTACCTAGGACATCAGTCTTTGGCTCTTCCTATGGGTTTACTTTTATTTTTTGAAATGCAGGCGTAGGGAACAATCAGTTTGCTTATAGCAGCAGAGCTTCCCCTTATGCCATTTCTTTAACTGAAATCATAGTGCCGCTGCAAGCAAATCCAGCCCCCACCTACATTTCAGTCATGTGTAACATGTAGTTTGACATTAACAGAACTCTTCTTTAACCTAGCCCTCAGAATGAATCCATGGGTTATAACCAATGCTAGTCCTACTCAGAGCAGCCCACTGAAATTAATGAACCTCAGTTAGTCATATCTATAATCTCCAGTGGGTCTACTCTGAGTCTATTCTACTAGCACTGAGCAGGACTAGCATTGATTACAACCTCAAATTTTGTTTTCTCAATTTTGCCTTCTGATTTTTGTAGCCTGTGTATGAACCACCTATACATTTTTAATATATTTGAGTTTGGTTATATTTGTTATTGTCTTTGAGTAAGCAATGGTTAAGATTTAGCAGAAGTTAACTGCTTGCAAGTCTTATTGTGTTAAGTAGGAGACAGTTTAACCATTCAGCTGAAATCAAAGGGACATAAACATTTATTTATTTTTCTTAGACATTTGTATACTGCTTAATTACTTGTATTTCTAAGCAGTGTACATAAAAAAGCAATCCACACAAAATGTGACAATAAAAAAAATTATTACCGGTATAAAGCCAAACACCTAAATTTGGCTGGATCTTATCCAATATTATAATTCTCCACTCTTTTTTCCCCTTCTATTCATTTTTTCCTCCTCATATTCCCTTTTTATCTTAATTTTCAAACTGCAGCAGAGGGTGATTTTTTCTACAGTAAACTGAAAAGAGCAATAATGGCTATAAACAGAAGTTTGAAATACAGAAACTGTAAGACCTTACCATTAAGATCATAACAGAATTTAATGTACTCAGTAGTAAGCAACACACTTAAACCTGCCGTGGAACTTTTTACCTGTACCAAACAATTGGTGAAGAAGAAATATCCAAAAACCGGTGTAGCAATATCAGTCATCTAGGGTGGGTGGTATAAAAAGGCAAAGCCTTTAAAAGACCAACAACGGTGCTATACTTTTGTGAATGGTCTCAAAAAAAGGGAAGGGAGGACAATTTAGCAGTAGTTCAAGTTGCTCCTAAAAGCTTCCATTGAAAGAGAAAATGTAGCGTGAAATCCTCCTTTCACAGACTATTAAAACTAGAAAAATTATGTATTGCTGTTTTAAAAGCAGTCTTGTCACCCTAGTTGCTTCATTAGCTTCATCTAGAAAAGCAATCAATGCAAAACCATTGAACTAAAAGGTTTTGCATTATCAGAAGTATTATTGACAGTTGGATTAGTTTTCCATAGGCCAGAGATCTGCAATCTCTATAATCACAACCTTTTTAGAGGGAGTTGCTTAGTTGTATAGGATCCATTCCCCCCCCAAAAAAAAACCACTCTTCTGTTTTAAGGGTATATATATTTTTCTGTGTTGAAACAACCTTTTGTTATGGTTATGTATTATAGCTCCTCCCGTTGCTCGGTCCCTGCTCCTGCCAACCTAGCAGTTCGAAAGCACGTCAAAGTGGTACTGCTCTGGTGGTACTGCTCTGGCAGGAAGATAAACGGTGTTTCCGTGTGCTGCTCTGGTTCGGCTTAGCTGCTGCTTAGTCATGCTGGCCACATGACCTGGAAGCTTTCTGCGGACAAACCATAGCTGTCAACCTTCCCTTTTTTTGCGGGAAATTCTCTTATTCCATCACCCTTTCCCGCTGCTTCCCGCTGCTATCCTGGATTGTTAGATATCCTGTAGACTGTCCCCGGGACAGGTGAGGCTGCTGAACCCTTATTTTCAAATCTGAAAGTTGACAGCTATGGGACAAATGCCGGCTCCCTTGCCCAGTAAAGCGAGATGAGTGCTGCAACCCCAGAGTCGTCCGCGACTGGACCTAATGGTCAGGGGTCCCTTTACCTTTAGTACTTCTAATGCTGTTCCAAGTGCTATGTGGGGAAATATGGTTTTAAAGAGTCACAGATGCATTTTGCATTATGCCCATTATATTGTAAATAGGCAATGACACTTATGCATGCTCCATTTTGGGAAATATTTACTTGCTCATCTTCTGTTTTTAAGTGACGTGTGTGTGTGTGTGTGTGTGTGTGTGTGTGTGTGTTTGTGTCCTTCAAGGCTGTACAATTTGCCTGCTGTGCTACCACAGTACTGGAGCGTTTATCCAGGAGTTTGTCATGCTGTTACTTAAACTTAGGCAGATGTACTACCCCAATCACCTGTCCCTATTACCTGTTAAGGAATGTCTACTAGATCATTTATTTCATTTATATTCCATCTTTTCTCCAAGGAGCTCAAGACTGCATACAACATGTTTCTCCCTCTCCTCATTTAATCCCCAAAACAACTCTGCAAAGTAGGTTAGGCTGAGTGGCACTGACTGACCCAAGGTCACCTAGTGAGCTTCATGACCGAGTAGAGATTTGAACCCTGGTCTCCTAGATCATAGTCTGACACTCTAATCACTACACTTGCTCCAATGCTTGCTAGTGGAAGCACTTGCCGTTTGAAGAACTAATATATATCTACCTACATACATAAGGAATCTAAACCACCACCATCATTGTTTTACTTGACTGCTGTTTTGCCAAAATCCTATAACTAGATGTCAGCTTCATATTACTATATATTTGGAGATGAATGTAGATAACTTCTCCAGTGTAGTACTGTACTTGCAAGTAAACATGTCTCTTACATGCACTTTAAGTTAATAAGATGTGCATGGATTCATCATGCAATTTAAAGAACCCATTACATTGGATTTGCATTGTGTCCAACACTTGTCCATCTCCATGTATCTTCTTCTTCATCTTCTTCTTCTTTGAATTTGTTAGTTGCTTTATCTTGCCAAGGCTAACCCAAAGCAACATACAACCAACCAGATCAACAACCCCCCGCCCCACATAGATACATGCATGGAGAGCCACCACAGACTTTGGGTTTTGTGTGTTCCTAGCCTTTTATCCCACTTCTAGCACCAGCTCAAGTGCTATGAGAGGATGCTGAAGATTCTCCTTCCCCACCCTTTCCCTGTTTCCTATGAGTAGTCATATATGAGCTCTATCTCTTGTGAAAAACATTTTCTCAGATTACGGTATGTAACATTCAGGTAGATTTGTGGGGTTGGGGCAGAACATAGTCTTCTCGTGAAGCTGATATGCAAGTCTCTGTGACTCAGTCTGTTATGGGCTACAGAAGCCAGAGTTGGTAGCTTAGCATCTGCCCAAAACTAACAGCACCCCACCATTACTAGGTCATATCATTTGACACTTGTCTTAATACTAATTCACTTGGCCTAGCCCTCTAAGCCACATGTGCAAGGACTATCTGCACTGGAGCATTCTGTGTTCTTGCTTTCGACTAGATAACACCATAAATGAAACTGCTAGAATTTTTTCCTTCTTCCCTGCATTGCAGGTAGGCAGGGGACAACCATGGACTGAGCATGGAAATAATATCTAGATTGATGGCAGTCTGTATTTTTGCACAACTTCTTTCTCCAAATCTAAGACCGCCAGCTACCAAATATGTGTTTGATGCTTACTGAGAGTAAAATATAATATTGTTTATGTGGATGCCACAAGCATGTTACTCTTTTCTACAGTAGTCCCCAAGTGACGCCACTAGTACTAAGCAACTCTCCGCCCACAACTTTTATACCTAGACTCAAAATATAAGGAACCCCCCTTCCCTCCACACACACACACACACACACACACACACACACACACACACACTTCTTCCATCACCAGCTCCCTCATGAAAGCTTTGAGGGCAGGAAGGTGAGTCTTGGCAAATGGAAGGAGCCATCCTTTAATGACAAACCCAATTTCTCTCTCCCATGAAACTGGCATAAGGTGATATATACAGTGGTACCTCTTGTTACATACGCTTCAGGTTACATACACTTCAGGTTACAGACTCCACTAACCCAGAAATAGTACCTCGGGTTAAGAACTTTGCTTCAGGATGAGAACAGAAATCGTGCAGCGGCAGCTGGAGGCCCCATTAGCTAAAGTGGTGCTTCAGGTTAAGAACAGTTTCAGGTTAAGAACGGACCTCCGGAACGAATTAAGTACTTAACCTGAGGTACCACTGTAAATCAAATTAAAAATAACAGAAGCATCCACTATGCATCCCAGCTATGCATTTTGCCTTCCATCTCCATGTTGCCACACAGCCTACCCATCACTGCTTTATTTTAGTATGGCAACAGTGGTGTAGCACAGTCTATATGGCAAGCTCATGCAGGCGAATGGCTGACCCCATACAGCATTATTCACTTGGATGCAGTTCTAAGCAGCATCTGTGCAACTCACTTGTGTGAAGCCTCAAACCTCTTGCACAGATGATCAAAAAGCATGAAAGGAACGTGCTGTTACTTCAAGACTATTTGTTCTTGAACAGATAAATATGAATGCATACATAATTTTTACATGTTATTTTTGGTACTTTCCTCCTTTTTTGTTCTTTCCCCTGCAGTTTCTTGGAGTGCATTCTTCCATAAAGCTTGAATATTGCTTCATTCATATGATTTGACGCTTAAAGAATACTTCATTAGCCCTCTAGATGCTCCTGTGTGGGAGGAGTATCCTGTAATCTTGTGTTGACTTTTAGCACCAGAAATGGGACTGAACCAGTTGTTTTCCTTTCCCTGCATTGCAGATATGCAGAGGACAAGCAAGGATCTGCTTTGATAAAGAGTCTTTCATCATAAACATTTTTTTAGGAGGTCTCCAAAAAGGATCACAGGCTTCCCGTGCAGTCTTCTTGCTCTAGTTATTTGCATGTAGGTGGCAATGTGCACCCTTACAAATGCTATTTAGTTGGTAATATAGCACTTGCAAGAATGGTGATGTTGAAATTAACTTGAGACAGCCCTTTAATATTCCTTTTTGTGGAGGACTTGGGTATGTCTGTGCTGTGCACGCCCCCACTTACTCCCACTGACAACTACTGACAAATTTGATATGTTCCGTCAGGGTATCAATGTTTAAATGGATACATGTAAAATATTTAGGCTGCATGTCGAATCTAATTGGAGTTCGCTCTGGATGCAGTATGTGTACAAAATAGAAATATTGATGCAATGCCTGGTCTCATGTGAGTTAAGACTTCATTGATTATGAAACACAGTATCACTTCCAAATACCAAGCAGTGTTCCTTACCATTCCCTAGTTTACAGCATAGACTTAACTAGTGCTCTGCTTTAGGCAGAAAACCGAAAAATTTTCTTGTTTCAGAGGGAGTCGCATAAAGAGGTTGGCTGAATATATTGAGCCAATTGTGCCGTTATCTCCTGTCTGCTTTTGCAGCTGCTCTCAGTCACCTGACACAAAGTAACAATGCCTTCAATTTTTCGTGAAGCATATATGTAACCAAGAATCGTGCAAACAAAAACCCCAGTGGTTATACGTATTTCCTTTTATCGACAGCTTTGTTTGGTTCTGTATGCGGGGCTTGAAGGAAAAGCTATGATTAACTGATAAGAGCATGTGAAAGGTTCATTTTGTGGCAGATAGACACATAGAACTGAAGCAGCTGGCCCCAAAGTTCACATATATTTCATATCAGTGGTAGCATCGGTAATCATAAGGCTTGGTGGTTGGCCAGAAAACCTTGAGACATGTGCAAAATGTTCTGTAGGTGGTATTGATTGATTGATTGATTGATTGATTGAATTTACACTCTTCTGCCTTTCCTCCCCAAGGAGCTCAGGGAAGCAAACTGGCCATCAGCCTCTTGCTGATGCAGGACATATGCTGCCACAGCATCCCTGATACAGAATCATAGAGCTGGAAGACACATCAAATATTGGCTTGATCAGGAGTGGAAAACCTTCTTGGCCCAGATGGCCAGATCTTTCTCTCTCCCAAACCCTGTGGGCCAACTTGGGTGAGACGTGAGCGAGGCCACTGACCTGTCAATCTGACATCACAATTACTTTAGATGAGAGGTGGGCAGTTGACCCTTAGGGGTGAGGGGAGGAGTCTGATTTGCCAGTGCATTCCCCATAGGACTTCAATGGCACCATGGTACCCACAGAGGCCATGTTGGCAACCCCTTATTTACCCAAACCATCAAGGCTTACCACAGAAACTTTTAGATGGCTCTGCTTGCTTTCTTTGACAGGTTGCACACAGTCATGTTGTTTCACTGAGAAAGACGGGCCCTGGTATATTTTATCTTTTGGAGAGAAAAAAACAGCTGGGTGAAAAGCTAGAGCAAACAGACGGGGAGGAAAACTGGCCCTTTCCCCCTGCCAATTCCCCAGTGCCCACAGCTGTTTCACCCGATAAAAAAGCAGGGGGAGGAAATTATGTAACTATACATAATTTCTGCCCTCAGGATGGCGAGAACGATTTTATAGCAAAAGTTCACAGAAATAGAAGAGAGGCAGTATGGGATGTTCTGAGCCATACAACGTATTTTTCCACATCAGTATGGTTGCACAAAAGCAGGAAGTCAAACAGGACATAAACTATTAGCCATGGTATTCAACAGATTACTATTTATATTTAAAAAGGAATAGAGCAGGAGAAGAAAAAAATCAGTGTTCTATTTTTGTTTTCAAAGACATGTCTGCTTTGCTTATGTCTCTCTGAATAATAATTCAGGATCTCGTGCTCCTAACTTCTGTTCAGTTTCTAATTTGTTGGAGGTGGATAGGAATGTGCAAATGTAAAAACCATCTTTTGGTAATTGGGCATATACAAACTCTTCACAAACAATTCTGTGAAACTGACTAGTTTTGTTAATATCTCTTTAACTTGAAAAATGTGTAAAACACCAGTAAATGTTTTGACTTAACAAAATGTGATTTTGTGTGTTCTTAGGAATTCTGGAGGACAGCAAAGCAACTCAGACTTGTACCGGAAAGTCCTCAGCTGCAAGTGGAATAGGTAGTACTGAAAAGAGAGCTCACTGTGGTACACAATGTACAAAACTGACAGTTCACCCCACGGGAACTTCAGCACACAAACAACAAAATGGCTTTAGAACCACAGAGGTAGGTGCAGAACTACATTCCGAGTGACTCCTTGTACACACTGGTATCCTCTTGAAGCTGGGCTAATCCTGTTTCTCCTCAGCTAAAGGCCTGTCACAGAGCTATTAAGCCTGTGTCCTTTATACTGAAGTCGTACCTTCTAGTGTTTCTTTTTTAAAGTCACAATGAATACATTTCTCATATTGCAAGGCTCATGACAAAGCAATAACTATTGGGAATAACGGCATGTGTTGAACCTGTTTTAATTAAGGACATAAAGAAGAATCTACTGAATATAGTAATACTGCTTTACTGTTATTTTGAAGGCCAGTCATGAGCTGCTTAAGTAAACATTTAAGCAACATTTATCCTGTTGCCCACTGGATGTTCCCGTTGCATCTCTGAGCCTGCCAAGCATCCATAAAATCCAACCAGAGTGTCTGTGAAGAAAAACTGGTGATTAATCCAATTGAACATGGTCTAGATCTCATGTTAGGATCTATTTTGCAGTAGCAAAGTATTGGAGGGTGATACAGTCTCAAGATTAGCCCAGGGGCTGGAGGTTTCCCACCCCGCTTTACATTTATACTTCCTTTGAACACTAGTCATTTTTTGTCCATTTGAGGACAGTGTTCTAGTCCGTGTGGGTCTTTATTATCCTGACACAACATGGTGTCATCTACAAACTAGTCCATGTTCCCTCTCATCCCCGACTTCAGATCCTTTATAAACAAGTTAAATAACACCAGTTAAACAGAGATCACTTGTGAGTGGTAGGGAGGGCATTCTTTGTGATAACTTTCCAATTACGGTACTTTACTTCCTATTTGCTGAGTAAAAATGCCACTGTGTCAACAATTTGACTGGCAATTACTACAAGATCTGTTTGTGACTTCAGGATAGAGATATTGCTAAGTTTTGCTTGTTGTTTTGATTGGAATATTTTGTTAATTTTTATTTTACTCTTGTCTTTTCTCCTTGTTTAGGAAATTTACTTCTATGAAACATCTTCTAAGCATCTTGCATTAAACTAATTTACTGTACACTCTTTTTAAACAGGCTAAATGGGACAACAAGAAAAACGTCACAAAAGAAGTCGCAATTAACGCCACCAAAACAATAAGACAAATTAGTAACAGAAGAATTACAAAGAACTGTGTCAATTAAAAGAGCCAAAGGAGAAGATGACTGAATTCTGCAATATTTTGCTGCACTTTAACTGATAACTTAATGTGAAAATCTCAAGATGTTTTATTTTTCATGCTGAATGTAGTGGACATCTGCTGCTGAGTGCCTTTGGAAAAACCGCTATCCTTGCTCTAAACTGCTGCCAGCATTGGACGCCTTTTGTTCTATATTGCCATACTGGTGAGGCTGGGCCAGCAATTAGAACATAATGTGTTTGGATTTTATACATTGCCATTTAAGTAATTAATATCACATAAAAATGTATACCAAAATATTTCAGGAACACTCAATCCCTCACAAATTGCACCTGACACATCTGTTTTTAGGTACATGTGTGAGTGTCTGGAGGCGGTTGGAGGATGGATGGCGGCTAACAGATTGAGGTTGAATCCTGACAGGAGGCGGGCGGGTGTGGAGGACTCCCTGGTCCTGAATGGGGTAACTGTGCCCCTGAAGGACCAGGTGCGCAGCCTGGGAGTTATTCTGGACTCACAGCTGTCCATGGAGGCGCAGGTCAATTCTGTGTCCAGGGCAGCTGTTTATCAGCTCCATCTGGTACACAGACTGAGACCCTACCTGCCAGCGGACTGTCTTGCCAGAGTGGTGCATGCTGTAGTTATCTCTCGCTTGGACTACTACAATGCGCTCTATGTGGGGCTACCTTTGAAGGTGACCCGGAAACTACAACTAATCCAGAATGCGGCAGGTAGACTGGTGACTGGGAGCGGCTGCGGAGACCACATAACACTGGTCTTGAAAGACCTACACTGGCTCCCAGTACGTTTCCGAGCACAATTCAAAGTATTGGTGCTGACCTTTAAAGCCCTAAACGGCCTTGGCCCAGTATACCTGAAGGAGTGTCTCCACCCCCATTGTTCTGACCGGACACTGAGGTCCAGTGCCGAGGGCCTTCTGGCGGTTCTCTCGCTGTGAGAAGCCAAGTTACAGGGGAACCAGGCAGAGGGCCTTCTTGGTAGTGGCACCCGCCCTGTGGAACACCCTCTCACCAGATGTCAAAGAGAAAAACAACTACCAGACTTTTAGAAGACATCTGAAGGCAGCCCTGTTTAGGGAAACTTTTAATGTTTAATAGACTATTGTATTTTAATATTCTGTTGGAAGTTGCCCAGAGTGGCTAGGGAAACACAGCCAGATGGTCGGGGTATAAATATTATTATTATTATTATTATTATTATTATTATTATTATATGAAAGTTGAGCTTTCATGCAGCCTTTCTGTGGTTGGTACTTCAGTTCAGTTTGCACATCAAATGATTTCCATCCTGATCCTAAAGATGTTCACTACAATGGCTGTGTACAGATTTGCAGGTTCTGTTGTTTATCTCAGTGGCATGCTGGGTGAGCCATATAATAATGGTCTGATTTGCTATACCATATGAAACTTACGATGTAACTGATGGCCAAGGTTTGTGACGGCATAGATAGGTTTAATGTAGCTGAAATACATGTAAGAACTGTGGTACTCTAACTTTGCCTGCTTCTGTGTCATATAGCAGCTTTGCACTGTGTGGCAACGATATGCCTACAAAAGGGTGAAATATCCTATCTCTTAAAATTGGGATCTCCTACAACTCATTGAAAAAAGGCGATTGATCTTGTGTCTCCTTTATCACTTATATTTTCAAAAGGAATTTGTGTATACATTTGCTACTGAAGTCTAAATTTTAAACAAACAGATATTGTTTTGAAGGAGAGCAAAATTATTCAAATAGTAATCTGAAGGACACAACTTCATTTTTTAAAAAGTTCTTCTGGCCTATAAATTAATAAAATTTATATGAAAAGTTAGTGTTTGGTGTCAAATCTATAGAAAAGGCACTTCAATCACCGATGAACAGGCCATTGAGACAAATAAAAAAATGTACTGTAACTAATAAAAATGTTTGTAAATTGTTTGACTTCTTAAAGAAATTGCTTGAGATGAAAATTCAGTGTTTGAAATCTATATTCAGTTTCTAGGCTTAATAACTGTTGGAGGATTGCTTATTAAGTCATAGAACCCTGTAGAGCAGGCATAGGCAAACTTGGCTCTCCAGATGTTTTGGGACCACAACGCCCATCATACCTGACCACTGGTCCTGTTAGCTAGGGATGATGGGAGTTGTAGTCCCAAACATCTGGAGTTTCCCTATGCCTGCTGTAGACTTTACTTAAGACCTGTCTACTCTCAGAGTGATAAATTCAAATTACAACTGTGTGCAACATATATAATTAGGCTGCAGTCAGGATGCTTCAAGAGTGCTTATGCTCAAAGTTGGCAGCTGCAATACTCTCCATGCTTACTTGGAAGTAAGCCCTAGAACACATGATTCTATGGATTATGTCATATCTGCCAATTTAGAATGTGTGTTTATTTATTGTATTTATTATATACTGATTAATATTTCTAAGCAGTGCAAGTAAGATTACAAAAAAATAAAAATAAACCATGCATAGAATAACAATTAAAAAATCATAATAAACCCAGCACCACTTTAAAATGCCTGTTGAAATAAGAAAGCACTTGTCATGTACCTGAAGCTCAGCAAGGAGGGTGCCTGTCTAATCTCAGACACACTAGTCATATCTATAATAAAATAAAAAGTTAACTTTGTTGGTTGTCCTTGTCCCATATCTCTGTGATCACTGCTCCCACCAACTTCCCCATTTCTTACTTTAGACTGCAATCTTAAAGTTAGAGAAAGACAGAAATCTACCCCCCAAGGGGAACATGTCCACAACCCATAGTGCACAAATCTACTGCAATGTAGTTGCAATGAGCATATAATAGTTTCTTTATGTATATATGCAGCCTTTGATAATTAATTTCTTCACCATAGCTTGAAAGTGTTTCTGTGGCTAGCTTCTAATCACCAATGCACAGAACACACTTGACAGACTGTCTTTTCCTATTTTGATTCAATGCCCAGAGACCTGACGAAGCAACTGACTTGTTTGTTGTTGAAAAGGATTAATACTGCAAAGTGGTGGTTTTCAAAAGTGCCAAAATAAAATAATTGGTGAGAAAAGGAAACACAATGAAGTCTCAGTCTGCAGTGAACCGCACAGGAGCACGTGGGCTTTTAAAACAAAACATGCCTTGCGAGAACAGCCAAACTGAAGGGGAGGTTATGGTAGAGAATTTGTAATTATATGAGCATATCCTGGTTGAATGCTGATTAAACTGGACTAGGTTTAGTGTGAAATCCCCTCTATATATCACTATAATGGTGCTGTGCTGTAACAGCTGCTCTGCTGACAAAATCATACACCAGGGGTGATGAACCTGTGGCCCTCCAGATGTAATTGGACTACAATTCCCATTATCCCTGACCATTGTTCATGCTGGCTGATGCTGATGGAATTCGATCAAGAACAGAAGGGCTACAAGTTCCATGCCATACACCATATGTGCAAGTTATGGTAGCTGCTTTTTCTGGAAAACAAAATGGGCAGATGCACAAGTAAATATGGTTCCCTGCATGTTTCAAAGGCCTGTTCATGTTTCATGCTTCTTTATAAACACCAGTCCAGAGCAGTTTTTAATGAAGAAGCATTAAACATTTCCATTTTTATATATTCTTAGAGATTCAGTATCCAACCTAACATATTTAGGAAACAAAATTACATATAATACGTCCTCCATGGTCAAAAGAAAACATGGATCACATCCTGCTACAAATAAAATTTACTTTGGCAGGTGGACTATATTACATATACAGTGGTACCTCGGGTTAAGCACTTAACTTGTTCCAGAGGTCCGTTCTTAACCTGAAACTGTTCTTAACCTGAAGCACCACTTTAGCTAATGGGGCCTCCTGCTACCGCCGCGCCGCGGGAGCACAATTTCTGTTCTCATCCTGAAGCAAAGTTCTTAACCCGAGGTACTATTTCTGGGTTAGCAGAGTCTGTAACCTGAAGTGTATGTAACCTGAAGCATATGTAACCCGAGGTACCACTGTAAACATTTGGGGTAATCTAAATGAAATTGGTGCTATTTCTAGTTTCCTCAAAATGCATTGGGAACCATATGTACTTAACCCAACTGTTCATTTCAAAATGGACATTTTCTACCTGGGGTTGCAAATCCTTGGCCTTTAAGTGCTCTTTATAATTATGGGCAGAGTAAAGTTCAGCAGGAAGAAATAAACATCTCCTCCCCCAAAAGCTATTTCCAAAGTTCCCAGGTTTTATTTTATTCTGCTCCAAAGCGTAAGAATGTTCCTAATTCTTTTCTTTCATCTCTTGGCCAAGAAAGGAGTTGTGTTTTGTTCTGAGAGGACAGAGTCACAAGTGAAGTTTCAGCAGGAGAACTTGTTAATTGCTTCTGGCCTTGATCCAGCTCTTAATTGTGCGTAACAGCTGGTGGGGCTGGGTGGGGGTGTGCAATGCCAGCTGCATCAAAGGACACATCCACCCATCAGCAGGGCCTTGGTGAGCAATGCAATGTGGTTGTGTGATCCAGGTGCGTGTGTGCATCCACTATGCACATGAAAGCTTTCCTCAATACACAGATCTCCCTCGTTGGACTGGGACATGCATGTGTTTTCATACACAGCGATGCCCAATGGGGTCTAAATAGCTGCTCCGAGGGCAGACTGTATCAAATGTAATTGCAGTAAACAAAGCAAAATGGCAGTTGGATACTTGCCTGCTACTCCATTGGTGCAGTAATATTAATGGTCACTTGGCTACAATGGCCATGAGAGGCAACCTAGGAATCTGCAGTGTCAGATATTACTTCTCACCTCTTTGAATATATCTACAACTCATGCTTAAACTGCTGCATTGTCATTTCATGTGCCCAGAGAATTGTAGCAGTTGTGGCTTGTGACACCTAGACCTGGGAGACGGCACCGAGGAGCTAAAAGTAAAAATGCAAAAAAAAAAATATCAATAATTGCAACAACAAAAACCCCTCCAAAATATCCCAGCCCAAGAGTCGGTTCACCAGCCTCAGCTTCTTCTTTCTGAGTCAG